GCATGTTTAATGTCAGCAAATCCAGAAACCTTTGATGACTCAAATTAAGTGATGGAAATGCTGATTATTCACATATTGCTAAATTTGCTTTACAGTTGAACAGAAACACATCTCATGTAAACTGCGATCTGTGATGCATATTTACCTCTGTGGTTCCAGTATATATAATCATGTTATCAGCCTCATGATCTCCAGTAGTATTAACCACCACAAAAAGAGTTCAGAATGATCCTCTTGTTTACAGTTAACGAGATGTATCATGTTCAAATCAAGCAGGATTAAGTTTTGTTGTTTGCACTCACCAAAACTCTCTTCCTCTTAACTCTCCTCAGGTCAGCTGTCAGGCGCTTTCCTCGTCCCGTTCTCCCTCCACAGGTGGAGCTCTGAGCCCAGCCTGGCTCACTGCAGCCTGGCTCGCAGCTCCGCCCCCAGCACCACCTCCGGCCCCAGCTCTGTATCCCAGCCGGGGAGCCGCTCGTCTGCTCGCACCAACCCCGCCCCTGCCCCTCCACCCTCAGCCCCCACTCCTCTGCGAAGGAGTGAGTCTGTGGGGAGGAGACCCCTGCTCCGCCACCATCCCAACCCCCTCCTTCCTCAGCGGGACTCAGACTACGAGCTGGAGCCCGATCGAGGGCGCAAGCGGGCAATAGACAACCAGTACATGTTGCTTTGACCGACAGAGTCACACACCTCTATCACCTCTGACTGACAGATGTCATACATGAGCACACACACACACACACACACACACACACCAGTTCACACACATTTTGTTACCTGCACCCAACGTCATGTGGGCGAATGAGACTCTCAGAGAGCGCAGAAATAGAACCTGATCACAGCAGCAGACTCATGAACGAGACCAGCTTAGTCTGACTGGTGTGCATTTCAAAACACCCGCTCACTTTAGGAGTGTATTACCAGTGTCAGACCGTCACAACCTTCAGCCTGAGTGTCCACAGTGAATGTATTTTGGGAGTTTTCTAGCAGTGTTGACCATGATGAGGATGCTAGTTTTTCTAATGTTCAGGTTCTGGAAGAGAAGAGGAGCTGCACGTGAAGCTGTCCTCCAGAAAAACAATATTTTTTAAATGTTTCTATTCCTCTGAGGTGCGCTTGATTTAACATGTTTGGCACTTAACCTTTACTAATGGGAGGTAACAGCCTGTGAAATGTGTTAAATCAAGTACTCCTTTCAAATATTTATAAGTCATTTACTCTTCACACACAGGCCTCTGTGTGGAGCACACTCCCACCTTTTTGTACAAACACAAATGAAAACGCACTCTATTTTAGAGTGGGACGCACTCTAGTAGATATTCTCTTACTGCAATTATTATATTTTTACGTGCACAGCGCTTTTCAGTGCACTTTGGAAATAATGTGTATTTTGTCTATACACAGGTTCTTTTGTAAAAAAAAAAAAAAAAACATTAAAATGAAAGTGAAAAAGTTGGTTAAAGTCAGTTGGGAAGCTGTTAGTAGAAACTGGTCTTGTTTGGCCACTCCTCCTTCAAACCTTCACTTTAGAACTCACACAGAACAGAAACCTGGATCACGTCTCAGCAGATGTTCTTTCATGGTGTCTCTGAGATGATTCAAAGTGTGATCTCTCAGCAGCATTCTGTTGATGGCAGTCCGGTACAACGCTCAACCAAAACTGTGCGTGTGTGAATTTCTGTCCCAGAATGCACTGGGTTTTCCTAAAGTGTGTCACGTGTTTCATTTTTAGCATTATAGTGAAGGCATTACCTCATCCAAATGAACTTCTGAGGTAAATTAAAGGTTTACATGCAAATAATCTCTGCCGTAAACTCAAAGAAAATTGATATAATATATCATATATCAAAACCCCGCAATCCTGAATAATAGTCTGAAAAATGGATGGATGAAAATAATATTATAACAACTTTTCCCCAAAGTGAATTACGTACATGTAAAGCAGAAACAAGGCACCAAAACAACAAAGTAGTAACAAAGTGATTTAAGTCCATTTGTTCAGTCAGTTGTTTCGATTCTCTCGTAAAGATATAAAAAGATGCAGAGTTAAAATGTACGGCATTGTTATGGCTTTATAACGCATCGTTAGATCCTTTAAAGGGCTCTTAAGAGTAGACCAAGACGTGGTGTAACTCCTGATACACGAGTGCCTTTTTTTGTAAACTTTTGAACATTTTTCTAACTCCCATCGGGCGACTCAGGGACCTCCACCTCGTCTCCAGCTCTTCTAAACACTCAAACAGTAGCATTAATTCTTTTCTGTTGAACTTCATTTGAACGAGAGGCTTTATGAGGGAGCAGATGTGAGGGAGCAGCTTTGCTCTTTATGTTTTGTTGCCCTTCAACTGAATCCATCAACAGTTTGAGGTTCCTTCTGAGATAGGATTAATCCATCAGTTTAAAGCTGCACTGACTATAACAGAGCAACAACACCCAACTCAGGTGTTACTTTTTTATCCAGAGCTAAATTTGTATCAAAGGTTGAATACAGAAACACATCTTTAAAAAAAAAAAAAAAAAAAAGCAAGCTGTTTTGATTCAGTGACCAGTGGGTGGAGTGTTTTCTCTCGCCCATAATCTGTCAGAAACCTCTCGATGAGCTCATTAGTGACCCAAAATGATTTGTCCTCTCCACCATGACACCACCCTCGTCTCTCCTTACAGTAAACTAAGAGCATCCCATTAAACAGTGGATCTTTTCTCACATCAAAGCAGCAGTTTCTAACATGCACTGATGACCAATTTTCTGTAATTGAGTTTCAACCTTCACTGCTATGGGCAGTGTGCTAGGAGTGTTCGTCTTCTGACCTTGCTTTCACACTGACTTTAGCCGTTGATTTAAGATTGACCGTCTGTGCTTCATGTAGGGTTTTGATCTGATTGTGTCTGCCTCCTTTTTTGACCATTGTTTCCTGTTCTTATTAAGAAACATTACTTACTTCCTCATGAACATTACCAGAGTAAGTCGGCTGTGATTACTTCTCTTGTTATGCAATAAGTCAGCTTTGTGTACCAAAAGAACATTTTTACAATGGTTGAGTAGTTCTCTTTTATGTATCTTCATGATGATGACTGACATTGTTCAAGTGTTTGCAAGGGGAACAAAAACAAAGATGTTTTTGGCAAAAGTACGGTTGATCTTCCTGCCTTTAAAAACCTGAGTCTTTAAAAAAAATCCCCAGACACCTCTTTGTCTCATTTCTGCTGAAGGAAAGTAACGGTAAAATGACTAGTTGGACTCTCAGTCCCCCTCTCATTGCTGATTTATTTTCTTGTTAGGGAGAAGGACTGTGCCTTTGCCAGAAAGCTGCTGTTGCTTTTCCCCTTTTCAAAAGGTCAGGGTGTGATGTGGTGTAGTGCAATATCAGATGCGCAGTGCTTTACACCTTGTTGTGTGTGTAGGGAACGATAAGATGAATTATTAAGTATTCAATGTATGCACCTGCTCATAAACTGAAGAAAATATATTTGACGAATGTCAAAGTTCCCAGAAAAAAAAAGCTAATTTTAAAGCCTGGTCTAGCACATTTTTCAACTTGCTTTATGTCTTACATAGTTTCCATGGTTCACTCCAAATGTTTAGCAATCCAGCTCATGCTCGAGAACTGCCTCAGGCGTACCTCAGGTGTCTTTAATCCTCAGAATCCACTCCAGCTATCCCCCCTCCCCCCAGTGATATATTTGATTTAGAAATGTCCAGTTGATGAATGTAATGTGTTCTTAATACTGTTCATCCTGTTTGTTAACTTTTAGCACTGTAAACATTCCAGTTCAACGCAGCATCCCCTCGACAGCCAATGAAATCAACAAGAGCTTTAAAACCTGTCCATGTGTTTGCATCCCTTTCAGTAATAAGCATCTAAATTATATGAAATATATATCAACTGTATATTTGACTTTTTGTAAAATAAACCTAACCAAAAAAAAAAAAAAAAGAAAAGTTGACCTGATCAGTTTGTGATGTCTGTGAAGTCTTGGAGCAGCAGCATGTGTTCACATTTCAGGTGATGGATGAAGAGAAAGTTGTTTTGACATGTGCCATTCTTCTGCTATCAAAAGCCAGAATACAATAAAACATGTTACTCTTAACAGATTAACAAGAAACATGAATAAAATAACAGTTGGTCATTTTAGAAAACTCTGATTTGTTTTCTTGCCAAGAATAAACTAATGCTAGCTAGATAAGAACATTGTGAAGTAGCTAATGAGTTTCAGTAAGCTACAAACAAAAAACAGGCCGTAACTCATTTTGGACTGAAAATAGGTAAACTAATATTATATTTGAATGAAAATGCAGATTCAGTATTCTAAAGAACACCTCAAGCCCCGAAAAGGAACATCATCATCTTGTGTGCACAAGACAATTTATGTTGTAGAGATCAGTTATCCTTGGTGCAAAAAAACAAATCACGTCTAACTTGAGAAAACATATTTCTGTTTTTTGGCTTCAGGAGCTCCAAAGGGCTTTATAAAATGACATTTTGTGCTCTAAGCTAAGATCTGTCATTGCCTAAAAGATAAACTGTGCTTTATTCAATATTTTCTTCTTCTCTACCCTGTGTGTTGCTTTGTGCCCCAAGTCTTCAGACGGGAGAATGAAAACTAAAAACCAGAGGTTCACAGGGAGGTTAAGTTCTGAGGCTCTGATCTCAGTAACAGGAACTATTTTCTAAGATAGAACGACTCTCGGGGCGCGGGTGGCGCATGGTCGAATCCAACCTGTGGCTCCTTTCCTGCAAGTCATTCCCCCCTCTCTCTCCCTGATTTCCGACCCTATCCACTATCCTATCTCTACATTGAAGGTATGAAAAGACCGAATCTAAAACAAAAAACATTGACAACTCGTTCCCCTCTGAAGGACTCGAGAGTTCTGATTGATATTTGGGTAGAATATTTACTGAATCAGCACCGCTGTACAGACAGACTTCACAGAGTGTCTGGACTCCTGTTCATGAATAACAGATACGACACACACAATGCAAAGCAACCACAGGAAGCCATTCAGTTTTTAAAACTTTTTTATTGTTTTTAAGTTTTTTTGCTCATTTTTTAAATTATTTATATTATCTACAAAGTAAAAGTTTTAACTTAAAAGTTACATAAGGGTCAGGTGAGAAGTGGGATTTGATCACCTCAGCCATTATAATTTCATAAATAACGTTTCTCCTTTCCTCTCGGCTGCTAAACGTGTTCATTTCTCAGGAAGCTTCTCGTCGGGTTTCGTTTTTTTTTTAGTTTGGTTAGAAACTTTTCATGTAGTCTGGAAACAAACGCAGCACATAGCAGCAGCAATAAACAGTAAGATTAATACTGTTTAAAGGTTGGAAGATTTTTTTTTATAACAAGGTGCAGACAAAATACAAGTTCCAGTTGAATTTTCTTCTTCACTCTCACTGATTAGTTACTCTCATTCTCTCTTCCACATCTTACTTGGCAAGCGGACTCAAATTGCAATTTGGGACCCCTGAAAGAGTGTGTGTGTTGTTTGTGTGTTTATGTTTGTGTGTTATTTTTGCAGATATCAGGGGCTGAAAAGGATCAGTCATGTCCGATACAACTCTCTAGCTTGTTAAAACATGTCACTGCATCAACCTGTTAACATTCTCTTATTGCCTAGTCAGGGAGGGAAGGAGGGAGGGGAGGGAGAAGCTGATGTGAAGCATGTCTGGTGAAGATGAGGAAAGAGAGGAGAGGGAGGGACTCTCATTCTCTTCCTCGCCTGGTTATGAAGGCTCGGGCTGAGAAGTGCGACGCAGAGCGGGTCCCTCGGCTCACTGGCGCCCTCTATCTACAGCTGCTGCTGATGATGAGGTTGCACTGCAGACAGACAAAATGGGGGAAACGGAAAAAAGAAATATGCATTCAGTGACTTTGTACAATTGTTTAGCTCGCATTGTTTTCCATTTGTCTCGTCTCTCTTGCTCATCGTCAACAATAACAGACTATGAAGATAATAAGATGCAGCAGTCTGTGCTGCACAAACGTGGTGAGCATGTTCCATAAATCCATTAAACTTTTTAGTACTACCGATAATAATCACTTTTTAAACCAAGAAGGAATCTTGCATGCAAAAGACACATCTGACATATTATTAGATTTTTATGGAGACATAAAAAAGCTCAATATGTTCTATAATCCGTGATTTTGTTTAGGAAACTTGACAGACTGTTTGCATAGCTGTACCTTGTATGCATAGTTTGAAGAAATACAGGTTGTTCACGTGTTTAATTTAAATAATGCTCAGGCAAATTGTTTGATAAAGAGAGAGGACAGTGTAAAAAAAAAAAAAGGATAATCCACCCGCTGTCTTGTTTCCTGCCATGGCTTCACCTCTTTAGAATAATTTATCAAGAAACACTTCCAGCGTAAATGAGCGAGCTGTCTTTTTTTCAGTCTGGCAGATTTCATCGTTAGATCTGCTAAGAGACGCTCAAATTCAGCGGGCCATCTGGTGTCACTACAACTATTCCTGTCGCAGTTTACAAGACTGTCATAGCTTGTGACAGCTGACGTTACAGAGTCAAAGAAAAATACACATTTAACAAGTTTCCACCCGGCAGGAGTGTGCTAGATGATAAAATGAACTGACCTTGTGGATGTGCTAGGTAGGAGAAATGTGTGGTGGAAGAAACAGGTATGTGGTTGAGTGCCTGCTGGGGCATTTGGGGCTGCGGACCCCCCGGAGGACCCTGGGTAGCCATCAGCATCATGGTGGGGTGGGTTTGCCCCGGGTGGTGAGACGGCACCATACCAGACTGCATATGGGCCTAGGTGTAACAGACAGAGTGTGTGTGTGTGTGTGTGTGTGTGTGTGTGTGTGTGTGTGTGTGTGTGTGTGTGTGAGAGATAACAGACAAAGAGGAAGAAGAAGTCATTAAAAGATGTAACAGAGAAACCGACACCACAACACTATAAACAGTGGCAGCTGTCAGCGCCGTACTTTTGACCCTTTGGATCATCGGGTGTGGATGATGGAATAAAGCATAAATCTAAGAGGCATGTTTGATTTTTGTAACGTAAGCCCTCATCAGATGTTTTAGCGTTCTTTAAACCGGTAAAACATAAATATCTGTCTGAAATGGTTAATATCAGAAAAACAAAATGGAGAGAAACACACAAACATGAGGCTAAGCTAATGAGTATATTTTAGTGTATTGAGCTGGTGCAGGATGCGATTAGCCTAGCTTAGCGTACACTCCTCTAGCTTACCTCTAACAGTTCACTAATACAGAACAACAAAAACCTCTTAAGCCGTTAGTGTTTAACATTCACAGCTAAAGGTAGAAGATACAATGTCTAGTTCTTTGAATGACTTTAGTGGTGATTATTTAATATTAAAGTTCATACTGGAAGTCTGCCCAGCATTATTTGCAGCATCTCTTGCATCATCAGTCTCAGGGTTCAAGCTTCATACACAGATCAATAACACTCTCGTCTTCCTCTAAGTGGACAGATCCAAACCTCATAGCCTGAAAAGTTAGCATTCAGACACTTGTATTTTTTTTTAATTGGAATGGAAATGGTTAAAAGTATTTTTCATCTATATATGAAGCATGTTTTCTCATATGAAACTTATCTTGTGTGGGTAGCTACTTTAGTTCAACAGTACTTGAATGAAATGCTATTTCACTGGTACAAATTGAGTAATATTGCCACATATTTGAGATATGAGCTGATATCGATAGTCACTTAAAATGTTAATATCGTCCGATACTCTTGACTGGCTGCTTAATTCATCCAGCTCTAATACAAATCTAATAACATGCGTACATAGATAACTGATCTGTAAGACGCACAGAGACACGGCGATGGCTGTTTAACACACTTTGCCTTCTTTACTCCGCACATCTTCATCACCTACACGTATTTATTGTGTAAAATAGTGAAGTGTGGAAATTAAGTACCGTAGGTCATTAGGCCTATAAATCCTCAGAATTAGTCACAGTGCAGATAGAGTCTGTCACAATAAAATGTGGCCAACAGTTAAAAAAAAATAAACAAAAACAGTTGTTTATTGATATAAACAATATGTTCTCTCCACTCCTTTCACAAGCACCATTTCTTGGTGAGAAAGTTTATTTTCTTTGGCTAACTTCTAGAGGTTGCCGTGATCCAGCGCTGCAAACCTTTGATCTGCTCGCTCGTTTGTATGTATTTTGGTTCATGAGGCGCTTTGCATTGACCATTTAAGGTTGAATGTGGGCGTATAGAGGGCGTTTTATGTGCACACATAGGTCGATCGTGATTTGAAAAGGGAACACTGCGTGCAGGTAAAGGAAACACTCTGATCTCTTGTTCAGCCCGCTGAGAGCACGCTCTGACTCACCTGCTGCACATGGGCCATGTGGTTGTGGTTGTAGCCGTGCTGCACCTGCTGTGGGTGGATGTAGACTGTCTGCTGGGCAGAGGGGAACGATGCCTGGGGAGACTGAGGGTTGGGTCCTGGGGTCATGGAGGGGGGAGTGGGGGCCAAGGTTGAGTACATCTGCTGCTGCGGGGCCTGGTTGGCCAGGTGGAGGGCCTGGGCTGCTGCTGCAGCTAAAACAAATGAAACACATTTCAATAAAAACACAAAAATCAAAGCATCCCTTTCACACGGGCAGATCTCTACTATGGCCGTCACGAGGTGGAGAGGACAGAGACTGCCATGACCACATCTCCACCGTCAGCTCCCAACATCCAGACACTCATCTTACAAACTGCTGAGGTCACACACACACTCCACAACATCATTGTGTGAAAAGCAATTGGCCCAGATGGTGTTTTAGGCCGGCTTATCAGAGATTGTGCCGCAGAGTTAACCGAGGTATTCACACACATTTTAAATCAATTCCTGGGATAGTGCAGTGTTCCCACATAGAAAGACAGCCTCAATAGTGCCAGTTCCAAAACACACAGCAATTACTGGCCTAAATTACTACAAGACCAATAGCACTGACAGCTATCATAATGAAGTGCTTGGAGAGATTGATCCTCAAGCACATTAAGGCTGCTCCCCCACCCACCGTGGACCCACACCAATACGCGTACAGAGCCAACAGGCTCCTGTACTCTCGGTATACCTCTGTGTGATGGATTGGTGCACAGTCGAACATAATCAGAACATTTGCAGATGATACAAAACTGGTGGGGCTGATCTCTGAGAGGGACCAGTGTGCTTACAGAGAGGAGGTACAGAGGCTGGTGCAGGGAAAACAATCTGCCACTCAAAACACACATGCAAAAAAAAGAAAATTGCCGACTTCAGGAAAAACGTGACGTGACGTCACTTTGACTATCAAAACACGTCCCTGGTTAAAAAGGCACAACAGCAGCTCTACTTCCTGACGACACTCTGGAAGTCTACACAACAGCTGCTGGCGATTTTCTACCAGTGCTCCATTGAGAGCATACTGCTGCATTGAATCCTGGTGTGGTATGGCAGCAGCTCTGTGGCTGACAGGAAGGCCCTACAGAGGATCATCCATGCAGCACAGAATATCATAAACACACTTCTGCCTGCCCTGAATGACATCTACACATCCGCTCCCTACGAAAGACATCCTGCATCCTCAAGGACACGTCTCACCCTAACCACTACCTGTTTCACCCACTGCCCTCAGGAAAGTGCTACAAATCAATCAAAGGATGCACCAACAGACTCAGCATATGTACAGTATGTACAGGATTTACTATTTAAAATTTGACCTATATTTGACCTTGTTTTAATTCAATGGTACTTTGAGGTCCACTCAGGCTGTGCCAAAGACTTTCGTCGTATACACCTGTACAATTAACATTTTATTCTATTCTGCTCACCTGCTGCTGCCTGTTGGTGCTGTGGGTGCTGGACTGGGCTAGCAGCTGGGTGGCTTTGTGGACCTCCATGTTGAGGGGGACCACCCTGCTGGCCCTGGCCTGTAGGCGTAGCAGAGGGCTGGGGATGCTGAGGGTGAGGGTGCAAGGTGGCACTGGGGTGTGGGTACTGCTGAGGCATTGGCCCTGGAGACACTGTGGGACAGGAATCAGTGTGGGTGAGGATGAAAGTGTAAAACAGAGACACTGGACGGACACTCTGACCAACACACTCTCGTTTGAACAACAAACAAGTTCTGGGCGTCCGTACCATACATGGTGTGTGTCTGCTCCGGGTACTGTGTAGTTGAGGAAGAGACAAGGCTGGGCTGTCCATGTGTGGGAGGCGCCATCATCCTGGCACTGCCCTGCATTACTGGACTGAACACATGCTGCGCCTGGAGGACACACAAGGTCACACGAGAGATGGACAACACATCAGAGCCAGTGTGTTTAACTGATTTTAACCAGTTATGAACAAGTGCATAAGGATGCCTCTGATTGACCAACAAAAGATATCATTGTGAGAAGAGTCATGATTTCCATACATCATTTTTACAGGCTGGCCGCTGCTGTTACTGGGCTGGGTTACCACAACTAAATACACAGTACGCAGAGAGATAGAGCTCCCTTGGGAAGCCGGGGAAAGTTCTGAAATCTGACTGGTCCAAACCCGTGGTCAAAACAAAATCTGAAAATGACTAAGACTAAATTCATATTTACTAACACTGGTTTGAGTACCTTGGTACCTCAGTGGTAAGAGTGCACTTTTGCTGCAGGTTTTTCTGAATGCCATGCACATCCATTCCCATTTCTAGTTTGCCTTTTCTCCTTCTACGCTGAAAATGCAAAGAGGAACCTTTTCCATACAGCAGGCAGATGGTGAAAAAGTGGACCTCTGTTCTCCAGGTGTATGGTTTCGGAGTCTGATTTAAACTACTTTCCAAGTTCAGAATTCTCTTCCGTTCCCCTCCCTTCCCAATTTTAAATCACATTGTGTGTTCACTTTCTTTATTGTTAAAAGCAATACAAATAAATCTCACTCCCATCCCTGATTTGACTGTGGCCTTCAGTTGACTCCTCTGTGTTCTACTGCTTGCTTACAACACTTCAGGGGGGAGAGAATGTACTCTGCTCCACAAATCAGATGTGATGGGCGGCTGGCATCATGCTGGCACTCTGTCAGGCTGCTGGGCTGCATGCATCTGTCTGACAAAGTAGTAAACAGCTGGGAGACATAAAGACTGCCAGCTCTCACTGATTGGACCAGACTAACAGTGATAGTTACATATGGGTCTTAATAGGGGAGCCTTCTGGACTGGGCATTGCTTAATAAGCTGCTAATGATTGCATTTTTTTGTTTTGGTAGTGGTAGAAAAAGAATACACCATACCTGTGATTGGTAATGTGTCATCTGCTGAACCAGCGGCTGACTGGTGAATTGCTGAGGGCTGCAGGTGAAGTACTGAGCAGAGTAGGCGGGGCTCTGTGCTACAATAGGGGGTCCTGCTGCTGTCGCTGGATGCATCATGGTGGGCGTGCCTGGTGGGTGGTGCTGGTCTGACCTCTGCTGGGGCATGTTGGGTACTGGAGGTTCATGTAAAGAATTTATGTGGAGAAGAAGTTTTAGTTTAACATAATCAACACCGACCTGCTTGGAATCGATGAGGAGTTAGGAAAATGACCACTGGTTATGACAGAGGCACTTCTTTTTTTTTTCACTGCGTTGGCACCTATATTGAAAGATGACCTTTCTGTAATCCATCTTCACGAAGATGAGAAACACCTTCACAGATGTTTTCAGATAATGGGTTATCTGTACCAAAACTGTCTCATCTGCGTTTTGCTCCTTTAACAAATTGTTCCAGAATAGATAGCTAATTACATCTTGCCAATGCCTTCACCACTCACTCTTTATTGCATACGAACTACACCGGTTAAAACTTAAAAGGTGGAGGCAACGATAGCCTAGCAGTTATAATTGCAGAGGCCGTGTTTTAGAATCTGACCCCGCCCCTTCGCTGCATGTCATCCCCCACTGTCTCCTCCCAACATTTCCTGTCCCTCTTCAGCTGTCCTATTTAATACATGCAAAAAGGCCACAGACACATCTTGGCCCTTGACTACAAATTCAGATTTATGTGTATCTATATGTTTACACAGATTTATCCAACTTTAGAAAACTTGTCCAAAACAAAGTGAAAGGAAAGCTAGCCAAGCATAGGTACAGCTCGAAAAAAAGCCTTATTAATACCCAATCTCAATATTATTTCCTTGCTAATTGTCCTGTTAATTATCATCTATTTAGAATAACATATTTAGTATAATTTATATATTCTTTCTTTATATTTGTCATCTATTTGTTTTGGGTTCTCTCCACGTCATTGAACATGAGGGCATGTCCTTATTGAGTCCTAGAGATTAAATGAAGGTTGAGTGACTGAATGAATCTAAATGTATTATGACGAGTGAGGTACTTCCTGAAGCCGAGACAAACACCTTTTGAGAGCACGCAAAGTTCATGAATATAATCCAACTCAAACATGACCTCCTAAACAAAATGACATCATTAATTGGGGCCATCGCAGTCATTTTACCAAACGATAAATTTAGTCAGCTTAAGTGGGAGAGATGCAGAGATAGAGAGAGAGAGGGAGGGGGAGAGAGAGAGAGAGGGAGAGAGAGAGATAGTTGCAGGTCAGGGGCGAAGTGAGATAAAGCAGAGGTCATTCTCACCTTTACCTGGTCTGTAGGGTTTAGACTGGCTGACTGTCATATGTGGCATCTGAACCTGGTACATAGCTGGAGACTGGAGTGAGGAGAGGAGCAAGGATGAAGAAAACAGCTTTATTTTCAAACTTCTTAGAACAAAATTAAAACCAACCCTCAACTCATAGACGAATGTCTGATGACCTGTCTTAACCGTTCTGTGGGGCTGGACCATCTACTCAGCACGAACCAACACATACAAAAAAAATGTCTAACTTCTAAACCTTTGTGGATGTGAGATTGTGGGAAATATATCTTACCTTGGGTCACATGCATAATCTATACCCGTCTATCATTGGGCAGAAAGAAAGTGTTTTGAACTATGAATTCAACCCAATGACTGCTCGTCATGGTCCATTCCTTAACGTTTAAACATTAGAACTCATGCATTTATCTTACAAACAAGACAGAGAGGCTCCTATTAGCTTTCAGCCAGTCGTTCAGTGAATAGATGCAGCCAATAGAAAAAAGATTAAGTTATATAAGTCCATCTGTGGTGACAGTTGAAATTGCAATAAGAAGTTGGCAAACCAACATCTGATGGCATTAATTCAACAAGCAAGTAGAACATCTCACTGATTGGCCTTAAAAAAAAGGAAAAGAAAAAAAAAGGATTAAAAAAAATTCACAAACCTTCCATATTATGCTTTTCTAATGGAGCAAGAGAGAGGAGGAGGGGGAGAAAAGGGAAAGAGAACCACTCTTTAGTTGTTCACCAAAGTACGTTTACATGTGTCTGATGTTGGATCACCAAGTTTTTCTTAAAGCAACACAGAAGATATTTATTACAGACAACTGATGTCATATTTTATATATGAAAATAATAATCTGACAGATACCAATGTATGGAGGATGACCAAGGGAAAAAGAATGAATGAAGGTATGAATATGAAGTGTACACCAAAGAGAAGAAGAAAAAGGCATGTAAGTATAAAGAGCTGTTCTCTGAAGGACTTTGAGTCACCACGCTTTTTTCAGACAAATATCTGAATTTCGGTGGATAAGGGAAAATTATGACTGAAAATTATCTGCAGAAGTTTGTTGCTCCCAAAAAAACAGATCCAGTGATGTAAACTGGTAAAAAAAAAAAGAAAGGGCAAAGTTTGAGCAATTTTTTGTTCAAAATGAACATTTGACTGCAGCATTTGGAGCTGTCGCTAGCTTGTGTCTTTAATAATAAGCTAGTAAACTGGCTTGAAGCACTTAGTAAAGTAGACATCTAGAAAAGTTTACATTTTCAGATTACAGCTAGTTCTTACAGAAAGCAGATTAGAAAAAAAGATGACACTCATGCAGGATGATAGGAGAATGTTTGTAGTGCTGTAGTGGGAAAACAGAGAATGAATAAAGCTCCAGCCCTATAGTCTATTAAAAAAATGAATAAAGAAATCCGGGTAAAATTATGATGGCATGCTTACAAAATGATAAAAAGTGCAAAAAAGGAAAGAAAAAAAAAGGACAAACAGAAGCTGACATGCTGAGAAAATGGTGATGGTTGTAAGGGATTTAATTGAATGAACTTCAAATGATTAGGGTCATCAATATTGTCAGTCGCTTCTGTCTTCATAATTCATATCTATGAAAACTGGTAAATGTCTCACCTGCACTCCAGGGCTGACAGGTGTGAGGGGATACATCTGTGGGAAGCATACTGTCTGGCCGTAAACAGCCTGGGGCTGCTGGACCATGATGGAGGGGCTGGGCTGGCCCTGAGGCCGGGGAGGCGTCGGAGTGTTGGCTGGTTTGGGCTAACGAAGGAGAACATGTAAAGAGACTCAAAGTTAGTTAAAGTTAACTCTCAGTCTTAGTTTGAGGCATTTAAATGATGAAGTCTCACAGCCGGAGAACTTACTGACCTGTGTGTTGAACCTGGGTTTAAACTCATTGGCATTAGGGTTCAGAGTTGACTTCCTCACTTGACTGCAGGAGAACAAAGTAAAGAAGTTAGAGAAGTTATTAAATCATAATAAGATTTTGTGAAAAAAAAAGGCTCCACAGTTTCAGCCTGTCATTTCCACTCACTCTTGTACAGCCTCCTTTTTCTCCTCCTTTTCTTCATGCTTGGGTCCACTGAATGAGGACGTGGCCGATGTCTGAACACCCTGTGATGTCACATCCAGCCCTGCCCTCTTCATGTCTGGGGCTGAAGGAGAGGGAGACAGCGCAGCGGGACTGCCAGGCTTACTGGTGTTGATGGTGGTGTTGGTAGATGGGGCAGGGGCACAACCGGGGGCACTTGCAGCAATCACAGCACCATCATCGAGGCCCTCCCGCCCAACTGCGGAGGCTTTGTCCAGGGGAAGGTCTTTCGGCTTGTCCGCTGGATCTCTGGGCGGCTTGGTCATCATCTGGTCAAAGGCGGGGTCAGAGTTTGAACTAGACTGCAACTTAAAATGAGAAGACCACTCAGGAGATACACACACAAGCTCATGAGCATGAGTTTGTTTGGTAAGATTTGAACATTTCTAAAACATGGAAATGAAAAAAATACTTACCCTAAAATCGACACTAAATTTCTTTAAATTATCTATTTGTTTTCTGTGGTCTGATGCCATAGAAGGGGGTCCTGTAGCAGGAGGAAAGAGAGAGGCATGCTTTAGGATGAAGACATTCATTTTTCAAAGACAGAAAAAGGTTAGAACGAAGGCTAAATAAAAATCAGGTTAGGTTTAAAGCATTGCTTTCTTGAACGAGTAATGCTGTCCAGTGTGACCTGTACCTTTACAGACTGGTCTGGTGATACTGGGTGAGCTGTCCAAGGGCTTGATATTCTCCTTGTTTGCCATTGGGGATGTTTGCCTTGTTTCCTGAACACGACACTCCTTTGCTGTAGAGAGCAGGAAATTATTAATATCCAAGTACACAGCAATTCATTTTTTCATATCAAACATAACATCTCTTATATCATAACCCTCAAGCGTACCATCTGCTAATGGAGAGGCGACCATGCCGGGGGCGGGGCTAGCAGCAGTAGGGGAGGAAGTTGATGTTGGTGTGGCAGCAGTTTCCACAGGTGTTGCTCCTGTCTGGGGTGAAGGTATGGAGGAGGAGCCAGAGGACGCTCCACCCATACTGTTCTGTCGGGGGGGAGCGAGGTCTGTGAGCTGAGGAGGACAGGAAGAAATGAGATGATCTGAGGGTGATCACACGATGTAACTCACTTTAATCTACTGACGCACAAGCAAACAATGAATAGATTAAAAAAAAAAAAAAAAAGGACATTCAGAAGTGTTCTACCTCCACTAACTACTGATGACCATGTCCCTCCAGAGGAGCTGCTCCTGGTTGGTGGAGTCACTGGGACCTCTCCAGGGGCATTGTGGGAAATTAAGTCCACTCCTGGGGGGACTCCAGTAGTCCGGCAGGGTGGCACTCTGTGAGCACGAGGTGTCCGCTGTGATTTTGGAGACATTCTGGGTGGACCTGAAGTAAAAAAAAAAAAAAAGAAAAGACAAAAGCTGAAGATGGACAGAACTCTTTGATGTGACAGTGGGAGTGAGGTGAACAGCGTCCTAACATTCTGCTGTGAAGATCTCCCTTCTTAACTAACCTGTGTCACACAAAAGCTCTTAAAAAAAACAACAACACATCTGCACTGATTATATCTTAATTTGTGGTTATCTTAATTATGTTATTTGTTTACATGCATGTTAGTGGAAAAACTGCACATGATCCTGTAAAAGTGATCCAACAACACAGCACACTTATCAAACCACAGCCAAGTGAGGTGGGAGATGAGAACCGGGAAGACGGTAATGAACGTGAGGTGGACACCTGTGTTCAAAGATAACTCTTCAGTAGAGTTTGTGCAATCACACAGAAAGAATTTAAACAGTCCGGTTGTCACGATACCAGAATTTATACTTCGATATGATACAAGTAAAAATCAAACCATATCAATACCTGGTTTACAAACATGGTTAAACAATCAGAAGTCCTAGGCACCCAATAGTGGGTTCAATTTGCAAACAAGCTCCTGTATAATGTCTAAATTGCACAAATAGATTGGCAACATGTTGGCACAGAAACGTTGCCAATGTTGAATGAGTGTCTTCAGTACACCCACTTTAAAATATTCCACTTTAATTATGCCTTTGTATCAAAGTATCCATAAATTGTAATGTATAAATACGTGTGAGGCAGCAGCCCTTAATATTTTAGCTCAGTACTCCAGCAGATTAGATTCAACTTGTAACAAGGGTTAAGTGGTTAAAGTGTTCACTTGGTCTAAAAGCAAGGGGAAGGCAACTTCTGAGAAAACAGTAAAAATAGCATTTTTTTTTTTTTTTTAAGTATCTAATTAGGGAGATGTCGCAGTGAAGGAATTCCCACCGCAGTGATCCAGGGTGGCTCAATAGTGCGGTATGCAGTATTTTCAGCCCCTTTTTATTTATTTAACTAATTTGTTTGTGACTCAGGGGTCAGAATCTGGCCCACCATCTTACCTGAAAGATAATTTTGATTGTGACTTTTATTTATTATATTCTTTTAAAAAATGCCACTCTGATCAGCACCAGGCGCCGCTCCCGTGCACACTGTTCCGTGGCGTGATTGTTTGTCTTAGTCACTGATTGTCACTGTGTTACTGTTAAAGACAAATAGTAAAAGTCACAACCAAAATAATCTTGCAAGCCAAATACCATTTGCGATGTGATATCTCAAATGAGACGTTTCCTCCTTTCACACGGATCTTTTGGGCGCAGATTTTACAAATTGCATCATCTAAATTAGCTGGTTCTCCTTTTTCATTTGGCCTACAGCTGAAATGTTTCCAAAGGGACAAAGTTACATTTGGTTTAGTTACCAGTGCAGTTGCCATTGTTTCCATATGAACATAAGGTGAGGTGACTTCACGTGAGGTTAGCTTGTATATACCGCGATAGCCTTACGATTAATGGAAAAAAAATGACAAAGCAACTGCACACAAAGCACACATGAATGTTTACTGCCTCACTACTACTGTAGGACAAGTCCACAGGACAACTTTAGAGAGCGCAACACATTGTTGTTATTGCTAACCTAGTTCAACTACTTCTGCTTGGCTACACTTGTGCAGCTAGCTTGCTAGTTTTAGCTTATGGAAGACTCCTATAATGCATACTTAGTGCAGCAGCAGAGCTTGCACAGGCAGCTAGACAAGCAGGTTAGACATCTAGACAACCGAATGATAGGACAGTCTTATGACAGGCCTGTGACAGCCACACATTCGTCTTTAATACCTCCTTTTGCAAGTGCTTTTGCGTAAATAGTGTTATCTTTACAGGTACAACAGATGACAATTCTGGCCGTAAGTGATACTGGGTGTCATCAGAAATGCAACACACTGAAAAAACATCTTAGCAGAGGAGGTTCACAGAAGAAAAGCTCAATGACAAGTTCGGTTACTCTTGCCTGCTTTAGCAGAAAACATGTTGAGGTCTTGTGGAGGCATAACTCTTTTGCTTAACAGAAAGCACAGAACACATCGTGTTGCACCCACATGCCAAGGTGAAGCTGCCTGATGCACTGACGAAGGATCAGCTTTGTGGCCTACTGAATCATCGTGAGTATTTGGCATGGAAATGACAAATCTGACCCCAAATCAGGTTTAAAAAGCAACTTCACCTTTTTGTGTTGTTTCACACTAGACCTGGGCAAATTGACTAGTTTTCTTATTAACTGTTAAGACACTTTTTTAACATAAAGACAAGAGGAATTTTCTTTTGATTTTGAGCTCAATCCAATAACCTTCAACATATGCCTTTGCCCAGATCTACTCCACACTGATGTGGGTACCTTCTGAAGACATGCGTTTGGGCAGGGTGTTGGCTGGAGACGTGGGCCCATGGTGAGAAAAAGAGGATGGGGAGGAGGGGTAGGAAGGATGGGATGAGTGAGAGGGAGGCCTGGAAGGTCGAGAGGGGGGTCTGGAGGGTGGCCTGGTGGGCGTGGTCGCCCGAGGAGGCAGGGAGGAGGGGCCAGACTGGTAACGAGAGGGGGGCGGGAGGAAGGAGACGGACAGGGTGAGGGCCAATGGGATGGACCTAAAGGAGGGAAGGACAAATGATAAAAGGATGACAACCAGTTAAAGTGGTGAAAACAAAGGTATGGTAGGAACAGAAAAAAGGGAGAGATTAACCACATGAGAAAGAAGGGCAAGACAAGAATAATATGATCACAGAATAAATGCTTTAAATAAACAACCAATTACAACAAATCTGAACTTCCTAGAGACCCTAGACCAGCGACCAGCAAATCTTAAGAGTAAAAGGTTCACAAGGGGTCAATATATAGACTAACCAATGCATTAAGTGTGCAACAAAAACACAATAGGTTTGTGTGTGTGTGATGCATTCATCTTACCTCCATTGACCACCCTCTGGTCAGCCCCGGAGCTGGGACTGTAGTCGTGGGGTCCTGGTCGAGGAGCTGACGGTCCAGATGAACTCTGAGCCAGACGGGGGGAATTCTGACGTCCCGGTCCCCACGACATCGCCTCCCTGTTCCTCTGACCTGGAGGAATGTACTTGTTCTCCCTGCACTCACAGACAGACACACACACAATACAGTCAGAGACACGTTAGGATAACACTGTGGGGAATCAGTCTTTAACATTCAGCTAATTACTTCTCTAAATCGGCCAAAAATAATGATGTTTCTCTACCCACTAAGGAAGTATTTGTTCAAGAACAGCTGCTGTCTATTTAGCGAGTTTACTGGAATTACGTTGTCTCCATGTAAGGCTTGATTATTCTCCTAATGCATGTGACTGAGCCCTCTACCTCAGACCCCTTTTACAAGCATTATGTAAACAATATATGTACACATACTCTGATCTTTGCTCTTTGATGTTAAGAACTTTACTTCCAAAAAATAATTGATGTTGTATTGTGTATAACCTGCTGGTATAAAGCATATTTAAAAACTTCACTTTGTGCCATGCTGGTCCATCGATCTTTCTCTTGACTCAGTTTAATATCGGTCACTGGAAGCTTAGTTTTTAGAGAGCATATACCAGTGTGAAAGCTGTATCTCTCTCTCCAGGTCTGTCTCAGTCAACACAGAACCCGGGGGACACTTCAGCACCCAGGATGATGAATAATCTCTGTTGATATTTATAGCAAGTCTAAACGCATGAACATGTTGCTTCTGGTTTAAAAAAAAAAAAAGGCTGATGTCATTTGTAGCAATAAAATGTCAATCATGCATGTTCCCAAAAGTGACAACATTTACAAATATTAACAATCTGCTAACTCGATTTAATGCTAAACCAGCTCCATAAGTTCTCATATTTACAATGAAAAAATGGAAATGCAGCAATTTTGTACAACTGCATTTCCAAAAGGAATAATTACCAACCGTGAGAATTGCACGGTCTGCACTGACACACAGTCACTCCTAAAAGAGGTATGTATGTATTTGCATCATGTTTGTACATGTGTAATGTCTCACCTGCTGAGTGTGTGAGACTCTCTCTCCCCTCGCACCACAGCAGTATATTTCTCCTCCTCAGAGCGTTCATCGTTCTCCAGGGCTACGCGGGCTTTGTATGTTGCACTGGCCTCAATCTCTTCCGCCAGCTGGGCAGCACGCGCCTCCCTCTTGAGGAACTCTTCTGAGTTGTCCCGCTCCAGGGGGACCCTAGGGAACAAGCTCAGGTCAAAACAGGGAGGGTCTGAAATCAAGGTTAACTCTTTTTCATCAGGTCCAGACAAGATTCAAGAGTGATACTGCGTAGGTTTAAGCAACACTACAGAATATTGCGCCTGGAATGCTATATCATATTGTCAGTCATTTCCTTTACATTTTAAATATCATTTAGAGAGAAAAAAAACGCTCCAGGCAACAACAAAAAAAAGGACAACAACATATTGCTATAGAAGATGCTGCTGGTAATGTATTCCACAAGCTTGTGCAGCTGAACTGTCATGACTTGACGTCACTGTCAGATTTATTTCAAAGCTCATTTTAAAAGATAAGATTTAAGATTAAACTTTCTGGGGGGCTGGACTCACTACTGTACAAACAGTGTGAACTAATCATGGTTCCTATTGGAGGCTTACATTTCACTGTTCATGACACACACTCAGTTTAGAAAGTGAAACATGTTGGAGGGGAAGTTGCTGACCCCAGATATTAATAGAGATATTCATATTTCTCCAGAAAAGACATCGTTTCACAGCAAAATGTACACAAAAAGAAAGACACATGAGCAGAGGGAAGCTTACGTATATGTAGACAGGCTGCTGTCATATGTAGACAAGACTCCATATTTCTCCTCATTGTACTTGAACATGTCATTTGGATCCCACCCGTTTGACTGAAATAAAGAAAGAGTGAGGAGCAGAGAGGGAGAATTTCATCACAAAAGCTCTATACATACACATCTTGTCATAGGTTTGTACAAACACAGCACACAAACCTTCCTTCACTATCAAACCTACAAGTTACCATACAAGAGAACAGTATAGATTCTATTGTTTGTGCAGCATCAATGGTTTGTTGAGTCTGTGTCTGTTTTCTCACCACATCTGTATCCAGAGACTCGAGGCTGTCAGAGTTGTGGGTCTCTCCTCCATCCCAGGGCTCTAGATCTTTCTCTTTATGCTCGCCATTGATCCTAGTGCTCACTGCTGCATCTGTGAAATTGTCTGCAGCACACAGAGAAAACATATCTATGTACAGCAGACTGCCTCGCACAAACACGCATACACTAGTACACACACACACACACACTCAGGATGGCATACAGTCACATTGCTGCACTCTCACTGTGTATGCAGGGAAGCAATCATGCCTCAAGAGCTTCTGCCACAAGCTCCGACAGCAAAGGTTTATAAAGAGGAAAGAGTTGTCCACCAGGTACACCCACTGACAACCAGACATGGGGCTGACTGGATTCAGAAAAATCCTTTCAAAATTGATTGAGCCATCGTTCAAGCTGGCCTTGGTAAAAGTAACAAAGATAAAAGGGTTCAGGATTGGTCAAAAGGTTTGCTTTGTATAGAAATAAAATATATACTCCCCAAGCACTGTCTTAGCCTGTGACAGCCTGAGACCCAATTTATATGACTTTTGAAAGGAATTCCCATCTCCTGTCAGCCCAAGTCTGCTCTGAAATCCTCAGAAGTGGAACCCATGGACTTGTTGCACAAAGCATATCAGCCACCTGGTGTTACATAACTCAGCTGTCCAAACTCATCCCACAGATTAAGTTCGGAAGTATTAGATTGGCACCATACATGAAGTTGGACTAATGCCGAGGTCAGACTACACGTTATAAGCGCGATCTTGCAAACGTAGGGATTTGTGGACCCATCAGCCCCGAAAATTGAAAATCGTTTTATCTCGTGTTGTGTGTCATGGTAAGAGACAATCAAGGCCACATCTGGGACGCCTCATCTGGGACGCCTGCATTTCTGTTGGCCAATGAGAGCACAGAGCGATCTGCACGCACAGTGGAAACGAGGGTGAACAAACAAAATGGTGACGCGAAAGAAGAATGCTAAAGTGATGCTAAGAGATTGAATTTTGAGACAGAGGAAAGTTTTAATTTGACTGTATTGTTTTATGGTTACAGTCTTCTTTCCGGGTGTCATCTATCCCAGCCCCCTCACGTCGGCGTTGATGATTAGTCATGTGCCACGGTGTGATCTGTCGGTCAAGTCACGGAACTAATGTATGTGTCTGTGATCGCCTAATCGGACAATGACCATCGAAACACAAAACGATAGTGTAGTCTGACTTCAGCATTACACGACTGGATTATTTTAGTAGAGGTTGTTGAAATGCTCTATGCACTCTGTCCATTCTGGAAATCATACATAAAATAAGGATTACAAATCAAATGTGGGCAAAGTGAGGGGTAAGCAAACATGCATTTAGATTGCAGTCAATCCCATGACTTCAAAGCACCACGGGGCCAAACCAAATTAAACATCTTTTCATAGGTAGATTTTTCATACAATGCCCAGGAAGCAGATTTTGGTGCTCATGCGGGACACTAGATTTCAATCTGTTGCTTTCAATGGAATCATGTTTAAGGGTTCAATCATTTCCTTCTTGCTCTGATTGTAACTTACAAAAGTTAAAATAAGAAATAATAACCATACTGTTGTTCATCGTTACCCTAAATTCCACATCTGTGTCTGTGGCATGTATCAATACAAGTCTTAATTTCCTACTTTTTCATACCTTTTACTAGGACTGCACGACAACAGTAAAATATGCAATATGGGATAATATTGTTCAATATTTCCGTACCGATATAAAGTGGATTAAGTAAAACATAAATTAACAGTGCATACAAGCTATAATTCATTTTTTCTATTTGCTTGTCTTTATGTTTTACACAATACCTTTGTTTGCAACATTTTTTATTCTGCAGGAAAAAGGTGTGAAAGTGTGGCCGTTATACCCAGGCCTTCATCTAATAGGTGACATGTACGCATGCAGAGTTAAAAAGCATAGCTTGGTTGCATAAAATAATTTATTTACTGCCGTTAATTTAGACTTTTGCAATGTGTTCATTGCAAATGCAAATGAAATTGCCATTCATTTTGCAGCCCTACTCTTTCAACTATTAACTTTATGTATCTTATACCAGGCATAGGCCTGTACATACATAGTCTAATGTCAAAGTTAGGAGGATAGGTCTTTATTTTAACCTCTGCTAAACGTGAAAGTTTAACTTAACAGCCTGTTAAAGAGAAATACTTCCACAGAAAGCAACATCCATCAAAAGACAATTAAGGATCTCGTCAGAAGATATAGCACAAATGAGGCAGGCATTTGATTCTTATATTCAGATTGTTTATCCCTGATTCAAAATGCAGTCAAAAGGTGAGAAGAGATCAGCCTCAAGCCTTGAGAAGTGCTTCACAGATTTGTTTGGGTGCATACAGAGATGTGAGAGAAGAGAAAACAGCCATATATTACCTGTGTCAGAGGAGACTAGACCATCAGAGAGGGGAGACAGACAGACAACAAAATCAAAAGATGGACTAAAACACAGAATGACTGACTGGCCATTAAACCAACATTCTACTTTCTAATCAAAAATGTCAGGATGTGCATCTCCCTTGAAAAAGACCTCTCAACTCAATGGGACTAACCTGGATAAATAACAGTTTAAAAAAATGTTATATGTATCATCCATGCAACAGCTTAAAATGGAAATTCAGCCTGATTTATTTACAACTTCAATGTGTTTATTTTAAAGCTTTTGACTCCGTATGTCCCTGATCTGAGCTAGTGAGATGTTGAACAGCATGTACCTTGTAAAAACAAAAAAGGACATTTCTAATCAGTACATCACGTGAGGTCCTCTGGTAAGACTAGTCCCATGGGAATGGAGCTTAAACAACTTAGGATCACTAACATACAAATTGAGCTCTAGATGTTTTACTCCTCTGCAGAAGATTAAAGATAATGTCAGAAGTGGGACCAGTGCAGAAATCATACAACAAAATTGACCAAATAAAACTCGGCCACACAGTCTATTATCGTTCAAAGGAGAATTGTGAGGGTCAAGATGAATTAGATGAAGAAGACTCATTCAGCCTTTATTGAGTGTCCTTGCTGTGCCAGGGCAACCTCTGGATCAATCAATAGATCACATTAGTCTTCAATGACTGGCCACTCAGAGCAGACACACAAGATGTAACTTATGGCAAAGCCTCTGTGACACTAAGGTAGCAAATACAGACTGAAAAGGATCAATATGTTGTGTGTATACTGATGTGTATTTTTGAATGTGTTTGTTTTTGTGTGTTCAATGAATACAAACTAACCTAGCTAGAATGTGTATGCTTCATGAGCTTTTAGTATGAACAAGACTGGGTACATAAAGACTGCTATTGTGAGAAAATGTGTCTACACAAACGCCCTCAGTACCTTTCCTGGCAAAATTGAGGTCCACATCTTTGAAGGTCACTACTACAACATCTGAGGCCTTGAAAATGATGCTCTCCACAATATCTTCCTTCCTGGGGGCTATGCTCGGCTCTGGGCTCTTTCTGTGGGCTGCATCCAACACCAGGTCACACTGCAGGAGTAAGTTTTTGTTAAAATGGATTAAAGGGTAATCTGAATCACAAAGACAGCCTTTACTATGTACAGGAAAGATGAGACTCTTACGCCACCATGCATTGTTTCAAACATCCAGTTACTGTAACTATTCTCTGGTTCCAGCTTCTAAAGGAGGATTTTTATTAAATCTATGCTGTGTGTTAAATGTATGTTTATTAAGAAGAGATCACCCTAAAGACAGTGTAGAATCCTTCCTGTGCTATTTTCAGACAAAAAACTAAACCTGATCGATACATAAAAAATAAAGACAATCCTGAGAAGCAAAACCAGAGAAAAGAGGACATAATCAAGTATATCCCTTGGTGTGTTTGATTGAACTGAAAATCTGCCAATATGGCCCAGTATGCCAGTATTACCCACAGAAAAGTCTCTAGGTTCATTGGCTGATAGCATATATGAACTTAAGTCTGACTGACATGAATAAATGGAGTTTGAGCTGATTGGCGTTCAGATCAGAATGAGGGACTTGTTCATTGCAACATGAGCTGAAACCAACTCCAATTTCCTCAAAACAATCAGTTATACAACAACTAGTACAATGCTAAATGAGAGAATGGAAAACACAAGTCCTGCATCCAGAGATTAAATTGTTGACAATAAGACAGTGTGCAGCAGCATGGTGAGTACAGCTTGGTGAATACTTCACCATGTTTGAATGCACCGCTTGCACACACTGTGGTAATAAAAGCCAAATGTGATGCTTGGTTTTGGTCTTAAAACAAAGTGGTGTGTTTGCCTGCAAGCGAACCAAATTCTATTTATTTTGGGGTATCCTGCCAGGCCTACTCACATTTCGGTCACAAAAACGTTAGAAAACAGATATCAAGATATATGCTAGAGAGTATTTATGTTACTAACATTCCTCCAAGATCTAAACATAAAGACAAACTACCTTTCAGAAACTAAAAAAAAATTGCTCAGGTTAAGCTTTTGATTTGTGCAAAATTAATGTTCCCCCACAGGAGAGAGAATATGGCATACTTCAACCTAAAAGGGAGGATGAAGGGCTGCATGCCTCTCCACCATAAAAGGAAAGATAGAAAGGGCGATTTTTGTCTTTACAACCTCAGGAGTGAAGCTGCTATTGGCTACTTGGTGGGCAGTTACTCCCAGCACAGTTGACTTTAATCTGTATTACTGCTACCGAGAAAATCACGGATCTAGTTCCACTTTTAATTGAAGAACATTGAATTGTTTGATACTTACCTCTGGGCCGTATGTCTTAAATACTCCCTCATAGACCGCTCCGTTTTTCACTTTCAGCTCACACTTGGCCCCCTATAAATCAATAGGCGTATCATTATTCAATATACTTATAAATGATCTGCTCATCAGATGACGTGTAAAATTCTATTTACACCTTTACAAAATAAATTCAGAGAGCCATGTGTTGTAAAACAAATAACCAATGGATCAATCTCTGCTTTGATTCTTTCAACCAGCTGTCTCTACAAATCACAGAGGTTTTGTTTATAGCAGCGTAGACATTTCTGAAGAAACAGCAGGCAGCCAGAGACAGACTGCAATACCTTCTGCTGTTACAAACTAACTTAGTTTAGTTTAGTTTATTAGGATCCCCATTAGCTGCAGCATTACAACAGCTATTCTTCCTGGGGTCCTCACAACAGACTTGACAATGCAACCATTACAACACGTCATAACACAACATTAATCATAAACAGGATAAACAGGACAAGACGGGTGTAAGCGTTATTCACATTGAAGTTTCAGACAAGGTGTTTTTCCTTTAGCCACTGGGCTTTTTCCTCTATTATTACATAGATAATACAAAGTGAACATACCACCACTGAAGTCAAGACATGGACCATCCTCATATTTGCATATACCCCATTGAAAATGACCTAAAGAAAAAAAACACAGTTAATATCTGATATTTCCAACATGCAAAAAAAAAAATGCAACACTAAGGACATCTGTAACATTCATAAGTCATTCTAAAAACTGAAATCCAACCACTTTATTTATACTTTATCTGAAATCCATTCTTTGCCACTTTAAAACTAACTGCATGCCTTTCAAAAAGATGTCACCACCTCCAGGTGAATGAACAGAATGGACAAGAGTAAGCATTGATCTACAGTAGTGTGTGGGTTTCCAAAAACAGCTATTTTTCTTTCATGAAATACTTCATTCAGGCAACAGAAAACTCACAATAAACCAGTTACTTACAGCTGCAGGACCTTTACCACTGTGTCTGCCCCTGAAAAAAATGGCAATGTGTCAAACTCACCATCACCATCATTATTAGCCCTATTCAGATTGCCGTTTCAAGGTGTCGTGCTTACGTCCCTGTGAGGTTTCGCTTTCAATATAATTGTTGTGGGATGTAATGGGGGAACAAAGGGATCCCCCCCTCTCTATGATGTAGTCCGTAGTCTGTAGTAACAGAATCGTTGCAGTGACAAGACGGGATCGGGGATGCCAGTGGGGGAGCGCAGCGCTGTGTGTGTTTGTATATGTGGAGCTTCCGCTGTGCCGTGCTCTCTTGCGCTTCAGCAATGTCGTAAGGCAATGTGAGTCCACAGATTGGGACATCAACATAATGCCTTTGCGGAATCAATAACAATGTCTTAATACGCAATGACGGCGGAAACTAGTAACGTCGCTGTTGTGCAATCTGAAAAGGGCTATTACCATATACTGAAAACTGAACTACAGTACCCACTGATGGGGGCAACTGTACAAATGAAATGACTGAAATCTCTAAATGCCTTAAGATATTCAAGAGCCACCATTGCATGTTACACAAATGATCAAAATTAGACATCTAGAAAATTCAAATTCATTTCATGCTTGAATGCAACACAGATTTGTGAATTCCTCACAAGAGGAAAAGGTATTTTGCTGGTTAGAAAAAAATGTTCCAAGCGGCTGCCAGCCAAAACACACAAGTAGCCTACATTTTTTTTTCCCCAAGCATGTCCTAAAATGCACCTTGTTCAGCAGCTGGCACGTAGCCAGGCATTCACACACGATACAATGAAGGCAATGGCCACTTTCCCTACATTATATCTACTGTAGCATAGAATGAGAGGCTCATTGTCTTGGTCCAAAAGATTATGATGGAACAAATCCAACTAATTTGGAAATGTAATAAGCTGTACATACGTGAAAGAGGACAAGTCTTATTTTACAATTTCTTCGCACGGCCTCAATAGATAAAAACCTACGCAATGAATGGGACGTACTGTCCTAGTGACCGGTGAATAGAAGCCTGACCGTATTAACACCTCCCATAACCACAATACGCATGCAGCTCCTGCACTGGCACAATGTGTTGGCTTTATCTTAGGACCACATATAACAGAGATGCCATGCTTCAAGGACATTATTTCATACGAACAGCAGCGATGGCAACGTCAAGGTTGAAAGCCCGTCGGTCTAATACCCCCCCCCCCCTACATCCCCCTCCTCACCCCCTCGTCTCCACACCCGCCCCTTTCTCGTGTGCGCCCACACGCTTTATATCAATTTCTAGGCAATCCCCGTTGCAGCAATGTTGCGGTAATACACCAAATTAAAATGACAGTAAGACGCAAAGAAGACACATTTGCTCTCATGTAGAACAGCATGTCCCGTTAGCAAGCAAGAGGCAAGTGCATTGGATATCCAAGCATGGGGCTGTCAAATGGCTAATTAACGCGAGCTTAAATTGACTCCATAAACTGATATCTGCTTCACACGTGGGGGGGTTAAAAAATGTGACTGTCCAACCCAAACAACTGTAAAAAAAAAAAAAAAAAAACAGAGAGCATGATGATAGGTGCAACATAAATAAAGTGCAAGAGGAGGTAACGTTGCAACATTACTAGAGCCAGCTGACAGGCCTCACTAGCTGAACACTGGACGGCCAAAAGGCGTAAAAAAAAAAAAAAGGCCCGCACGCCGTCCACTAGTTTTTACACCATTTAACCAAAATGTCATCTCTCAAAACTGCCACTGATGGACGTGACTGTGTGTACGGACTGGAACTGTCCACATTATCCACCACTAATTGTTTTAATTTCGCAGTTAGTTGACATTTTTTAAAAATCCACCACACCAACAGACCTGCCCATGTTCTGTCTTCCCCCGCCGCTTCCTCCGGCACCGGAGGCGGCGGCACCAGCTGTGCTGCCTCCGCCGGGCTTGCTGCGATTACCACCGGCCTTCATTGACATGGTGATCCCATAAAAGACGGCGTTTTGAAAACGAGCAGCTTCACACCGCAAAACGAGTCGCTGTGTGTGTGTGTGTGTGTGGGTTTTTTGTGTGTTGTTGTTGGGTGACAGCTGGTTAGCAAATCCTTAAAGATCGGGCTTAGCTATCAGGCTAATGTCAGTGTGTCTCTTGAGGACGATGCTATGCTAAGAAGCTAACAGTTTGCTAGCTAAATTAGCAATCTGTACAATTCCCATTAAAACTGAAAAACGTGTGATTAAAAAAAAAAAAGACAACACGCGCAAATCACTCTTCCAAAAATAAACATGGGTGTAACACCTCTTGTCGGTTTGTTGTGTCTAATCCTAACGAAAAAATCTGTTATCTCTAAATAGGGTTCACAGCTATCTCGGGTTCTTTCCGTTGCTAACAGCGAAAAGACCAAAACAGTCTGAAAGGGCACAAAAACCGGCGGAGGGATATATGAGAGGCGTAGCGGCTCAAAACATACAGACTAATATCGCTATATTATTGCTCCCTGGAAATTAATTAGTCTGCTATACAGAAAAGCTTGGGCATTTTTTACTGTCGATCACTAAAAGAAACACGTAGATAAATCTTTGTTTCAGAAAATTAAACCTACAACATGGCACTATTTCCAGGAAGTCCATGGATCCTTTACGGCTGTTTAGCAGCATCCACGTGAGCCGGCGAACACACTAAACACACTATGCACACAAGTGGAGCAGCACGTTATCTACACACTGCGAGCGTAGGTTGGCGAGCATATCTTACACGTAAAATATAATGGCTCATCATTAGGCCAATTTAGATTTTGATACAGGATAAAGGTTAAAAAAATAAAAAATAAAAAGCAACTTAATCCTGTTGTATGAAATAATAGGATAATACTTTATTGATCCCCAGAGGGGAAATTCGGGCGTTGCAGCAGCACAGACAAGAAAGCTCAAAAATACACATTAAACAGAATAGATGAGATAAACAAAAATAAAACATGGGGTATATACAAGTACAAAATGAATGATGAAGTTAACTATGGGGGAATTGAGAATTGAGACAGTATTTGCAGAGAATGACAAGATAAAGTGACAAATGATGATTAAAGTGACTTGGTATGATAAATAGCAGCAAGTGATGTAAACAGCAGAGAAGAGAGGCAGTGTTGTACCACAGTAATGCAGAGTGCAGTTATATAATATAATGTAGTATAATATAATATAGTGTAATATAATGAAATGTTATATAATATAGACTAATATAATAAAAATATATAGAATGTACAGTATGTGTATATATATATATATTGATGCTAAATAATAATAATAATAATAATAATACAATGTTAGTAATGATAATAATAAAGCAGGTCATGTGGGTAGTGTTTTATGGGGGTGAAGTTTAACATGTCAGGCTTCTGTTCGTTTTTATGGTTCAATACTCTACATATCAATACTTATTCCCAATTCATTTCAGAGATTTTCTTTATTCTTATCTTTATATTGTTAATTGTTAAGATTTTTTTTTTATACTGTCAAATTGGGATTGCTACTCTTTTTATAGATGTTTTACTTTAAGTTCATATTAATAAAAAAAATATATATAAAAGGTTTATGTTAATAAAAAATACTGTTATGTTGTGCTTGATTTTCTTTTTTAAATATATCACCAAAAATATACACATCTTGAAAAATAGCTAAATTATCCAGTCACACATTTTAATCACGTTTCAACAAAGTTAAAGGGGACATATTATGAAAAATTAACTTTGACAGTATTTTTGAACATATATTTGGGTACCCAAACAATGTGTAATAAACCCATCCAGTCCTTTGTTTGTGGTCTGCATAAGTCTTACAACACAGAGAATAATGCTTCGTTTCAAATTTGCTGTCCTTCTGACATCACAAGTGGGATTCTGGTAAAAAAAAATATCCCCTCCCCTCCCCTCCCCTCCCCTGGTGTCTCCCCAAATGGACTCCACCCCCAGCCTAGAGCAAAACTTTTATGCAGGTCTCCCATTTTTATTCTTGCTAGCAAAGGAGTTATGACTACCAGGAAAACTCAGGGGCGCTCATTGCCTTAACCATAACGGAGCGTTCTGAGAGAGCTGGTTTATACAGGCTCACAAACCTCCTCTGGTGCTTGATTCATTCGTCATGTTTTGACCAAAGCACAGCACAGATGTTTCATTTAGACCACAGGGGACTGTGGGTAGAAAAGGAGTATAATATGGCCTTTTAAAACAGTCTCCATAATATGCCCCCTTTAAGGCAACTATCCAGTGTTTTCCAGTAGGTTGACTGAAACATTTTTGCAGCATTTTTCGAGGGGGGACAGTTTCCAAACATCTCTGACACATTTGCAGTTTTCCATTTATTCTTTATTTCTTCACAAAGACACTATCATACAGTTTGTTTCTCAAAACATAAATCCACACAGTCATCCATTATTCATATTAATGTAAGACAAACATCAAAACACCTTGGTGAGCTTTTGTATTTAAGAACTGAATGGTTGGAAGGAAGTCAATTGGGACTGATTATTGCACACCTACTATTTGTCTCTAGTACGGAAAAAAAACAGAGCATTATATGCTTTGCCAGGGATGCTGCATTATACTTTAGGAAAAAGGACATGAGAATTTTTGAATTTCAATGCTGAAGATGAGACAATCAACAGGGGGCCACAGTTGGCAGGCCAACCCACAGAAATGGCTGGGCCCCTGAAAGGCCTAATGAACAGGCCCTTGTTATATTTAATTTCATATCAACACTTGCATGTCGGCTCAGTAGCGTAAGTCTTGATAACCTTTACCTCCTTGTCCTGGCTGTGATCAATTGGCATTTGGACATGACTTGTTAAATAATTGCTTCAATTTATGATGGACCTGTTTTTGATGACCTCCGTCGGTGTCCCCACAATGCTGGGCCCCAGAAAGCTTTGCCCTCTTTCCTACCTGATGGACGACCTTGACAATAAAGACCACTATAACATAAGATGTTTTCTTGTTTAAAGTTGGCTCAATAGGAAGCTTTACTACATGTTTCTGCTCACTAGTGCCCGAGCACATGCATCTGGTCTCCTCTTCTTGTTTGATTACACTTTCCAATACTTAAATATCAATGTTTGCAGACATACAGTGTGCACCAAGAAAGAATTAGCAAATTTGTATTTCCAGGTCACCAGTTTATTTCAGTGTTTCAAGTGTTTTTGCAGTAAAAAATAAACTGGGTTTATGAAAAGTTGTCGCCTCTTCTTTTGAAAATGGCCACAAAATAAATGGCAGTTAACATAACGAAGGCTTTGCCAAATTAACTTTTTAAGGTAAATTTGGTTAGACAAATCTTAGAATTCAAGTTAAGATGAATTAATTATACTCTATGGAAATTCCCTATATAGAGCTATCAAGTAATCCATGAGTCTATTAAAACAAATTAAATATGGGGGAAAATAATGAAGGATTTAATATCCTTAGAAAACTAAGAAAAATAAGTTGTGATTCTGATGGAACAAGTTTATCCATGTGTATGTATCCTGTTTTTTCAGTCCTTTTTAGAAAAATAAATTTACTGAATACATTTGATTTTATAGAAAAACAAATCTAATCATTTAGTTAGTTATGATTATTTCAGCTTTTTTGTTTTGTTTATATTACAAAGATGTATAACTTGAAAAATAGTCCTTTGTGATCAGAATCAGAATCAGAGATAGCAGATGATTATTCACCAGGGACTAAACAGGGAAATATTCTATCATAACGAATCAATGAAGAATATCTGCTTTCATTTACACATAATTTACAACTAATGTTTTTACTTATTTTTTATATGCATGAACAATTCTTTTTTTTTTTGCTTCAGTTCCAACTCCAATCAATGTAGCTCAACCTTGTTGATTTTTAAAATTTCGGCTACAGAAAAGGATGTAATATTGGGATCTAGTGAAGATTAAGATCCTACATTTAAATAAAATATTTCTCTGTCTTTTCTGTCTTCTTTATGGAGAGGAAGAACCTTTTGACTTTTATTTTTGTTACATTTTTATGTTTATATATTTTTAATTTTTTTGCTCGGAAAGAAAATAGGTTATAAAGTTTTACTACTTAAAAAAAAAAAAAAAAAACATGGAACCATATCATCAGGACCCGCCCGAGCCGGTAGGTAACACCACACCGGGCTGTGCTACTTCCGAACAAGTTCCGAACATAATCATTTTTTGATTCAGTTGAAATAGAAAAATGTACTGACTATAACTAACGGAACGTTTATCCAACATACATTTTTTACTGACAATAAAAAATACAAAAGTCCAAATTCTTACTGGGCTTTTTTTTTTTTTGTTTGTTTATTTCCCATCAGGCGTTCTGGACAGACTGCTAATGCGTAGTGCCGAGTCCCACAGACAAGATGCTATGGGATTAGCAAAGAAAAATAGTCCAGTAGATATGCGTGTATCTCCCTGGTCACCCGCTGCAAACATTTTTTTTTTTATTCAACCCACTGAGATGCTGTTTATTTCCTCTCTGAGCGATGTTTGGAGACTTTTAAAAGGTGGAGATAAACCTGAGCTGTCCTGTTAGCGACTCGACGACACAACAGGCTGCTCTCTCTCTCTCTTCACGGAACACGGTGTGCTCCTTGTTTCTGAACAGCCCGGCGGGTCAACGAAGACTTCACCGGCGATCTTCAGACACTACAGTCGTTTTTTAATTTTTTTGCGTCTTCTTCCACGCTGGGCTTGGGTTGTGAAATCCCCCCCACACACACACACCCCTCCCACCCCCCTGACCGTGGGGATGCAGTGGCATTAGCTTCCTACTAGCCCACCAGCTAACTCAGCCTTCCTTGTCTATAAATAAACATCCAGCTCCTCTGGAAGCGCCAGCGCAAAGTCCAGGCTTCGCATTTTCTACTTCACTTTGATCGGCGTTTGAATCTCTACATGGTCGCTACAGTGGATTTAAGGCGACTTGAAGAGCGAGTCGGACCCCGAGGTTGGGAACCGAGGTGGCTTGATCTGACACATCAGACCGGCTGGAGGGCTCCAGGTCCCGAATCAAACCAAATCCGACTGTGGCTGATCGGTGGCCGGATATCTTTTCATCCTAATGTGCTGTCAACAGTAGTAATATAACAAACCTTGGCCCAAGCCCGGGGTTTGCATAACTTTGTGAAGTTCCGAGACAGACACCTTGTTTCCACTTTGTGAGTCCTGCAGAGACAGCCAGGTAAACAACAACAACAACACCATGTCGGAGGATAACAACGCAGACAAGTTCATCAAGGTACGTTTTACTAAATCAACTGTTACTCTTTAAAGATGAAACTACAGAAGTTGACTTTTGTTACCCCCCCCCCAAACCCTTTGTTTGAGAAACTTGATGTTTATTTCAGGTGTTATTATGAAATAAGTTCTAACCCTTCTGGACTGTGATCTCTATTTGTCACATGGCTTTTCTTGTGAACAACACAGGAGCTTTTTTTTTTTTGGGGGGGTATTTTACTAAAAGCAGTAATGTGGTTGAGGAAGTTTTAAGATAAACATCTGAATTGGCAGCTTCATTAAACAGTAACCCTCCCTTAGCACTCCCTGGTTCTAAGGAGATTGGCTTCCTGGCCTGCTCTCTTCAATGTGTCACCGCTCGGGCATTTATATGCCAGCAGCAGTAAAATGTGATCCCAAGTGGCCCTGCCCCCCCCCTCACAGTTGGGTCAGAATGTGTAATGCTGGATTTACTTGGGGGACGCCATAAAGAACTGGGACACACAACCATTTAACCCATTTGAGGAGGTTATCCTGAAGATCAACTTGTGGTCTGAACTTTAGTTTTAACTATTTCTCTCTGGAATGAGACCCACTTTGAGGACATCATCAGACTGCCCTGCTTGCTGTGTATTCAATAAATTGCTTTATTGATAGTGCACATTATTGCCTTATTTTATTTTACAAACTCTGCCTCTCGCATGTAATGTTGCTCAAAGGTGGATAGGAAAAAATAGCATGAAAAGAGCAGAAATGACAACCAGCTTTGGACGTTATTTATTATCCAGTGCCTTCAAAGATATGTTGATTCAGGTGTTCAGTGAATACAAGCCCTTTGTCCTTTGTTTTGTAATCGTCACAAATCCCTATTATCATCATCCTTTTTGTGCTTGAACACAGCAGATTAGATTGGCCAGGACTGTTCCTATATTGGTCATGACATGTTGTTACACCAAAGATCAATATATCCTAAGGAAAGAAGGACAGGGACTTTAATGTATGAGAGGACGATTGGTTATTGAACAGCATGTACTTCAAAACAGCACAAAACTGGGAATATTGACAAAGCAAAAGTATTTATTCAAATTCAGCACAAATCTGATCCTAAGAAACTCCATCCTAATAATGTTCACCTGTCCATCATCCTATCATATAGAGCTATATTATAATTATTTTACAGAGTGGCTAAGATTAACCAGACAGTGTTTCTTTTATATCACAATCAAATTGTCATCTTTCAAGAATAGTCTGTGTTCAGGATTAGCACTGTTTTGGAAGTAGACAGGTGATAGTGGCTAAAATGTCTGTTACACAATCCAGTGCTAATACCATGGGACAAATGCACGGCACCCTCACTCAGCACAATGTCCGCAACGTCTTCAAAAATGTTTTGTAAGATGTTTCTTTTAAAGTCATGTGAGACCATCTGTTTCATATTAAAATAGTTTTAATGCATGACAGAATCTGTGCTGATTACTGTAATGACGGGATCCATAATCTTGATCCTTTTTTGTGCAAGATTTTTCTCTTATTTTTTAGTTTTCCAACATCTGATACATGTGCCTGTGTGTTTCCCTTCCTGACAGGAGACATCCATTCTCGATGAGTACAACATAAACTGGACTCAGAAGTTGGGAGCTGGCATCAGTGGACCTGTCAGGTCAGTACGAGAGTTGTTAATAACGTTTAAAAAAACTATAATCAGAACAGTTTGTCCTTTTTTGTGCTCAAGAAATCCTCTGTTTATTTATTTTGCGTGTCCATGGAGAGGACTTTCACACTCTGCAATTTTGACTACCATTGTTTTCATACTGCAGAAGTCATACTGGGAGAAATCTGATGTGTTGGGTTCAGTATAGTTGTGAAAGAAGGCCCAGCTTCGCTTGGGGTTGTCTTTTGTTTTTTTTGTTTAGTTCTGAAAATAGTTTATCGTGACTCAGAATATTCCAAAATCCCATGAAAGGATTTAAAAGATGGATGAGAATTGATTTATTGCCCAGCCCATGCAGTGCATGACTGCGAACGGCTGCCAAAAAAAAATCTTCCTACATGCTGCTGATGTTTGCTGCTTATTACTTCTCTTGCAGTTGTACTTTGGTGCTTTTTCAGTGGCATGACTTCACCAGCAGTTTGACCCTAACCTGGACATAATAATACATAATGAGAAGATTAAAGGGCCAGATGCAGACCAACTGGTAGACTGTTACACTGTCACAACGTAAGGCTTCATATGTAGGTTGACTCAAAGTTAGGCTGAGCACGGCTGCTGATTCCCGGAGCCACCTGCCGTAACAGATAGGTGACGTCACTCAGGCTGCCCTCCACCCCCCCCCCCCCCAAGCCTAAAAAACATTTTTAGTGTTTTAGCCCACAAGCTACAGATGAAACGTAAAGCATAGAGGAGGAGGAGCGGTTGAATTGTGGATGCTTAGGGATGCACAAGGGATGAATGATGAAACTCAACAGCTTTCTTTATCTGTACATTCCCCTGTGCATTCTTCCCTCTAATCCTCTTCACAAACACACAGGCAGTTTTTTTTTTATCACAGGAAAGCACATATTGGGTGAAATACTCCAAACAAACACTAATGACTGTTTGACTGTTGAACCTTTTTTTTTTTTCTATTTGTGGAAGCTAGACGACAGGCTGAGGTTTGTTTATGGGACTGTTACGTTATATTGAAGAGAAAATGCTTGTAGTGTTATTTCTCATCAGCCTGCAATCTGAACCAAACCGTGAATGAATGTTACCTGTCTGAGTATCTTTCATACAGACACCAGCCATGATGACTACATTGCTTTCTATTTCTCAACAAAGTGTGCATAATGACGTGCTTCCTTTCTTGTTTGTCTGGGACGGAAAATTGGCGGCTGTGCGCTCAGGACGTTAGAATGAAGCGTTTGTTCGCTGAGAATAACAGCGCTGCACGGCGGTCCTGTCTCTATGACAACAGTCTGTTAGAAACAGCACCTGTATGAGTGACACTTTTTCCCGTTACTTTTTACTGTGTTATTTGAATTTGAGATTGTTTTTACGCCAGCAGACACGGAGCAAAGAGGATGTGGGTACAAGACACAATCAGTAGGAGACCAACGTCCGGTTAATATCTTCTATTTGTAAAATATGCACCGTGACGTCAACAGCGCACTTTCTGAAAACTTGAAAGATTATCAACTCGGAGAGGCCGCACAAAAAAAGTCAGAGCACTTGGGGAAAAAAGGCACTGGGCACTGCACTTTCCTCTACGCTGTCGCCTGCTGCTGCGAACGCTCTCTCCTCATTGAAAACATTTGAAAATTGATGCTGGCGTTGAGTGAAAAACGCTAGGTGGACACCTGGGCCTAACTGAATAATTGCTGCCTCAGTTTACATCACTTCACATGGACAGAATATTAGGTAACCACAAAAACGATCCAGAAAGACAGTGGCTGCTCAAACAGCTTCTTATGTCTGATTGCGCTGCGCACGGTTTCTTCTGTGCCTCCATAACTGAGTTGCTTATTCTCAGATACAGGCTGTGATAGATTAATCGGTGGCACAGAGGCTTATAACAACCTGTTATATCCTGATGTGTGCAGTTATGGCCTCGAGTGACAGGAATAACGAGGAACTGACTCATCAACCCTCCATGAAAACACACAAGTAATGATACCTGATGATGTTAATGAACTCATGATTCATGCTGTACTCTTTGTATTTCTAGACAAGCTATTACTAACCCTGGGAGTCATAGTTTTGAAACTGTGATTCACTTTGTAGACTAACAATTCTCCTACTCACCTCCCTATGTTTCTAAAGACATTTTCATGTACCAGCCCCCCCCCCCACTGCACTCTGTGATTCATAAGGCAGGCATTGCTTTCCAGTGAAGTGAACTTTGGCCGAGGTGGAGTGTTTCTCTCAGTAATGCTTTAATAGTGTAATCTGAGTTTAAGACCAGAGGTTGCTTTTTAAAGTGAATATGTTGTGCCCTGCTGCTCAGAGGAGGACAAATGACTTCATCTGTTTTCTTCTGAGATTCTAAAATGTAGTCTGAAGAAAACCAAAACAAGGAGATATTTATTTCCTTATTTCCAGATTGAATCTGAAGATTTGAAATGCGACACTCGTCTGCATATATTTCTTTTGCAGACCAAGTGTGAAACCAAAGGCTGCCACCCAGGATTAGGATTTCCCAAAACAAACTGTGATATTGACAAAATACTGTTGCTGTCTCAAGTCTTGTCAGCTGCCTAAACCTACAGCACATATTCCCAAGGCTCTCAGAGGGTTGCAAAACATATTTTGTTGAGATACACATCGTCTGTTGGGTGACACCTCTAAAATACGTTGTTTTTCATGCTCAATGTCATTATTAACCACTGCACCTCCCCCCCCCCCCACCGTGTTAGCCTCATGTGGTTTCCATGAAGAGCTGGAGCAAGCTCCTGCTATTTTACCTGATACTGTCAGCCAGTATCAATTATACAAATTCTGGGCTTGTCGCTGTGAACATGTTTTATCACTCAGCATGCATACTCTTTCACTTATTGGACGGAGTGAGACAGTAAAATGAAGCTGAAGCTAGCTATCAGCTATCATCAGATTGATGGATGCTCGTGTAGAGGTGAAAAGAAAATGCTTTTCGGATTGAGGACAAACATTTTGCAAAGATAAGTACCGGTGAAAAGGGAATCACAAGTCATATCAGAATCAGATTTTTTTTTTGTATCACCAAGTACATCTACTAGAGGTGGGGAAACAAAGTTGATTTATGTAAAAATTGAGATTCTTCTCTTCTAAGGTTTAAAAATCGATTTATAACTTCCTAATTTTGGTGCATAAACAGTTAACAAAGGAAATAAAGCAAAAATAGATATAATAAATTATAAACATTTTGTAAAAGGTCCACTATGTAAAATACAGTATATACTGAATGAAATGATAAAATGACCTGGATGAAAAACACAACTCCGTCTCTTCTGAAGTTGTACGGAGTTACACACTGAAGGCTCTTCTTCAAAAATGTTGAGTTATAAGAGTAAGTTTGTCTTGGTGATTGTTGGTATTGTTGTTAAATTAGCGTGCCATGATGGAGGGATGACACGGCATGCTTTTATGAGCTCCGTTTAGACAGACAGCTGCAGATAATGAACAGAAGAAGGAGAGCGGGATCAGCGGATGATATAAAGTCATTAAACTTTAGGCTATCTGAAAATGTGTGAGATTGTTGGAAACATTTTTGTAAAAGGTCTATTACAATAAAGTCATGGTAAAGAAGTAGATGCATTTAACCTTTTTAATCCAACTCTAATCATTCATTTTTACGTGAGGTACACATCACAGATATATATATATATATATATATATATATGTGTGTGTGTAAGGAGAATCCCTCAGACCACCCTGATGTCTGGTCTCAGCCCTGAATAACCCATGATGTTTCATATCTTAGAACATAAGGAGTGATAAACTGTAATCTAGATCTGTATCAAATCATATACTAGCTCTCAGTTGGACTCTGTGTCGCATCATGGCGTGTAATATAGCATGAAACATGATACTGCTTTAAATAACCCCCAGTCATGATGAGTTTGTTTTATATGTATAGGTTATTTTAGTGTTCCTTTAACAATGCTTATAATTATATGTTTAGTGATTATAGCACCTTTCCTTTGACGATGTCACAAAAGTAGTAATTCAGGTATTAATTATTTATTTTGGCCCCTGCCCCTTTAAAACTCTCTGCACTGGGGGCCACTGACATGCACAGAGACGGGAGCAGGAGGAGAGTCTTCGGTTGAGCATTTAAACAAAATATTGTGTTGGAGTTTTTGATATTCTAAATTCTACTTTTAAACTGAAAGATTTTCATTTTTACTTTTAGGGCATATCGGTTCTAAATATTGATTATCGTCTCACAATCTACTGATAATCAGTATCTGCATCAGCCCTGAAAACTCAATATTAGTCGACCTTATGTCAACTGGGGTGATTTTTGACTCGTGTTTTCTTCCTTTTTAGAGTTTGTGTGAAGAAGTCATCTCAGGAACGCCTTGCCCTGAAGATCCTCATCGATCGCCCCAAAGCAAGAAATGAGGTGAGAGGGGAAACACACAGCGGTTAACGCCTGTTTGTTGTATCAATACACTTTGTTCTGTCAGTCGGCCTGTTGTCAGTCTAATTTAAATCTGGTATTCTTTCTGTCAATCTGGCTTCTGGGCTTCTGCTTTCTGTTTGTACGGGCTTGTTTTCAGTAACATTTTCATCCTGTGGTGAACCGAGTGTCTCGCAGCCTCTCCATGTCATTAGCAGCCTTCTGTTTCAATCAAGCAGCTTATTCAGCGGTGGAGACAAGCAGGCAGAACAAGCAGCACAGACTCTGCTTTACAGAAGCCATCACTGCCAAGCTGTGAAGCTTTCACTGACAATAATAATAATTACCACCAAATTGTTTTTGTGTAATTATAATTTTAGTTTTCATAATTATTCTTATTTTTGTCATTTTCAAATTAATCTTTTTTTCAATAAGTTGAATGTTAAATTCAGGAAAATAAGAATTTTAAGTGTCTGACTGGAGGAAACGAGGCTTTTCATTTTTTCGATTATTTTGCATTGCAATAATGAAAATGTAATAAATATTTTAGTGACTTAGTCATACACGCTTTTTGTCTTCTTCAGGTGCGTCTCCATATGATGTGTGCCGACCATCCGAACATCGTGCAGATCCTTGAGGTTTACGCCAATAGTGTCCAGTTCCCGCACGAGTCCAGTCCGAGGTGAAGAGCTCTGCATGTGTATGAATGTCTTACTATGCTTTTGCTCTGGTGTCAGACTTTATTATATATATGTATATGTAATCTAGTGAGAGGCAAAGAGGTAGAGACGAGGCGGGTCTATTGCCTCCTGTCAGTCAACTCAGCCACGCCCCTTATTAACTCATTTATACATAACTTTTCTGCTTAATATTATCCAAACAAATGCATTCCAAAAAAGATTCACTGGTACAGATTGGATTAAGAAAGGAGCTCTAGAGACAAAAACTGTTATTTGAATAAAACGTTAAAAATTAGCTTTTAATTAAGGGACCTATTCGGGATTCTGTGGCCTTTGCAGCTACTGTCATGTGGACACTTTGAGAACTGCAGTTTTTCAGGAGCTTGCTGTTTTTAAAAATGCGTTCAATATACAAATATAACAATACAATATAATACTTTATTGTCCCCCAGGGGGGGAATTTGTTCTCACAGCTTTGCACGTTTGGTACACGTAACCTTGGCCACAGTTCCACAGTCTTTCTGTAGGAAACACTGATGGATGTAAATTGCAGCTTCGAGGACGTACAACTGCAGACTGTTCATCAGTTCTCTTCCTCTGACTCTCAACACCTCCTGTTCTTTTTTTGTTACAGAGCGAGACTCCTTATCGTAATGGAGATGATGGAGGGCGGTGAGCTGTTCCACAGAATCAGTCAGCACAGGCACTTTACTGAAAAGATGGCCAGCCAGGTCACTAAACAGGTAAGTGAAGATGCACATTTACAAACACTCATTTCAGCACATCAGTAGCAGTCTCTCTCTTTTTTTTTTTTTACTTCCACATGTGTCTCCAGTTGACTTTTTTTTTCTTTGAGTGGAACACTTCCTTCACATTTTGCAGCAGCTTATGTTGTCATTTGTATCAGCTTCAATGAAGTTGCATATCAGGCAACTGACTAATGAGAAACATGGTCAAAAGAAGCAACACACACCAGCTCCACTCATGTGTGTTTTCAGTCTGCTTTGAAACACGCACACACACAAATGTTGATGTCTCAGTGATGTCTCTCTCCAATGTAGATCAGTCAAGCCTTGGAACATTGTCACTCTCTAAATATTGCACATCGTGACCTGAAGCCAGAGAACCTGCTCTTTAAGGATAACTCTCTGGTAAGTTGCATTTTAATACTGCAGTTTAAAAAAGGTGCACCACTCCTGATACCACTGCAGATGTTTTTGCACTAAATAGAGAAACAACATAAAACTTGCAGTTTATACTAGACAGGAAAATAAACTTTGTTGCAGGCAGACCTTCACATGTAGAGAAATTGAAATCTCATTGAATTTGGACAAAATTATGCATTTAGTGTGATAAACTTAGAAATCTACATAACGCTAGCAGCAATTCAGCCATTTTTCTCTAACCTGAGTATAGCCAGTTTGACACTTCTGTTCTTGTTTTTCTTGTCAAATGACACACAATCATATTCATTTACATGATTCATACCGATAACTCTGACTATGTCTGTTGCACAGGATGCACCTGTGAAGTTGTGTGACTTTGGCTTTGCCAAAATTGATCAAGGAGACTTGATGACCCCTCAGTTCACTCCCTACTACGTAGCACCTCAGGTAAAAAAAAAAAAAAGGAAAAGAAGCGCAAGACTGAACTTAAAAATGTTTTTGAATGATTATGCACAGATTTTCGTCTTGATGAGGAAGTCCTAAATTTTGCAAAAAAATTGAGCTGAAGCAAATTTCTATGATGTTTTCCCTCCTGCTGTTATTTCTGTTCAGGTACTTGAGGCTCAAAGAAGACACCAGAAAGAAAAGTCTGGAATTATACCTACCTCACCCACTCCTTACACCTATAACAAGGTGAGGCTCAAAGGTGTTGAACTAATGGTGCGTTCCATTTGATCTCAGAAGTTAGATATTACGAGTTCCCTGTATAATATGTCAGCAGGAACGCCCCCCTGAAGTCGCAATTCTGACTTGGTAACTCAGAGAACCTTCAGTAGTCCAATTTAAAATCCAACATTGTTGCTACGTGTATCGTGCAATCCATTTGCGGACATGTTGTGATGACATTTTCAGGCGCCTACAGAGTGCAAATGGTTTCTCATTAATGTTTCCTCTCTGTTGTCTGCAGAGCTGTGACTTGTGGTCTCTCGGCGTGATAATCTACGTGATGCTGTGTGGTTATCCTCCGTTCTACTCCAAACACCACAGTCGCACTATCCCGAAAGACATGAGGAAGAAGATTATGACGGGCAGCTTTGACTTCCCTGAAGATGAGTGGAGTCAGATCTCCGAGATGGCCAAGGACATTGTACGCAAGTAAGTCATTCGTCTTTTTCCCTCCTGTCTGCACTCCATGAGCACAGGTGGGCTGTAAATGTCCACCTGTGAGAAGACATTCTTCATGATTTAGTTCTTAATCTTGCAGGGGTAAAAAAAAAAACAAGTTGGCTTGCTCTAATTTGTTACTGTCCATTGTGTTGAAGCCCAAACACGATTTGGATTTTGATGTGGATCCATTTTGTACCATCTGGTGGTACTGCTGTGGTTTCCAAAACACATAAAAAACTACCAGTTTCTAAAATATTATTATTGTTGTTTGTCCCCCACTTTGTATTGTCTCCCTATCCATTTTCTTACTTTTTTGTTTGTATTTTGCCTTTTTTTTTCATTTTTTTTTACTGTGTCCGCGCCCTAATTTGTACTTTCTTCAATAACTTGACCTGTCTCATCTGTTTCTCCCCTCATCTGCTCCGTGCAGGCTGCTGAAAGTAAAACCAGAGGAGAGACTGACTATTGAAGGAGTCTTGGCTCACCCTTGGCTCAACTGCACTGAAGCCCTTGACAACGTGCTGCCCTCTGCCCAAATGATGATGGACAAGGTGAGTGGAAGGTTAAAGGTGCAGAAAATCTTCCATTGCACTTTTCACTTTTATAACAGAGATCCAGCTGTGAAGAAACCTGCCCATTAGGCCATTGGTGTTAAGGGATAGGATACGCTTTAACCACTTATCCTATGATTAGAGAGAAGGAGCCTCTAGACCTCCTTGTTTCCCAAATTCAAAGACGTCTTGGTTCGCTATAGGTTAGCTGCCCATATTTCACGGTCTCTTCTCTTCCAGGCGGTAGTTGCAGGTATCCAGCAGGCTCACGCAGAGCAGTTAGCCAACATGAGAATTCAAGATCTGAACGTCAGCCTGAAGCCCCTGAACTCTGTCAACAATCCAATCCTCAGGAAGAGGAAACTACTTGGGTATGATTGATTTTTTTCTTTTTGTTTGTAAATCAAATGTTATCCTCTTGTGATTTAAAAGTTAGTAACAGAAGTTTTTGTTTTTTTTATGTAACATAAATACAGATACGGTAAATGATGCATACAATTCTTCCAACGTACAAGGCTGGGGTTTTCCGGATTTTTTCTAAGGCTGGAGACATTTCAGTGCTTTGGTGAAAGAGACGCACTTTGTCTGTAACTCTGAAAAAATAAAAGAACTGACATAGTTTCAAAGTTTTATTTTTTAAGGGGGGGGGGGGCTTTATGCCATTATCAGATATGACAGCTGGAGAGAGACAGGAAATGTTGGGAGGAGAGAGCAGGAAGGACGCACAAAGAATGAGTTCACATTTTTAAGACAAAAAGAGTGCCTGCTCCACTTTTCAGAAAATGTGTGCTCAAACAGGCGGTTTGGCTATTTCCCCTTCATGACATCACAAAGGGTAGTAACCCCTCCCCCAGGTGGGTGACACTTCCACAGCTGGGTGTTTGTTCTGTTCTTAATGTTAATAATAGGGCATGGTGCCAGAAAGCACAAACCACCCAAGCCCTTCTAGAGAGGGGGCGTGGTCAGACACAGCTCATTTTCATTTAAAGCTACAGACACAGAAACAGCCTGTTCTGAGCAGGACTGAAAAAGAGGGCTTTATAGGCATGATAAAATAGACAGACACGTTTTAGGAAGCTCCGAGACTTATTTAAACTGGTTGATAAGGAGGATTATATCTGACCTTTAATGGATCCCTGACTCTGTCAATGTAGATAAGGATGATGATGAGGACGTATTTTCCTGTTTTGTTTTTTGTCCTTTGACAATCACATGGCTGATTATTGTACTGATAGGGTACAGTTGTTTTTTGTGGTGATGATGCTTTATTTATTCATTCTTGCATAAATCACTCTGTTATTGTTACTAAATATTTCCTCAGTTACTTTTCTCTTTGTTCCCTCTCTAGCTCCCTGTGGCTACAGTGTTTCTTTTCACGTATTCTAGGTGCTTTTGATAAAAATGATCAAATATTGTTCTCAAATTTGTTTTACTGCAGCCCCAAGCCCAGTGATGGTTTCTTCATTCACGACCCAGAGAACGGAGGGGAAGACTCCAATGTGGCGCTGGAAAAGTTACGAGATGTCATTGCACAGTGTATTCTACCACAAGCTGGTCAGTGAACTCACCTTGGTGTTTAAGAAATGTTTACTTGCTAGACAAAAAGCAGACTATCAACCAGAATCTTACCTGAGAATAAACAAGAAAAAAACATGCCCTGTTTACTATGTATGTCAATATATATCTGTACACCACAAACAACATATCTGCTGTTATTCTAAAGATTATTGCTTTAAAGCCAAATGTTTCTTCAGCACATCCGTTTTTTAACATAAATTCAGATTGGACATTTTGGATCCAAAAAGGATTGATTAACTTTGCAATTTGCTTTTCAACAAAAACAACTTGCAATAAGTAAATGTCAGAGTTATTTTTAGATCCACAGTAGCTCTGAGTGATTTGTCGAGCTGCGATTTACATCGATCAATGTTTCCTTTGTTTTTGTTCATCCAGGTGAGAACGAGGACGAGAAGCTGAATGAGGTGATGTATGAAGCGTGGAGGTTCAACAGAGACTGTAAACTGCTAAGAGACGGCCTGCAGGGGCTCAGCTGGGACGGTATGTACAATTCAGTAGTGATGACCTGCATCCTATTCTGTCTTTAAGGTCCCTTGAATATTATTCTTCCTTTTCAAGAAGGGCTTCAATGCCTTTATTTTAGAGGACAGTGGATAGAGTAGGACATTTTGGAGAGAGAGTGGCGAATGACATGCGGGTAAGGAGCCACGAGTCAGACTTAAGATATTCTTTATTAATCCTGCAAGAGGAAATTCAATGTTACACTCTGTTGTTGAACATGCTACACACACATAGGCTGAAACACACACACATGCCCAAACAGGATCCCATGGACTTGCACTAATGGAGGAATGTCAGAGTGAGGGGGTTGTGAGCGCTCCTGAGCTGGTTCATTTCCTTGCTCAAGGGAACTGAACTGGCACCTCTTTGGCTGCCAGACCAATTTCCAGACTTGGTCTCGAACCGGGACTTGAACCAGCGACCCTCCACTTCCCAACCCAAGGCCTTACAGACTGAGCTACTGCCGACTTGAACCTGGGCTTTCCAGCTTGAGAATCATAGCATCCATACTTGGGGCTCAACCCAACAGCAAGGCCACAAATGCCCGGTCCCACTTTTTTATACAGACAAATGTATCGCTCTCTGTGAATCTTTGCTGTGGAAAATGAAAAAAGGCTGTTTCCACAGCGTGCTGTAGCTTGTTTTGTCTAACACATACGCCACAGCAGTGGTTTCAGACACTGAAATAACAACAATATTGAAACAGTCTATCTCTTTGCTGATGACCTGTTTTGCTTTTGCAGGCTCTAAAGACACATCAATATTAATTTCAGTCTGTTTCAGAACCATCTAAAAACTCCTCACAGGATCTTTGATTTTATCTTCTGCATTTAACCATCAGCTCTTTCTTTGCAGGACGATCGTTCTCAGACAGAGTCGACCGCCTGAAGTTGGCTGAAATAGTGAAACAGGCCATCGAAGAGAAGACGAATCTGGAAGAATCGCATTAGCAAACGCTGTCTTTCTATCCTCTTTTTATATTGTTTATTATGACCCTTTTTAACCCACATCTGTAAAGAGGCTTTTTTACGTGAAAAGATGCGCAAATGTTTTTTTTTCTTTCTTTTTCATGAACTCACTTGCAAATACCTATTGTACAGCTGTAGAAATATTTCAAAGAGGACTTGCTTGTACTCGATTTTTTTATTGGACACTTGCAAAGAACATTGAAGAAAAAAGTATATTTTCATTTTTGCAACCAAAACAAAAGAGAGAGAAAAGAAAAGAAGACGTTAGTTCTAGACGTTATTTTCCAGGAGGGCGGTTTTATTAGCTCCTTGTCCTGGACATCAAGTTTTTTATCCCAGTAAATTCATTTTATTGTATTTTCTTTTCTTTCAAACATCCTCAGAGTTTTATTTATTTAAACAAAGACTTTCATTATTTTATACCTTGCTTGTAGCCTGGCAGTGGGCTCAAGAGAAGCTGACTGCAATGCGATTTAGTTCTTCCACACAAACTCTGAATCTCAGACTGACTTTAAATAATATAAATCTTTGTTTTGTGTAACTTTCCCTTGACCTTTTTGTTTTGTAAAGGTCAAGGAAGAGTGGAAATGGAGAAAAGAAAGTGTCCTGAAATAGACTAATTAAACAGCAGATTCTTTCTGTTATGAACTCCTTTTTTAAAGAGGCTTCATAAATAAGACTGAAAAGGCGTTAAACAATGGCTGGGTTTCTTTCTTTACTCATAGATCAATGACTTTTTAGCCCAAGAATTCTGAACACAAAGTTCTTTTTAAGCTTTTAACTGTCTCACACTTTCGGCAGATTTCTTTCTAGTCTATGAGATTCCGTTCAAAGTTCCAGTTCAGTTATGGCCTTTTTTTTTTTTTTTTTTTTGCCCAAAGAGGTTCTATTTTCAAGAATAATATTTGAAGTTCAAACTGTGAGTTTAGCTCATCTGCGTGAAGCGATGATGCTGTTTGTCAGCGTATGAAGTTTTGGATCGGCAGGTTAAATGAAGTGAATTTTTTCCAAGTATAAGGGTAAGAAACGTTTGAAACAGCTGTCGATTTTATACGTCTTCCTCTGTCTGATGGAATTCAAAAAAGAAAATGTCTTAAGTAAAATTTAGAACTTAAGTTTTTTTTTTTATTTGTAGCTTCACCTACAGTGAAGAGAGGAAACACATTTTAATTTTTTGTTTTTCCCTTTTGATTTGCACGGTGTCATCATCTGTAGTCATCAATATTTCCTTATTGGTTCAGCCATTGTGAACATGTACGTGCAACTTAAGACAGGTAACACAAGTACTCCACTTCACATTCAACTGTGTTAAAGAGCAAGTGTTTTGTGTTTGCTCCACTTTCTTTGGCTGGCCACATCACTGACTGTGCACAGCTTGACATTTGGCCACCTACATCCATCTCGTAATACTGCAAATTCAAGGGCTTTGATTAGTGGTAATCCAACACTATATAGATAAGTATATAGTGATGACCCCCCCTCTCCCCAAGGTTCTCCTGCTGCTGCGTCAGCATTGTTTAAATGTGTATGAATGGGATTAGTTAAAACTGATGGACACTTTACATAGCAGCCTCTGCCATCAGTGTGCGAATGTGTAGGTGTGACCTGCGGTATAGAAAGTGCTTTAAGGAGTCAGAAGACTAGAAAAGCGCTACACAAGCTGAAGTCCATCTTCGAAATGATTACTTTAAGACCAGTTAAGTTCTGTCAACTGTGACTCATTATAGTTTCTACTGGAAGTCAGAACAGGGTCTGGTTATACCTGTTTGAGTAGTATATTACAAGAGCTTAATTATTTGATTGAGAAACTCCATGCACGAGCATTCAATGTTTCAATCCATCAGTATTACTGTCTTATCTTTCCTATTTTATTTAAAATGGTATAAATATCAGAAGTTCTCCTGATCAGTCTCATTCTTTTATTTGTTACTAACATCATATCATGTATTATCCAGAGTGAAACTACCCCTGCACTGTTTTATTCTCAGCACATCTGATTATTGTTTTTCAAACAAGGGTAAAAGAAGGGATCAATCAATCAGGCTTCATGACTGAAAGGGTTGACTGAAGCTTCTCTTCTTCAGTGCCTGATCATTTCTTTGTTTTTTGTTTATTTTTATCTTCTTCAAGATTTATGATTAAATTCCCAAAAGCGGTCTTAAATAACAATACTGCATTTATCATTTCTCTATGACCTTAAGGAAACCGTATTTTTTGAAGTGTAAACAGACATTTTTGTACCATTTTGTTGCTGTCTTTTGAAAAAACTTGAAACCCCACATTTGGTGATTTTGCATCATTCAGATGCACTTGGGTATTGGGTGGTCCTGTCATCATCGAGATAATTACCCTACTAAATAAACTTTTTAAACAGTTTCCACAAACCTAAAAACAGGGCTGAAATGGAGACAGGACAGTAAGAATGTGTAACTGAAACGTGTACAAGCCTTCTTTAGTAGCCTACATGTCTGTATTTCCTATTCTGATTCGGTTGGATATCCTAAATTCAAACAATCATTGTTAACATAATTCAGAGATGTCCCTTTTGATTGTCATGCAGTTTAAAAATACTATCCACCACATCTTTTTTGTGGAGGCCTTATTAAGTGGCTTAAATCAATGCGCAAATGTGCCTTTTTAATTAGGCTACTATTACTACATCTTTACTATTTAGTTACTACTAATAACAGGATGAAGGGGGTGCTCAGAATTATTTAAAGTAGCCAATTAATTGGCATTTTTTTGGGCTGTGGTTGGTTTCACGTTAGTATGAAGGCTTTCATTTCACATTTGTCATTGGATTGGTCTTTTTCATACTTGCAGTGAAAAAAATGTCACAGATTCACATGTAATAATGCTTGATACCACTTGTGTTTTCCATTTTAATATAGCCTAAGGCAGGGATGGGCAACTTTGGTCACAGCAAGGGGCCACATTCATTTAATTCTGACTGCCAGGGGGCCGAATTGTAGGATACAAAAACGATTACAGTCAATAATGTCTCAAATTTAACTCAACATATACCAGTGATCAAATATTATTACGGACATATTTCTGGGTTTCATGATTTCATGTCAGATTTTGTCATGTTTTCTTCATTTTTTGATATAGAAAAATTGACCTGAGGGCCACATTGAAGGTTGACGAGGGCCGCAGGGCCGCCAGTTGCCCGCCCCTGGCCTAAGCGGCCAAGTAGAATAAAGAGCGTAGAAGGCTAGCTAGCATAACTTTCCGACGGCAACAAAATCCGTACACCAACATATCTCGTACTGTATCATTTTCTGTCTTTTTGTATAACCCCGTTTCAAAAATTGACGATTGAAATAAAAACATTGTCTCTTTATAGGCGGTGAATTTTTGAACAAGCTGTCTGGGATTATCAGCAGAATGTTTTTCCGTGTTCCGTCGAATAATGCTACCTATTAAAATGTGAGCTCTGCGCTTCTAATGCGCATGAGCAAATCCACATCTCTGGGCACCTGTCATCACGCCACTTAATGCAAACTTCTCCTGAAATCTTGTTTAATGGTTTTGTAACAGAGAACCAAAACCTGCCCAGAAATCCAGTACATGTCTTTACAGCCACTGATTACTGCCTTGTGATTTTATTTTATTGTTTTGAACGAACAAACATGTAAACGTGTTAAATAACTTGTGCCGGTTCTTTTTCATTGTATTTTCTTTTAGGGTATGATTTTTTTTTTTTCTTGGAGATGGTATCAATCCAACAATAATATTCATAGTTTTCCTATTTGACAAACTTAAATGCGCAGAAGTCAGGTTTGTTATTTGGTTTATCGTCGTTTGGATCATTCATTTGAGGGCACAATAACTTAAATTGACCGTGTTGCAGAATCTGTGGAGTCTTTTAAAAATGTTGAACCATATAGCATTGTTTTCTTTCACCATGTTTTTAATGGATGTGTGACAGGGAGAGAGTTTCTAACTAATTTGTGTGAGGGTGGATTTGTAAACTTAACCTTATTTGTGTATTTGGAAGCCTATCATTAAATCAGAGATGCTTCCTTTACCTACAAATAATATTTATACCCTTTTCTACCGGAGTTCTGCATTACTGTTGAAGGGTTGGTGTGGTTTTTATTTGGACTTCGTTCTGTGTAGTCTCGGCATGTTTCTTGATATTGTTATTCCTAACAATGAAATTCCCAAAAGGAAACAAACAGTCATGCTTAGTTTGAGTTTACCTGCTGTTTCATTGCTCAATCTGGCTCAGTGTTACTAAAAAAACAGGACATCTGCTTATGACAATAATAGTACTGCTGTGGAGCATTTGTTGCTGCAGGATGTCCTTCAGACTGAGGTTCAGACTAACCATGCTTTGACAGATTTCACAGAAAGTATCTTCTGTTTGCTTATTGAAAACAACCTGAAAGGCAGAAGTGTTTAAATCAGCACTCCTACTCTTTACAAACACCTTTTGCCTCCATTCCCACCCATGCTGTTGTGCATTCTCAAAGTACAGAGGTGGGTTTCTTGTTCTTTGAGTTTCAAGGAGTTTTTCCTTCACTTGGTCTGGCATCAAAAACTTCAAGATTTATACATTTTATTTCACAGTCTTTTTTCCCCCTCTGGTATGGCAGTTATGTAGCATGTAACCTTCATGAGAAACTCGCTGTATTTCTATCTATACATCTATTTTTGCCCTTTCTGTCTTCTTCAGAATGTCATCAACATGCTGACTTTGTAATAAAGGAATTATTTGACTTTTTGAACTTTTCTACATTCCTGCTCATAACAATGTTCAGCCCATAATCGCGTTTCCTTACATGATAAGTTTGGTTATATTTGTTTACACACTTACACGTAGTAATGAGGAATTTGCCGTTCTGTGAGAAGCTTTAACTCATTAACTATAATCCTTTACATGGCTTCTGTCCAGGGGCGTGTCCAGACTTTTTCAACGGGGGTGGCCCAAAAGGGGCCCAGACTTATGTAGGGGTGGTGTGAAGTTTGCATGCACAAACAAACAAATGAATAGCATGTCCTATGTCTCTTAACTTTAAAATGTGACACAATAGAGCAGCAACGTAGGGGTCTTCTTCACTTAAGTTTTTAGGTACTCATAAATAAGATGCATTGATAAAAGTCACAATTTAAAGAATTTAAATGGTAACCAAACATTTAGTAGCAACATTTAAGCATAGAAAGTTGCAAAAAAGTGTTTTTTGAGCTTGAGCTTTCCCGTGTAATGAAATAAGTGTGGAAAGTACTTTTCTACAATTTCGATTATTGACAAAGAGGTGCTACAGTGCAACATTTAAAAGCAAGCAGCCTGTTGCAGCACAGCCAATATCATTGATTTTAACTGAAGTCCTGCCTCTGACAAGTCAAAAAGCTAATCATTGTTTAGTATTTTGGAGTGGCACCTGGGGGGGGACTGCCAACTAGATTTTAAGGGGGGGGCCATGGCACCCCTCTGGACACAACCCTGCTTGTCATTTCACACAGCACAGAGGATTACTGTACACTTGCAAGCAATGGTCCTTTTGACAGACGGCTGATGTTTTCTAATATACATTTATCTACTGTCAGCCTTAAAGAACTATTCCATCCAGCGAGCCATTTTAAGTTAAAAATCTTTTATTGCAGGTTGAATACAAAGCAGATAGGAACAAAATTATTCGAAAAAAAGAAGCAAAACATGTTCACATTGATACATAACTAAAACATTCGTTCTATGTTATGCATATCTAAGGCACTTTTTAAATCTAGTTTATTCGTCGGAAAGCAGCATTAAGAACCAGAAATTTGCTCCCAGAGTTACCAAACAATCAAAAGCTTGAAAAGTCAAAGGACAATTCCATTTTACACAGAAGAAACTGAAGTGATATGTTTGTGAGGTGGTGGAAATGTTATAACACAGACCAAAACATGTGGTACAGTAACAAATGAGATGCATGATATTATGAAGGAGAGGGAGAGACTTTTCAGATAACTTTCGTCCAATTCAGCCTGTTTATGCACATCCTTTTATTTGATCAAGCAGATGACACAGACAAGTTTCTCATGGGCTCCCTCAGCCCGTCCCATTTAAAGAGACGTTATAACATGTTGCAATGATCCCAAACAGATGTAATTGTGCCCTGTTGTGATAGAACCCAGGGCTGCAAGTGTTTACACATATGTAGTTCATTTCTTTTAAGTGGAGCATTTAAACTTAACCAAACACAGACCATATCAATCTTTTAATCTGCAGTGGCACTTTAATGCGCAGTGTAAATGAGCTAAACATAATCTGTATGTTTGGAATGCGTTTCCAAGAGGTTTGCTCCAATTTGCACTACAACACATATTCTGCCCCTTAGTCCACAGTGCAGCAATTGCTCCTATACAAATCCCCAACATGTACAAAAAATGCGCTGGGCAAGGCAGTAGACCTGTAAAAAGAAAAAAAAAAAAAAAAACACAGAGGGCTCACAACTGAGGTGTTTGCACAAAATAATGGAACCAAAATGAATTACAATTGGAAAGAGAACAACATGTCCATTTGATGTCTGTAGAAAAACTCCAGCTCCCCCTCCCTGCCCGTCCAAAACCCGTTGGAAGACGAGGAATCTTATGACACATCTGGCTCAGTCCGAGTCTTCGTCGTCCAAATACTCCTCGGCGTTGCTCTGTGTGCGGGTGATGTCTGAGTCAAAAGAAATGGACAGTTAACAACACAAGTATTACAATATGCCACTGCTCATATATATAACCCCAAAACATGTGTACTGTAAAATGTAGATTTCTGGCCGAACGTCTGCTCCATCTTTAAAAATCATACCCTGTGTAAGTTTGATTCATGATTTTAATAAACCTTTAAGAACATTATTAATCAAGGACAAAAAGTGAAGTATGAGAGTCTTTGGTAATTTACCACGGAGATAAGTTGCCTTTCTTTGGTTTTCCACTACAAACTGCTGTTGTCAACTTTGTGCTGACTCAAAAATCTTCATACAATTATTCCATGCAAGATCTAATAAATCAATGCAGTTTACAAAATACTCTCCTGAGGCAAGAAGTTTGCAGAGGAGGAGGACGTTGAATGAGAAGAAAAATCCTTCTTGTCCTTTCACTGACAGTTAAAAATACAACTTTATTCATTCTGGTTCCAGCTTTAATGTGTGAGTGCTGCCAGGCTGCCCCCTAGTGGCAGCTGTACTTACTGCCTCCCTGCTTCTTTTTTAGAAGTGAAGCACACATGGGGTTTGTGGCCATCTCAATAGCCAGCTTGTTCTCGTTGTTCCTGATGTCTGTCCTTGGATCTGAAACAAACCAGCTCACATTGAGGAAGAGTAACTTTGTAATAAAAGAAATAAAATGACAAGTTAAAAATAATTACATCCAAGGACACAAAAACATCCGTCTGCTGGTCATAATTTGTTCAATCTGGAACTTAATATTTTTAAGATCTTTATTGAGTGAGCTGAGGTTTTTTTTTTCCTTTCTGAATCCATGTGGATGCAGCACATTTCTTCTTTCAGCAAACCAACATTAACACTCACTCTTAGCCAGCAACATTTGCACAATGTCAGAATAACCCTTCCAGCAAGCAGCGTGCAGCACTGTGTCCCCGAGTTTATTCTGAAACACAGAATATCATCATTACTGATCACACAAGATGGTCAGGGAGATTTGTGATATAATGACATTTCAGATGATGGTTTGCAAAGGTGTTGATTCCACCTTAAACTAGAGAATTGTATTAGCATGGAAGATTATAAGACCAGGATAAAGGTTCATTTGTCTGTACATGTATTACTGCTGAACGCTGATCATTTATTGACTGATGTCATTTCTGCTTATCATGGTCTGTTGATCATTTTGTGGGAAACTCTCCACTGCTGTCTTGGCCACAAATTCCTCAATGGGAATATTGCTGATAACATAAAGGTAAAATAAATAAAATATAATATATAAGAACATTTCTCACAACTGAAATAAATGGGAATAATTGACATTCTACAAGGTACAAAAGTATGACAAATTAAACAGTGGTAATGTTAAATGTTGTATTTTTTTGGTAAAGAAAAACAAATATGATTAAACAGATAACAGTTAAGGCCCAAACCTTAGCCGAGTGCAAGAAAGCCTAGCTGTTGTGTCGCACGCCGCATGTATAGAGGCTACAGACCTCTTTGATTTCCACCTTGATCCTTTGCAGCATGTTTTCCCCCATTCTCTAAACCCAACTTTACCTGTCTCTCTTCGGCTTTACTATCCAGTAATGGCAAAAATTGCCCAAAAGAAAAAAAATATAAAAACAGACCTAAGCTATAAACACTTATTTTGATGTTTTCAGCTTGTTTGTCCAAGGGGGTTTCAGACTGTGAGGGCCATGGAATTTAATTCACTTAACACCATTCATTAAACACATGCGCAAGCCCTTTGGGCTGTAAAAAAGCATCTGCATTTCCCATACGTAACTGCCATGTTACGTCTTCTGTCCATGAGGATGGTCGCAATTCCAAAAATGATTTTCTCCTGCTCAATAATTCGAATAATGTAAATATCCTCACTGAGTTTATTTACTTTACTTCATAGGTCACACAATGAAGATCACTTTGTAGCCTCAAAAAGTGAGTCTATGATGAGTGTAGTAGTTGTTGAAATTCCCACACTCTTGTGATATGAGATGTTTTTCACCATTCAGTGTTGGTTCATGTCTTTGTAAGTTTTTAAAAACTCACCTGTTGATCGAGCTCCACATTCGGCTGGCTAAGCAGCAGCTCCACCACATCTGTTATAGGAAAAACACAGAACATTGATTGACAAATTGAGTGAAGATCTACTTACACAGATAAAATAACATGAGAGGGAGGAACAAGAGAGTAAAGCAGAAAAAAATAAACAATGTCAGGGACCAAGGTCCTCTATTGTTTACTTCACTTCTCCTGTTAAACAACTGTGCCTGTGTTTTTGAAATCTATTAATCACAGTTCTGTAAACAACTCTGATAAAAAAAAAAAAAAACAGTTTGAAAATTCAGTGTTTGTTAAAAGACACTTCTTGGTTCATGTTAATATCAAAAAGTGAGTTTTTAATGTTTGCACACTGCAGGTATCGTTACCTTTATGTCCTCCATGGCATCCCCAGTAGAGGGCAGTGTTTCCAGCCTTATCCAGCCCATTGATTCCAACCTTGTTCTCCACACATTCCCTCAGCCAGCACAGGTTACCTTTTTTTAAGAACAAAGATTTCAGCGTATGGGGTCATGCACATACTGATTGAATGATAACATTATCCAGGTCAAGGCTGCTTGTATTTGTTTATTCAAGGAAGAGAGAGAGCCGTCTTTGTAAAATTGAATGATTGTTGTTGCACAGAAAAACAGACACGACAAAAAAGAACAAAAGAAATCTCGTTGAATATTTCTGAATGTTAAAGAAGTTGTCACACCTCGTTTGGCTGCTTCATGCATAGGATTGTCAATAGTTTCTGCATGTTCAGCCACTGAAACAAAAACAAAAAAAACACAAGTGCATTAATAAAGATTGACTTATAATGAAGAATTACACGAGAAAAAGGTCTGTATTAAGTTATATTTGGTCGCTACGTACAAATTTATAACGTTGGTCTGTCATCATTGTTTACTCACCATAGTTACTTGGAATGAGTCCAGTCTTTCCTCTGCACGTCCCCTTCCACCAGTTAGAGTCAGTCTGGAAATAACCAGAAACACAGAAAGTATTTGTTCATTTTAATCAAACGTCATAGGAGCAATTTATTTGGGGCGACAAGGTTAGAGCAAAAATGAATGAAATGCAAACACAATGGAACAAAGAAGGAAAAAAGTGCAACTGAAAGAGAGAATATTTTGACTAACACAATGTAGACTAAAGAAAGCAAAACTGTTCAGAAGAGGAAGACGTGCAGATTAACATGAGTTAGACGTGATGACTTGGCTTTACTTACTGAGTCAGAGATGTACAAGATGTCTCCTTCTTCAAAGTACAGCTCGTCTGGCTGAAAAAGAAAACGAGACAGATGCTTCATTCTGACCGCAGGCTTTGAATTCAAGCCAGACCTTTGTGAAATACACTTTCCCCGCCCTCAAATCTTTGCCTGTTGATCAACTAACCATCCTAAATAAATCAGTTTGGGTTCTGAGGGATCTCAGAGTATTCTGGCTTTTTTTTGTAATTTGGAAACGTCAGACTGAAAAGGACCAGCATTAACATCAACCATGCAGAGAGGAGTCTTTACGATGATCATTGTTTCAAGAAGTATTTTTTTCTAACTAACACCAAGAAGCCGTGGCAAGACTTCAACTAAGTGCAATATGTTACGTCATTAATTTCAGATTAATTCAAGATGTTTGAAACTCCAGTTATAAAAGTACAACCATGTCAGATTCTTAAACTGAGAGGTTCTTTTTACAAAAGAGATAAAATATAGTGCTTAATATAAACATTTAAGTATATTACAGAGAATATGCGCATTACAGAAATATGCAATTTAAGAATATATACATATATATATATATATATATATATATATATATTACATATTTTGTTTCTTTTAATGAAGTTTGATTGATTTAAAAGTCTAATAGTCTGGTGGAAGAAGTTGTTTTTCTGCTGTGGTGTGTTTTGGAGTCCTGTACTTCCTCTGTTTTTTTTCCCAATCCGTCAGCAAATATCTTACACTTGTAAATGCTTAACTGTTTCAATTTGAAAAACAAACTCAGGGTTTGAGGTAACCTGTGTAATGTTATTTATCTCTCCAAGAAACATTAGCATGATTAAAAATGTTGGATTTACAGATTTTAAATCACTCATTTAATCGAATCTGAGCTTAGCACTCTACATTTTCATTTCAGTACTTTTTGTTTGGGGGGGTACAACAACACATCAAATAGTCTCCAACAGACATCGAATAAACAGGACATAACTTAGCAAAGTAAGAGTTTATACCGTTCTTGGGTCAAAGTTGAACATGGCTCTGTACACTTTGACTTGGCCTGGTGAAGAGAAAACAAACAGATAGCATGTCAGATGAAATACAAATGAACCTCATCCCTGTGTGCATTATTATACCTCACAGAATAAACTTCAGAGAAACTAGTCATGTTTCACTTCAAAGTGCTGGAACATTTGTAACCAGCTTATGCAAAACAAAAAAAATGCAAATTCACTTACTGTGGATACGAGTTATTGAGTTCTACTGTAGTTTAACACAAACTCGTGTAAATATCCCCTTCATAGATTTGATGTTGGCTTTTCATTAGAGCCTGATCGATATGGGACTTTTGGGGTTAATACCAATATAGAAATATATAAAGAGAACTGCTAGTGTAATTCAACAATACTCAAATTAAATGCTTTTTCACTGAGGAATAAATGTCGTAATATCTGCACATATCTGCAATAAAATTTGCCAATACCGATAATCAGTTGATGTGCATATATCGGCCGATATTATCGTTTGGCCGATTAATTGGTTGGGCGCTAGTTTTTATGTTGATTAATACATTTTGGAGTATTCTGCATTACTTTTTTTTATTATACTGTCAAGTGTACCGGATTTTAAGGAAAACTAATCCACTATCTTATGTGATTAAATATTAAGATTTAAAGAAGATTTTTTGGTCCGTTTTTTCAAGTCCTCAGGGGGCAGAAGTCACTATTATTATTATTATTATTATTATGGACAGCAACCTGCACTTGTGTCAAACTGAAAATGGAAGCTCCCTGTGTCTCTCCTTGTGTGTGCAGGCCTGAGCTGGCCGCCCTCGGGGCCTATCATGGCTCACTGTCGAGTCTGGTGCTAGCTCTGCTGCTGGAATGCTACCAGAGTGGTTGTGGCCTTAGCTGAGCTGAACTAGTTCATGTAGATCTACAGAGAAGCTTAAAGAAACAGTCACATATTTTACTTTTCCTAGACTTATAAAATGTTCTTTCAAACTACAGATTCCCGGGACTCAACAATGCCTCGTATCAAGACATTTCTCAGAATGTCTTGAAATGAAATTGATATGATTTGGCGCTACTGTATGTGTGAGCACTTTAAGGTGAAGCTTTAATAATTTTGTTGTACGATTTTACAATGACAATAAAGGCATTCTACTCTATTCTATTCTAAGTTTGATTGATTGATTGATTGACACAGCTGGTACTAAATTAAGAATGTATTTCATACACACAAGTTTAATAAACAGAATTAAACGCTGGTTACGTTGAAGTGGCAGATTTGATTAACCACACTGTTTATAACCGGCACTTCTGCAAAGGTATTTCTTCTGCTTTGCATCACAATAAAAGATAAATATTTCCCACAGCGCTCTACTCCACTTCCTATCAACGTTTTTTCCTGTTTTACACACCCTCTTTAAAAATATACACAAGGGATGCTACGATAGCGGCATTTTAAACTTTGATACCATTCTACATCAATACCGGTTTCCATCCCACAGCAACAAAAATACAAGTCCTAGACCCAATATCAGATCATTTACTGGTTTCAATCACTAAAAATGATAGACAAAGTCCAGCACACGTTCTCAATAGCACACATATGATACGTTTTGTATTTGTGCTATCTCTCTTTTTCACTTGCAGCAGCTGTTGGTGAAAAATAATGTCTGAAGATTTGAAGTTTTTTACTTTTGCACACTATCGATCTGTAAAGATTGGATTGTTTCAAAAAATGTGGAATCAAAGTGTAGTTAAGTGTTTAACATTTTAACAACCTTATATTAACATACACATGAACACAGTCTGCTGATGTTTATAAACTGAAGAAGCTTAATCACGTTGTTTATTGAGCCCACTTTATCTAATCATATAAATGTGTGTGTCCATGTGTGTGTGTGTGTGTGTGTGTGTGGCTCAGTTATCCTTATTGAGAGATTTATATGGTTCTTTCTTGGCTTATTTCACATTTTAACCTATAATTATTTACACTTTTACTTTGTTGGGTTTTTTTTGGGTTGGTTTGGCACTTGTGGTGAAACTTTTAACATTTTTAAGACAGGTAACCTACAAATAAAGATTATTTTAAACAATATTTAGGGCTGTGCATTGGCAAGAATCTAGTGATATTATAAAGTTAACTACACAGGGGTTATAATTCAACATATTGGAATAGAGTTCGATAAATAAAATGTTTATTTAGGTCAACTGTAATAGCATAAACACACAAACTTGTGCCTAAACTAGGAATAATAATAATAATAATATTTAGTTTTTATGCAAAAATGCATGTTTTTGCTTCTCAAAGTCCCAGTAACATCCATCGTCATGGCACCTCTTTAGCTGCAATCTGTGCAAAAGAATTAACCCTTGCTATACCAGTTGTTAAATATCATTGCATTTATCTTGTAAATCTACCATTTTAATATCTTTACAGCACTTTGTTCCAAACGGTCGTATCAGAAGGCTTAAGTGTTTCAATATTCTCTTATTGTAATATGTTTAATGCATTTGTGCAAATAAGGCTTAGTGAAGGGTCCTCTCTGTCTGCTGATTTCTTTTTCTCTCTATCCAACAGGCTTCAACACTGGAGGGTCTGTCACACCCCTCTGCAGTTACTCAGGGGTTTCTATTTAGCTAACAGTGTGTCTCAGTGTGTCAGAATGAGAGGGGCTGCTGAGCTGCTGCACAAACCTCGCTCTGTTTCCCACAGCAAGCATGTCTCGTCTGCAGGCCCGGTCATGTCGCTCACAAAATACAAAAAGAATCTGTGAGGACTAGTCTACGTTCTCTGTGACTTTTAAAACCTCAGGGACAAACTCCAGGCTAAAGGAATCACACGTTAAGACAAATGTATCCTCAGTGTTAAGAGAAAACGTTGTCAGAATGTTTCATTTGCTTGTGGGGTTTTTTTGATGATAATTTCCAGCTGTGTTAGTTTATTGCAAAACAACTCCTACAGCTCTGCGTGTCTGATCTTGGAGGCTGCTTCATTCCCCATTCCTGCCAGAAGCCCAACCCAAAGACCTCAACATGTAAGGCTCCCAAAATATGCCACGAGAGTCTATAATCCAGACAATAAAGTGTTTAAACTGAAGAATGTACATCTCTATCTAGTGTAAAGTTTTCCTCCTATGAAGGGAAAAAAACTCACAAGCCTGGTCCTGTGAAATCTTCATTTAAGAAGCATTACTTATTTAAAAAAAGAAAAAGTAATCCGTGTTTAATGTAAGACACCTTGCAAAACCAAAAAGTTTCAAAATCAAAAAGTTTAAAATGTAATCTATGAAGAGGAACTATACTTCAAACCACTGATAAGAGGAACATTTAAAAAAATAAGCTGTCTTAAAGATGTATAAATTCAACACTACTGTGGAAGAACCATCTAACATATCGAGGGTTGAGTACCTGCAAGTAATAAAAAAAAAAACAACATATTATTGGATGCTGCTCTAAATGCTGTTAACCTTCCATGGATCTGCAGCCTTCAGGTAACACATTTAATAACTTTGAGGCGTGCCATTCTCATTATGTTGTGCCTCCTTTCAGGTGTATTAACTAACAAATGAATCATTCTATAATAAGGCTCTACCAACCAGGCCAACCAGCCATCTGCTGAGTAAGACGATCTGACCTGACATCACAACCAGGCGAGATGTCATGGCGCTGACTCATGAATAAGCATCAAGAGTATGAATGGGAATCACACATCCGTTGCTCCAATGTTGTGCTCCTCTGTTTTTCACAGCTGACAGGCCAAACTTCACATGTGATTAAAATACAACACGCTCTGCTTTAACACTGATGAACGAGACCAAACCTGGATAAATACACGAATGCAAGTCTGGAAGGTAAGGCTAAGAGCAATTCACAGCACTCACACATGACATCAAACAGCATGATGACAAAGGTCAGAAAAAAAACATTTAAAAATCACCCTCAAAATGTAAGATGACCTTCAGTGCTTGCCGTAATATTTACAGTCTATGGTGCTTGCATTAAGTTTATGTTGTGTTGTCGATTTAATCTTGAGAGTATATTTAAGATTTGAATCACCTCTCATTGCAGTGTGAAAGAGAACAGCATTGGAAAAATAAATTTAAAAAAATCAGCTGAGTAAACCTCAAGATGACATCTTTACCGGATGTTAAGAATTGGGGCTTTTTTTTTCCTTCTGATTTGCATTAAGCTATGTTTTAAAAAGTAGATTCTTACCTATTCTCACAACACTTATGAACATTTTTTAATTTTACAATAACTACCGCATTTCTGGAAAAACTAATGGAAAACTTTTCTCACCTGACAAAATATAGGCTACATTTTAAGGACACATTTTTTTCATTTTGCAAATCCTCTGGAGGTAGAGGTCACAACTGTAGTTCTGGCCTATAGTTTTACTTTTTTTTTTTTCACGTTAACTTTTGATCCATGAGTGTGTATTAAATTTGTGGACAGATTAGTACCCAATACACACGTGTAGCTGAAATAATGTCTATTTTTATTTATTTATACAGCCTGCAAACTGACACCTGTTGCACACGTGTTATGCTGTAAATATTATTTGTGTACATTTTTAAAACTAAACTTGGGCTACAGTTTGTGAGTAGGCCTATCAGTCACATTTCCTTATCTCTGGGATGGAGTCAACAGAACAAGCAGGATGAGCTTGCAGGGAAGTCAGACTGATGGTCACGTACCATGAAGACTCATCTTCACCTCTTAACCTACGACCTAAAGCCGCTGGATGACAGCAGTCTCTTTGCATGAGTGATGGAAAATAGGGAAGTCACAGAGGCCTGCTGCTCAGAGCTGGAGCCTCCTGTCAATCACCTCGGAAGCACTTTAATCACCTCCACTGTAGTCCTGCTTCACTCAGGGATGATATGTGTTGTCATTTATCAGCGTGTTTGGTCTTTCTTTCCACTTGTTCATGACAGTTTTTTACGGACTAACAACATGAAAAGTCGACTTCACTAACTTAACTCAGCAGCTCGCCGCCCGCCCATTGACGTTCAGCTCTCAGTGCCGACAAGGTGTGCTGTCCCCGCAGGAGACTCAGCTGTTTTTAGTTGATATTAAACAACAAATCTTTGTTCACGGAGTCTTACCTGGCTTGGCCGGCTTGGGAGGAGGCTTCGACATTTGCGAGGCACAGAGGTGATATAAAACAAAGCGCGCTTGTGTGGTAGTTCAGCCAGATAAGCGTCGCAAGACTGTGGAGCGCTTAACTATTTCTGACAATGAGGAAGTGCGGCAGCACCACAGGCTACGCGGAAAAGTTGAGATGCGCATGCGCAGAGTAAGAACTTTTTTTTTTACAGTATTTCATGTCCAATGCATGATAGATAAACAGACAGACAGATAGACAGACAGACAGACAGACAGACAGATAGACAGACAGACAGACAGACAGATTTTATGCGTATGTATTACATATGTAGCCGAGGTCAATTTCTATTACACTGAAATAAATAATTATATATAGGCCTAACTAGACGAAGCTTGACAACTATGCTTTTTGTAAGATTTAGGCTATTTTGATTTGTCCATTACGTTTTTTTATATAGATTTTTAAATAGCATAACCTTCCCATTCTGATGTTAACTCCAAACACCGATTTTGTTTTTAAAATGTAGCCTACTAATTTCAAATAACTTTAATTTACATATTCATCTGGTTTTCTTATAAGTCTTTCTATTGTTTGTTGTTTGATAATGTTTTTGTTGGCTGTATAAAGTCTAACTTTAATTGTAGGCTATTATACCCCTTTTTTCCCTGCATCATATAAATATCCCTTTATTATCCTTCTAATGTCATCATTGATTTACAAAAAAAAAATTGTTTTTCGACTTACACCGTAATAAAAATGTATTTAATCCACTGTACAGAGTGCTTTTTATTTATCAACTTTTTTTTTTTTTTTTATCAATGAGCAGGTCGTTGATGACGTAGCAGCTGCATCAGCGAATCACCGGCGTCCAGTGGTGGAAAAGTTTGTGGTAAGTTGTTGTAACACTCGCCTCTAGCATGTGTATTACTTATCTGTGAAGATGAAAGTTTCACTAACTTATTTACACACGTTGGCGTTGTTATTATGTTGTCAGAGAGAAGCAACAACAAGCCGACATGAAGACACTGGTTGTGGGGGTCGGTGGGTAAGTAGGTCGGTGTAGCTTGGACTCTGTTGCTGCTGTGATAAACAACCATGCAAAGATTCCCTTATATTGCTCTCTCTGGGCCACTTTGCACACATATGGCCTGTCGGAGCTCAGACAGCACACTTTCAGGCTTAGTTCAACCATAAAAGTCAGGTTTAAGCACCTTCCTCGTCTTGCAATAAGTTAGAGGTAAATAGGGAAAAAAAGAACTTCACTCAGTTTGTTTACTTTATATAGAGGCAGGGACGCCATCCGATCAATACAGCCTGTGACAACCATGTGCAGCCAAATACTGATAAGACTGTTATTTTGCAGATAAAACAAAGAGTTATTCATATATGTGTTAGAGTCAGAGTGAAAGGAAACCTTCCATCTTTTGTGTTTTTAAAGACTTGTTAGATATTTTCAAAAGGAAGAGTTAAGTGCAAGCTTATTAATAATGCACCCCCTGCAACTCACCTCCCTTTGTTAGTCTTTGTTATTGTGACTGCTTGTGTTCAGATTATAACTTGCCAGGCTGAAAGCAGAGTTTCACATCCTATGTGATGAGAAAGTGTTGACCACACCCTAACTGTTCGGTGTCGTTGGGTTTACTTGACTGTTGGCTGGAGTGCGCCTCTGACCACAACAGTGATGTCACAGTATACAGAACACAGCCTGAATGATAAGTAAATATAAAGGCCATTATTAACTTAACTAACTCAAACACATATGGCAATAATAAGTGCTCAGTTTGACATTTTACAGTCCAAATATACAAGTAATACATTTATATTGTAACGTGCAGGTAGCAGAAAAGAAGAACTCCGTCTGAAATAGAGGACTTTAGGCAGTTTAATATTCATTCATTCAATCAATCAACCTTTATTTATACTCGAGAGATCATTGAGGGGCATTCATTAGTCATACAGAATCAATTACAAGACAGACAACAAATCATTAAAAGAGCCAGAAGACAAGGCCACTAAAATCAACAAACTGGAGGATTTCTCAGAAGCTAAGACAATTAAAGGGTGACATTAGAGTAAGAAAAAGAGTATAATAAAAATAAATGCAATAAATAAAACATACTTTGTACAGTTACTAAAAGATGTTAGTGGGTTTAAAATCTTGTTTCTAAAATGTCCAAAAAGTTAAAGTTCAAATATGCACAGTTTACATCTGGTATACTGACACACCCAGGAGCTGCACTTTATATTTAGCCACCAGGGGTCAGCAAAAACAAGCCAAATGAATGCTGCTACTTTCAAAGGTTTAATGTTGACTTGACCTATAGTTACCTCAATCAAGAAAGTTTGTTATTCTGCTAAATAAAGACATTTGTGCAGCCTTTAAGTGACATGTAGTGTTTTATTATCAGGATGACCAACGGAGGAAAATCGACTCTCTCTATGAGTCTCCACCAGCAGATACCCAACAGCTGCATCATTGCACAAGACTCATATTTTAAGGTAGATTGTGAGACTTTTTCAGTTCATATTATTACATTTAAAAAGTTATTCTGGAAATTTATGAGCTTAAAGTAGTCTTTGTTTTTTTTTTAGGATGACTCTGTGGTACCAGTGGACAGCCATGGCTTTAAGCATATGACAGTAAGCATAATGATTAAAGCTAAAGTAGTTGATATAAAAATGTGTAACATTAAATTACAAGTGTTTTAAATGTACAGTCTGAAAAATGTTGAAATGAATACAAAAAATAAAAGCAGATTTAAAAAGCTCGAACCAGCAAACATGAACGATTGATTGCTTCACTGCTTAAAGAATATCACATTTATACATTTTATAACTAGTTAAAGAAAATATTTTTCATTATGTTTTGTCACAGTGCTCGATGCTCTCCACATGGACACGATGATGAGCGACATCGACTCGTGGAGAAGAGATCCTGAGGCGTTCCTGAAGCAGTGCGGCCCGTTCCCCGAGCAAACGGCAGCATCAGAGGAAGAGGAGGTGTTTGTGCTGATAGTGGAGGGCTTCCTAATTTTCAACCACAGGTACACTGGAGAGATTAATCAGCAGGAGTTCCACAAATGATAGAAATAAAAAGGAAATGAAAACAATTTAAACCCAGTAAGACAATCAAAGATGAAGGGGAATAAAACACTGTAAAAGAATAAAATCAGCAAAAGATAAAAGATTCAAACAAAAAATGATCCTAAAAGCGTAAAATATAATAGATACTGCCTTCATTTGGAACAAAAGCATTGTTAGGATTAAAACACGCTACAAATCCCCTAAAACACGTCTCTAAAAACACATTTTTGAAGAGTTTAAAAGAGGACAAAGAGCTTGCCAGTCTGATCTCCTCAGAGAGGTTCCTCCAGAGGGGTGGGGGCCCTAATGGAGAAGGCCCGGTCACCCTTGGTCCTCAGCTTTGACTGTGGAAGGGCGAGCAGAGCCTTGACTCAGGACCTCAGGTTACGACCAGGCATGAAAGGGGTGAGGAGATCAAGGAGCAGGTTATAAAATATCCTAACTATCTGATTTTTCCGTTCTCTACCTCCAGGCCTCTGAATGAACTTTTTGACAGAAGCTACTTCATGCAGATACCTTATGAAGTGTGTAAAAAGAGACGAAGGTGACTAATAATTTCATCCACTTAATGATCTATACATTCATTTCATATTAGAAGAAATCAAACTGTTTTTAAACTATCTTTTCATTTTTTGTCTTTCATACAAACATGTTTCACATCATCTCCAATTTTTATTCAGCTGAGAAAATGTATGTGTGTACCTCTGCTTTGATTGACAGTTCGAGGGTGTACAAGCCTCCTGATCCTCCTGGATACTTTGATGAATACGTGTGGCCGATGTACCTGAAGAACCGGCGTGAGATGGAGAGCATGGTGTCAGGAATAGGTGAGTGTGCAGTCAAAGGTGACATGTGTACACGGTGTGATACTGAAAAGATGAACATTTGTTGGAGCAGTTATGGAATATTTATGTTTGAGACCTTTAAAAAATAAACCAAACAGTGTCATGAGTGCAGCTGTCGCTGGTGTGCTCACGTTAGATATTTAAATAAATTACTATTTAATGTTTGTCTGTTTTTTTTCAGTGTTTCTGGACGGACTGAAGCCAAAGGAGGAGCTGCTGGCTGCTGTGTGTAAAGATGTTTATCAGGAAATCAAAAGGCTGAAGGGTTAGCTTTTTTTGTTGTAATGACAATTTCTGCCAGATAGACTTTAAAACATTGAAGGAGAAAACAAATATCATCCTTGTTAAGCTTGACACTATTGAGAGTTTTATCTGAATTTTTGAATTCAGACGTGCTGCAAATATCTCTGGTGCATTGCATAGTGGGAAAATAGTACACTTCCACAGCATGCTCACAAATGAAGAGTTTAAACGTAGATTCTGACATAAATAAAAGGAGAACAACTCAGCAGACAACAAGGCACAGTACATACTTAAAGGTGACATTGTGTAGAGATGTGCTGTCTTGTCAAAAAATGCTACCATAATAAGAATTGATAGGAGAGTGTATCACCGTCCTCTATGCAGACAATATTTTGATATGTTTAATTAGACCTCAGACTTCCTTTCCCAACCTGAACTGACTCATTTCCTCATTTGGTATTTTTTCAGGATATTAGCACATTTATCAAAATCTGAAGCCATGCCATTGGGTTCTTTATCATCAGAGTTGCCAAAGCCCTTAGTCATAGCAGAGTTTTGCTCCGACCTATGACCTAATCTAGATGTTGAAATCATGAAAATGTTCATAAATACACACTCTCTGTCAGGGAAAGAGATGTGAAATGATATGAAGGCGGTCAAACACCTGATACATCAACAACAAATGACATGAAATTCACAATACAAATCAAACAATTTCTACTTAATCTGAGTTTCTTTGTGAGTAGTACAAATGAGAATAATGTTTTTAAGGAGACCATTTAGTTGTTCTACTTTAAATATTGTCTTATAAAACAAATTAAAGATAAAAACAAACAAAGTTCTGTTTGTTTTGTTTGCAGAGAAGAGCTGAAAAAGCCGCAGATGTCTGTGTGGATACTCTGAAGATGGACTCTGCTGCTCGTACATTTGACAGAAAGGACCAAACCAAGTGTTACCGAAGGTGTTATATAAATACACTAATACCTGTGTATTACTTTAATAGTTTATGTGCCTGTAAGCGTACAGTAAACTGTAGAAGAGAGAATGATTGCTGTAACATTTCAGTTTGTCCAGCAGGAGCCTGGACAGAAACTTTAGGACCGTGTTAACCTGATTTGTTTATTATGACACTAATGGACGATATTTCAAAGATAGTAAACTGAAATATATATATATATATATATATATATATATAAGTTTTAAGTACAGTAGGTATGATTTTAACTATGAACCTGAGTCTTTTATCTAAATATGCATGTGTATGATTATATAAAAATGTCAAAAAGGCACGCACATCCGAGAAAGTTTAAGTACCGAGTGTTGGACAAAAAACGTCCAAAGATAGAAAAAGTACGTAATTTGCACACCAGCAGCTATAATTTTAAAACTAACTTTTGGGGTCTGACATGCCGGAAAAATGCCAATGGTTTGATCTGAAACCGGGGTGCCCGCTTGGAGGATTACAGCCTCTGTACACGGGGCGCACACACTAACCACTTCGCTTCCTGCGGCCCAAGTGAGGAAGATTTTTAAGGCCCAGTTTTTTATAAAAACAAACACAAAACATATTGTCTTCTCCTCATTCAAATATGCTCAGTTTTTATACAACATTTGTCTCCATGTGTTACTCAACCTGTGAAGAAATCTTGTTGGTAAAAGAAATGCACATTTTTTAAGGAAGTATTGCATCAATAGGATGTAAGGATATTATGCAACCCAAGAAGGAAAGAGTCGAGTCTTTATTGCCCTTGTGCAAGACAACGCAAAAGCAAAGCAGCTCCCTGAGCAGCATAATGCAAAGAGATAAGAACGTTATATTAAAAGATACTACAACAAAACTTTACAGGGTAGACTCCAACAAAAACTGCACTGAAGATATAAAATAACTGGCATATAATGTTCACACATGGTGTAAAGTACGGTGGTTGTAGTGTTTCTGCGTCTTAATGGTGACAGATGTCTGCAGCTCGTCTAGCTTATTTTCTTGCCGTGCATAAAGATGATTTTATATACTGTATATGTAGATTAAAAAAATGTTAACAGCATGTCTCTATTTCGATCGATACATTTGCTCATATAAAGCTGAGTGAAAGCCACCATGTCAAAGTGTCAAAGGAGTCTCTTGCTCATTAGAAAAAGAGAAGGTTTGGTCTCTCGCTCCTTGCACTCTGCTGCAAAAATCCTCCACCTTTCACATCCTATAAATAGACCTTCACTTGCTGACTGAAACCTGTTTGACTGCAGTTTCAAAAAAAATGTTTTCATTCTGGATCAAGAGCTTTTTTTTTTTCCCATGTGTAATCTCTGTTCACATCTTGTGAAACCCTCCTCTAACCCTGCGAGGTTTCCCATCACTCTAAATGATCAAATTTTTGCAAAAAGTCCGTGCTGTCAGCAGAATATTTTCTGTTTACCTCAGCAGTCGACTTGCCCGACCGGCAAGTTCAGTAAAGGAGTCATCACATGTGAATCTGGACATTCCTTACTTCCCTCTACAGATTATATCCTCTTCTACATAGACGTATATAAGCATACTGCAGCCAGGGGACTTACAGCCTTTTCCATGTTTCAGTGCTGAATTAAGCTTTGATTGGGGACTCACTTTGAATAATCTTAAACATGTCGAACACCGGATTGTCTATGTATGTGTGTTTGTTTTTTGCCTGCTGCTTCTGTTGCAGCAGAGCTATGCCAACTAGAGTCAATCAGGAGGCGGTAAACGACAGACCTGTGATCGGTGAGTAAACAATGTAGGCTTAAAGCACAGTTTAAATGTAAAGGTTGTATTCTTTCATTTAAAATAGAGCTACTGACAGTGATCCGGTGTGTAATCACAGCTGCTCTTTTTTTCTCCCTTGTTTGACTCAACAAGGTGTTTTGACTCAGTTAGTCTCGGATGAAGTCATGAAACCTTTCGGGAGGACCTACATTCCTGCCTCCTATGTGAAATACGTGGAGTCTGGAGGCAGCAGAGTGATGCCCATCAGGTGGGTCGACTCCTTTTATGTTCTTTAAGACCATTAAGATAAACCCTTTGATACTTCTGACTGGAGCTATTTGATGTACTGTTTATTATCCGTCAATATCAGTCAGCACAAGAACCGGCAGTTATTAGGTCATATTCAAAGGACTGAACAACTATCATCATCATCATTATGGTTATTTTTTCCTCAAAAAATACTTACCATATCTTACTAGAGCCAAAATAAAGTATTCAGTTTGTAATCCAAACGAGTGTGTCCAAACAACAAGCTAACACAGAGACTCTTTATTTATAATCTTCATGAGAAATAGCAAAACCAACAAAGAGTTTTCACATTTCTGCTTGAAAAATGACAGAAGATATTCATCTTTGTCTCAAATTGTTGGCATGTAATTTTCCTTATTCAATTTATCAGTTTATCAACCAGTGGTTGCTGTTTTATTAAGGAAACAAGTGTTATATCGAGGCACTTTACTAAAGAGCAGGTAGAAGACCATACTCATTGTTATGAAAAATGGGATAAGATGCAGGAAGGATTTCTCCTTTGTATTCCTCGCGTTCCTGTCCACACTTCCTTGCAGCCGAGGTGGCGGTCGGAGCAGGCCGTGCAGGAATGAGGACGCCGGTGGTTGTGGGGCAGCAAAGTGTGGATGTTTTTTTCTATTGCTTTTTTTTATTGATTGATTGGAGTGGAAGCAGCTGAATGTTTGGCAGCACTTAGAGTCCAAGACAAATGTCCCCAAGGGGACAATCTTATCGTATCGTATATCATGGACAGTAATTGTAAATGTAAACACTGTTAAGAAGACACTTCTTTCAAACCTGCTGAATAAAAATATACAAGTTAACACAATGCAACATGTTTGGAGCTGTATTTGACATTTTGCTGGATGTAGTTGACCTTTAATGTTGTGTAATTTTGAGGTATTCTGCTTAAATACAGAAAGAAGAAATTGGTTTTCTGTCCCTTCTTTTCTCTGTGATTCCCTCCCTGTGATTTGAGAGTCATTTGACCTTTGCTGTGTGAACATTGTAAAATAGTCTAACAGGGAAGTGTTTGTTTGTCGTCCACAGATTGACTCTCACTACAGCTGAATATGAAAACATCTTCAGGAAGATCAATGGGTGAGCTGCAATATGCACTACTGGATTGACATGAATGTTTTGAATGGACACATTGTTTACTCAGTCCTCTTATCTGTCTCTGTTTCACTGTGTTGTATCTCTTCAGCCTGCTTTTCATCGGCGGAGCTGCAGATTTGGAGACTTCAGACTACGCAAGGGTGGCAAAGATTTTTTACACGCTCGCTCTGAAGGTTTGTGAAGCAGAATTAGATTTTTTGTTGTCCCGAAAACTCAAATACTTTTACTTTCTCATTGTCTTTGTGTGATTGACTGTCTTTAAATCTTATTTTAAAGTGATTCCATTGTTCACATTTTCTGTGCATCAGCTTATCCGTCTTTGAAATCTCTTAACTTCAACCGTCTATTATGTTTGTGTTCAGTTTTTCTTGTCTTGCTCCTGTAAGCAAAACCACAGGAGAGGACCTTCTTCATTTTGTAAGATAACGTTTTGACACCGCAGCATGTAGGAATCAATAAGGAAGTCAAAACATGTCAATGATGTTTGTTATTGTAATTTGAGATCACAGTTTTGCTGGTATGGTCCTTTAAAGAAATGTGACATTAAAGGCAGGGTTGGTCATTTTCTCCAGATACTCTTTTTAAGATTTTTTAGGTCCTGACAGAAATGAATAATGCAGGTGGTCTGAAAAGAGAACAATCTAAATCATTGCCCTGCCTTTAATTCTTTTAGTTTAATATCTATTTATATACTTTTAAGTGATCTTATATCCTCATAGATGTTTAAACGTATGCCTTCTCATCTTTTACTTTAATTTTGTGTATGTCATTGTCCTACTTAAGCTTTAGTTAGTTAAATAAATTAAGTAGGTAAGAAGTGATTAAACTCGTGAAAAGGCAGCTGCAGAGCAAAAATCATCTAAGAGCTGTTTGACAATCATGAACCTGTCACTCCTGGAGATGAAGAATCAAGCGTTTCACTGAGGACTGATGCAGCTGACATAACAGTGAACTATACTGTAAATTATGAAATAATTATCGAAATAGAAATGTTAAAGAATGACGTTCAAAGCTTGTTCCAAAGAATTTACATGACCTGGATGACTGATATACCGACAAGGGAAACCTGCTTTCTACAGATTGAAATTAGTCTCTGACAATACTTTTGCTGATTTAACGATATTTAACTTAATATACAGTATTTACAATATATCTTTAGCCCAAGCTAAATTGTGATTGTGTGCTAATTATTGACAATACTTGAGTTGCCCTCACATTATTAAGAGGGGTTTTCTTACTGTGTGTGTGTGTGTGTGTTTCAGGCTAACGACAGAGGAGATTTCTTCCCTATCTGGGGTACCTGCATGGGTATGCAGCTCCTCACTGTGCTGGTTGCCGGCGAGAACCTGCTGACAAAGACCACAGCTGAGAACATCTCGCTGCCACTCAACCTCACTACAGGTTATATATGACTGCATTAAAGTTTCTGTATATCTTATTTTCTAGTACTAGAACAGCTTTGATTTGCATTTTGAATTTAGATCACATGTTCTCCGTAGACAGTGAAACATGTTACAGTGCATGTACTGAATGGTACCACTGGATGACAGTAGAAGCAAGTTTTTCAGAGGACGTTTTGGTGCCCAAAATGAAAACCTCTGGCACAGGCAGCACATTTCAGGGTTTCCATCATGTAATAAGGTGACCGATAAAGAAGAAGCAAGTTTGAGTTCATTCACTCACTTCAATACGTTTTCCCTCCTCTCATGCAGAGGCCGACTCCAGTAGGATGTTTGCAGGTCTCTCTGAGGAGCTCATGAAGGCTTTAGCCCAGGAACCTCTGACAGGCAACTTCCACCACTATGGTCTTACACTACAGGTAATTCTAACAATACATATGACAACAACAAAACCTTTTAGATGGTATTTATCAAAAGAAGTAACAATTGGATCGCAATTTAAGATCACAAAAAACATTGACATACTTAAAGCTTTTTAAAACCAATAACAAATAGTTAGCTCTGTTAATGACGAGTATGTTAGGTGGGGGTGTTTCTGTTGTAAATGTTCAATGAGGAAATCACAAAACAGACTGTGGATTATCTTTATGAGTTTATTCGGTCAGACAACATTTCAGAAATCACATTGCTGACAAACTCATCATGTAACAGTCTTGCTTATACTCCGTTAGCAGGTACAGCCTACAAATTACTTTCTGATAGGCTAGAAAGGAGACATTTGTTTTCTTAAAGCCTCATTTTTATTTGTATTTCATTTCGACGGCTGTACGGTGATGCAGTGGTTGCCATACAGCAAGAAGGTTCCTGTTCGAATCAGGAACCTCTCTGTGTGGAGTTTGCATTTTCTCCCCATGCATGCAAGAGTTCTCTCGTCCTACAGTCCTATCACATGCTCGTTAGGTTCATTGGTGACTCTACATTTCCTGTAGGTGTGAATGTGACTGTGGCTGGTTGTCTGTCTCTATATGTCATCGTGATTGATGCCTGTGATTGACTGGCCAACATTCCAGGGTGTACCCCGCCTCTCGCCCAATGAAAGCTGTGATCGGCTACAGTCCCCCCAACCCCCTCAATGGCAGAAGCAGGATAGATAATGAATGGAAAATGTTTTTCACTATCTAGTTTTCTCTTTTTGTAAACAATCATAACCTTGCTCATAATATCAGGAACTCTTGCTTCTACGAGATAAAAAAATGTCCAATATTGTATTTTCTACAAATGATGTTGAACTTATCTATAATGAAAAAAATCATCAATCAAGTAATGGGAAAATATTATTTCAGACTTTCCAGGAAAATGAGAAGCTGCAGAACTTCTTCACAGTGCTGTCTACAAACGTGGCTGAGAACGAAGCTCTCTTCATCTCAACATTGGAAGGTAGAAACAATAGTTTCACATTCATTTAACAATTCTCATCACTACGTTGCAAGATCAAGTCTTTAAGTGTGTTTGTTTCTTTCCTCGTGGCAGCTAAAGAATATCCCTTCTATGGAGTACAGTGGCACCCGGAGGTGAATCGTTTCCAGTGGGACAGAAAGCTGAACTTTCCTCACTCCTCTCATGCTGTTCAGTTATCGTCTCGGCTGGCTGAGTTCTTTGTTGAAGAAGGTGAGACGACAAACACACTCTATCAATAATAATAATAATAATAACTGTTTATTTTATCAGTATGTTTTACCGGTTAATGTTGGAATATGTCAAGTTGTGTCAAACTGAAAACACTTAAAGCAGCTCTTCCTTTAATAACTGACCTTTTTCATTGATCTAATTGTTTTCATTGGGAGAGTTCATTACCTTTTTTTTATTGAATAAGCCAAGTGTAGACAGTCAAAGCTGCTTATTTTACTGCTTTAATCAAATCTCCTCAATTTGTAATATGCCACTCATAATCTATGTGAATATTTGTCTCCATATTTAAAAGCTGTGGCATGTTGAGTATTAAAAAGAGAGACTTACAGGAAATAAAGTCTGATTGGTCTGAGCTCACGTATACAAAAATATAGATTTATAATAATCTGAAAAAACTGACTGCTGTGGCTTCTTGCACCACATGTGAGCACCTGTTAGATCTTAATATTAACTTTATACTGATGTTGAATCTTGTGAGTGATGTGCACTTGTGATATTTAAGAGGAAGAATATCTCTTTGGACTTTCCTCTAATTTACCACCAGAATATATACCATATATGGTAGGCTAAAGAGTTTTGAGACTGTTGTGGTTGCAAATATAAGTACCTTAGGGAACTAAAAATACATTATACATTTAATGTAAATATTGCATCAATGTGACACACTTTATTTAGTTTTTCATGTAAGACATGTGTTTAATGGTTTTCCACTTCTTTACCCCTAAAATGTACGTGGTTATCGCATCCATAAGAAGTTGAATATTCACTACATCAACATGCGTGACACATACACCTACATAATTGATCTTGCATTTTGGATACCGAAATCAAAAAGTACAGATTAAGATGCATAAAACTGAAAAACAAGCAAAATTGTGAGATAACACTGTGGAATAGTGTTCTAAACAATACAGATGAATATCCTGTTGGTCATGTTTTTCCCCCTGGAGATTACTCACTTCTTTTCTACACACATGTAATCACATGAATCCCACTTCTGCTTTGTTTAGGAAGGAGAAGTTTACATCACTTTGACAGTCCTGAGGAAGACGCCTCCTCGCTGATTTATAACTACACGCCTGTCTATGCCGGAAACTTCTCAGGATATGAGCAGGTCTACTTCTTCTGAGGAACTCACTTCTCAAAGATTGATGCAGACACAGAGATAATTTCCATCAAACCTGCACCAGAGCGTGTTGTTTGACCATCTTAGAAGTCTTTTCCAGTCAAAGCTAAAGATTAAAAGTCTGTTGTTGACCTTGAAACTATATTTGAACAAACGTTTTCAACATAACGTCCATTTATCATTTTCAAGGTCATAAATGAGCCTTGTGAAATCATTAAGGATTCATTCATTTATTCCTACCAGAGTTTTGTTTTTATTTTTATTAATAAAAATAATAAAAAAATAAACTTTGATTGCTTTATTTTAAGAACATATTTTATTTTGCGGTTAATGCACTGTGTTGTGTGAGTGTTTTGCCTCTCTAAAGATGAGCATTAACTGACAATGATATGGACCAAGAGTTGACATGAGGGGAAAAATGTGATTCCTTAATGTGGAACAATCATTGGACATAAAAACATTTATCAGAGCTTTTCAATTGCACATTGTGGGCTTCATCCGTCTCTTTACCGCTGAGGAAGACAATCAGATCTGTTTAAAAAAAACAAACACATACTTGAAACTAGTTTGTTTATAATATTACTAGTTTCAAGTATGTGTTTGTTTTTTTTAAACCTCAAATAAATCAGTCGTCACATTTACATGGAGTTAGAAAAATATCAACACTGACTAGAGAGATCGTGTGCGTCACATTTTTTACCACAGCTGTAAAAGGTGTTGATGTTTTCACCATTCGACTTCCAACCAGTTTGCTGCTGGTTAACTTTATAGAAAGGTCAACTGGAAAATGGTCCCATTGTAACTAGCTGAAAGGGGGCATATCGCCACCAACCGTAGGGGTGACAGATGTACTGTACTTCCTTCAATTAATCGGTTCTTCCTCAATGCTTGTATACTGGGACAATAGTCCAATTGAATGTCTCTTGTGTTGACTAACCAACAGTCCAAAACCAAAAGATGTTCAGTATACAAACATGCATAAGTCAAAAATAAATAAAAGACAAAAAAGTTCAGTAACTAAATTTTCAGCATTTTATCAGCATTATAACACAATGCACAGAATTTGTGTGGGGGTCATGAGGGGCCCACTACAAAGTTTTTACAGGGGTATTGACCCTAATCTGGCCCTGAATGTAGGGATGAGACTTTAACTGAGTATTTTTTTTTTTTTTAAAGCATGCCACTGATTTATCAGCCTTAATTGCCTGGCCAGCAAACACACATGCATTAGCAAACTGAAAAAAAAAAAAAAAAGTTATAAAAAAACAGACAGGCCGTCATAACACACGCCGGCACAGACTGTCTGCTGATTGGCCGGTCCGAACGTCACTCACGTCTGCGGGGTGAGGGGGGCGGGGATCAGGAACACGGAGCCAGTGTTCCAGATTTCTTCTTCTCTCTAACAGATGCTGCTGCTGCTGCGGGGTCAGTGTTATGTTGTGAACAAATAATAACAGAGCCCTAAAAACAGCCACAGAAGAAGGGGGAAATCCACATCACCATTGCGTCTTTTTGACTGCAGGAATAGGACCAAGATAATGTGATAAACAAAAGCTTCAACTCTCGACAAACGCCTTTTATCCCCCCCTTTTTTTTTTTCTTTTTTTTTGGGGGTTTCCGTCTTTTTGTTACACAGGTGCTCTAGTCCTGCTAACCTTTCTCACTACCTGTGCACTTCAGAAGCGGTCGATTTCATCCATCTGCTCGCGCGGAAGAAGCTGCGGCTTGTTGGTAAACACGAATCCGACCCCGCCGGCAAGGACTCCCTCTGGTGCATTGATGCACCCGTTTCAGTGGTGTAACGGTGAGCAGTCATTTTATATTGTCCGAGCTCCGTTTATTTAGGCCTCTCTGATAAAGGCTAATGTGATAGAAAGAAAAAAAAAAAATCCAGTCTTTTATTTGAGCACAGTGAAGCTCTGTAGGAGGAAACGAATAGACTGTAGACTGGAGTGTCTGAATCATCCAGTGTTTCTAAATTTAGACATTTCCTTTGTGAGTATAATGGAAATGTAAAGAAAAACGATATCACTCTTGTGGGGCGTTTTGTAGTGAGTTGGTATCACTTTTGTATGTTAGCAGTATATTAAAGTGTTATAAAAGGGTAATAACACTCTGTAATATTATTGCATAACATATAGGCTACAAATGCTCTTTGATGTATGTTTTTTTTAACAACTGTAACTTCTCTTCAAGAAGTGGAAGCCTATTGAAGAACAATAAAGTAAATAAGGTTTAACAGTAGCAGATTTTTCTGTATAAGAGCTGTTTAACTGCAATGAACACTAAATATTTATCTATATGCTTTTGAGAAGAAAAAAAGGAATTGCCAGTGACCAACTTCATTGATCATTCAGTGTTTTTATGATGCAGTAAGTCGCACACATTGCCTGGTTTGAGCTTTGTCAATACGATACTGTTTGTTTGTTTGTTGTTTGTGACATTGAATGGAATGATTATTTTTTTCTGGACTGTAAAGTCAACTGAAACTGGCTTTCTTAAAACATGACACGGACATTGTTCAGTGTGCTTCTACATCATTTATTGAAGCTGTTCTCATGTCTCTTTAATCATCGTGAACACGCTCTCATCTGAATGATGCCGAGAGACAAACTACAACAGAGTCAGTGCACACAAAAGATAGCTGACAATGGAATAATACATTGTTGCTTTTCTTAACATTAAAGTGTGTTTTGTGGTTAATACTAAATATTTGCGTGCAGCTTTCATTAAATTGACATTTAATAACGCTTTTGTAACCTTTTAAAAAAATAAAATAAAATTCATAAAAGACAGCATTTTGGCTGTGATCAACATGTAAAAACGTATACGGATCAGTAGAATACTATAATGGCTTAATTAATAGAATCCTCTATTTCTATTTAAATGAATTCAGCTACAGCCACACAAGGCCAGCCATTGTGCTTTGTGCTTTTGTAACATTTTGCCTCCGTGGGTAATCTTGTTTACACTGGCTGACTCTATCTTGCAGTCCTCAATTACACTCCTCATGGCTTTGACAGATTATCTTCAACTGTCAATAAAGTCTGAGCAACTTCTGTCCTTTATGAAAAGTGCTGTTCGGGTCCAGATTTTGCATTAGTCACTTGGACAAAACCAAATCTGTTCATTGCTGTGAAACGTTTTTGCGTCAGTGATGCGTTGTCACGACAAAATCCTGGTGAGGATGATGGATTTGTGTTGCTCTTTTTTACCTTTGGCTTTTCCTGTTTGAGTTCAGCAGCTGCAGCCTCCTTGGTGGACTATTGGTGTTGTTCAGATAGGAACAATTACTCCCTTTGTGCTGCCGTTCATGGGGGGAATACACACACACACAACACACACACACACACACACAACACAGACACAAAGTATCAAAGAGTGACATTCTGCTAGAAAAATGAAGCAGTATCAGTCAGTCACAGCTCAGAGTCTGCTCTGTGTATCAGTGTGTGTGTGGCTGTTTGGCCGAGTTGATGCGTGACACATGTAGCGCTTTTATGCATATGTGGGGTTACTTTGGGGCCCAACCTACTTTCTTCTTGGATGAACCAGCAGTAGTCATCAAGCAGGCAAGCTTGAGTGTTTCCCACTCATGTGAACTGTTGAATATTTGATGGGAAATTCTGTCTTTACTGCGAGAAGAAGCAGCTTTGTGTGAACACGGCGGTATATAGGACAAAACCCCAGCAGGCATCTCGTAGGAGCTGTCAGAGAAGCTGCTATAGTCGATATATTTTACAGCCTCGTCAAATCACGGAGGGACTTTCCTACCTTTAAAAAAAAAAAAAAAGAAGAAGAAAAAAAGGAGAATCAGTCTGACAGCTGAAGCTCAACATGCAGTCTGACTCAGATTCCTTATGTACTCCGAAATGGGAACTTCTTTCATCTAACCTCTATCCTTTTTTCTGCATCTGCTACTCTTGGCACCATGGCAACGGTGGAGCATCCTGAGTGTGCCAATATGTAGGTCAGTGGTCATGCATGGGGGCTCCACCCAAAAGCAGAACACATATTGCTGTCTGCCCTCCATGTTTATAGAGAGGCGGAGGAGAAAGACATGAGTGCCCATCTATCCATACAGGCGTGAAGACAGGCGTGATATGACCGTCACACACAAAGACCTGAATACCAATGACCCAGATTTAGTCTAAGTCTGCAGCAGCTTCACAGGTGATTTATTCCATCAGCTTTGCCATGACATGATTACAAGAAAAGATACATACACCCCCCCCACCCCCCACTACATGTTGTAAGCCTGCCTCTTTGTCTGCCGATGGCCCTTGACCAGCAGACTGTTATAAATGTAAATACGATGGAGAGTATCTGACGTGTGTACTTGCAGGTTTGCATCCTTACGTGTCTCCGGCTACCATTGTGGACAGTGCAGTCATGAATATAGACAATTGAATGAAATGGAAATGAGTTGACATTTTACAATAGTGCACATACACCCAAACAGTTTCAAGAAGTTGAGGACTGGGTCCATAGGTGGCCTCATTCAGCATCTGTAAATTATGTAAAATGTTATGTGCATTTTCTGTCCTTGTGGACCAAGTGTTACATGTTGTCTTTTTGGTGGTCCGTACTGGTCATGTGTATGTAGTGATTTATGATTTAAAATCTCATCCTGCCATCTTAAAACAATTGAATGTAAAATCACTAATTGTCTACATCCTGTTAATGTCTTTGTCTGACACTGGCATTCAAAATTAAAACAACAAACATAGAAAATAATCAGTCTGGTTCTGATGGTCTTGTTTGTGTTTGTTGGTCATATAGATGCATGGGTAGGAATGTGAGTGTGTTTCATAACAAGCTCAAGGCTCCTCACAAGAGCTTTCAGGGTAAGATTTTTGTTGATCTGTATGTAGACATTGATCTCAAGAAAAGTCTTGATCAAAAATCTTGAGTTGAAGTTGTTGTAATCGAGCATGTTGGAAACATGATTCATGACCTCGGTATTTTTTAAATCCTGGCCTCCACCCAGCACATGTTCTTTAATCAGCATACAATCATTTAGACCGTGCTGATTGTGGATCAGGCAAATGTCGAGGTCTCTGGTAACGATCGCCTCTTGCTGAGTGAGGTAATTTAGTGGTCTTGAATGCTTAGCCATCGATAAATGAAGCATCACATCTCATTCAGAGAGAGTGGAAATAAGAGGTGGGAAGTATTGATCGTCTCATACCGCAATTTCCACTGTGAGGTGGTAGAAATGTCAAATAGAAATGTCAAAGTGTCACTTTGGCTACAGGGACGACTAGAAATAACAGGATCAATAAAAAAAAAAAAAACTTGGCCCAAAGAAAACAATACGTACCACAGAACAGGGCAATGAAGCTGGAAAAGGTCTCCTTCATCCCTCCATTTGTCTGTCCATCATTTTTAATCTGTCTAACAAAATATCTGTCTGAACATTAATTTATCTTTTTTCCATCCGTCTGTCTCTCCATGCATCCATCATCTATCTTTCCCTTTTATTCTCCAATTCTTTCTCCATCTGTCCATCCATCCTTTTATCTATCACCCACAATCCACCCATCTATCTATCAGCAATTCCTTTGACTTTGTATCTGCGAAACAAACCATCCATTCATCTATCTAACAGACATTAAGCATCATTCACCGTGTATTACACCAACCATGTCTATCCAGCCATGAACCTATCCGTTATCCAACATATAGCGCCCCTTTATCTGTGTTCCAGCCACCCATCCATCCATCCTTTTTTTTTCCTCCACAAATCAGTCTGTCTCTCCTCGTATGCAACCAATCATTTTGTAAAATGCGTATCCTGTTACATAGAGCTTACTTTTCTATCAAACGATCCAAGTATCCATGTGTTGATACATCTACCATCTGCTTGTTCAGGATGTTTCAGGGCTGCAGCCTGAAACACCAGAATCTGTTTTTGGAAAAGCTTCATCAGGTTTATATTGTTAAGTTTATCTTTTCACTAAGGGATGTTTTAACTTAAGAAACGTTTTTGAGCTCCCAATTATGACTCAACAATATACAAGCTCATATTAACAACACGCTCATCGGTGACATCAGCTGCTTTACTTTTTGATCATTCATTGGGACAAGGTTTATATGAGCAGACTGTGATGAGTCCTGCATGCGTTAGCTCCCATTCACTGTCACTCGTTGGGTTAGTGTGACCCTGATAGCACAAAGCCCCCTCTCACATGCAGATACGGACTTCTCATTACTCATACACATAATTATGCTCTCTGTATCTCTGTGTGTGTTTGTCTGCCCAATCTACAACTATTTCTCGACTTCATTGATCTCAAATGATTTATACTTATCATTTAATTAACAAAGGAATCAAATACTGGAAGCCTCTTACCATGCAACCTGTCCAATGTCATGCCACATTTGTTTCCCAGCCCTCCCCCATCTTTCTACCTCTGACCTTGACTGCAGACAGTCGTGCAACAGTGATAATCTATTTCATGGTAAAACAAACACACACACAGAAGTGTAGCGTCAAAGCAGGAAGGATGAGACAAAAGAGGGCACCTTTAATGGGAAAACCATCTGTTTGGATTGGAGCATACTCCAAAGTTCTCCCTAAAAGCTCTCAGTTCAGGATGTGAACGATTATTTTTACAGTAATTGGTGTTATATATGGATGGATCATCACCCTGAAGTCTTAGCAGATGAAACCATGTTGCTTGGATACCACAGAGTTTTACATGTTTGAATACAACATGAAAAAGGATTCATTTACAATCATAGAATGGGAACAGGGTACACTGTAGGTGTGTGTAAAGCTCCAATGTGAGTTTTTTTTTTATGTCTGTATAGCATAAATCTCTACTCCTGGCAATCCTTTCCCAGTGAATGTATTTTTAAATCCTTCCTCTGTCTTTGTTAAGGGTGCTTCTGTGGTCTGGGACTGGTTTACTCCAACAAGTCGTGCACCATGCCACCCATCACCTTCCAGGACCTTCCACTCAACATCTACATGGTCATCTTTGGGACTGGTATATTTGTCTTCATCCTGAGCCTTATCTTCTGCTGTTACTTTATCAGGTGAGTAGACACCCCCCCCCCCCCACCCCAACTCAAAAAAGGAAGAAATTAAACATGTGATAATTACAAGACAATACAAGAAGAAGAGTATTTTTCAAATCTAGAACTCATCTGCTCTGGTTTTTACAGTGGATCAGTTGGTAATCTGTCCTCCTTGGTGAAATGTACTTTCACACAGAAGAAAATAGAGGCACACAAAAGTGAAGAATAAAAAGCCATGAGAGAGAGTTTCCAGAGTTACATCCTCCAGTATTTGATATACTGAGGCAAAAAAAAATCCTCTTATTCTAGTTTTGGTCAGACCTTGATTTAGTCACCACCTCGCTGCACACCAGTATGCAACGTCACCTTGCTACTAAGCAACAAAAAACATGTAGCTGAGAGTTGTGGTGTACACGTTATAGCTCGATTAAATCGATGTTGATCACTTTCCCATCAAAAGCATACACCTGACGCAGTTTCCTTACCATTTGAAATAACTAAACAGAGTTGGACAGAACAAACATTGTACTCTTGAAAGTGCCATAATGCCGTACATGTATCCTAGCATAGTGCTAAAAAGTGTTAATCTTTATTGGCAAGTTCATTAATTTGTGCATCACCCAAAACCATTTTTATTTACGTTCATCTTTTATTAATATCTATTCAAAATGTTACAGCAATACATCCGATAACCTTGGTTGTTAGAGGTAATCCTGTGACGAGCTTTATTTACTAGTAAAAAAGACCTTTAGAGAGAAGATTTTTTTTCTAAATTGTATTTTATTAAGACATTTAACCTTTGCCGCAGGTTAGGTGTCAGACAAAAAGATTAACTGCCAACTTTGAAACACTTGTTTAACATTTTCCACCGCAAAGATTCTCAGTGAGGGTTACATTTTACTGTTAAATGAAACAGAATGAGATTATTTATTTATTTTTTTAAAAAATCATACATTAACAAGATAAAATCTTAAAATAGGCAATACCGCTTTGTACACAGAGGGCGCCAATACCGACACAGACTAAAAGTTCCTCACAGGAGCTTTGAGATATTTTAATCTGTACGTGGAAAAACAGCCAACATTGCTGCAGCTCAAAGCTTAACCTTTAGGGAAATTGTGTGTGTTTGTGTTGTGTTGTGTGTGTGTGTGTGTGAGGGAGGGAGGAAGAAAAGAAATAGAGGAACATGCTGACCTCTCCGTCTGTTGACTGTGAACTCCCCGATGAGCTGAGGGGACGTGTGTGTGTGTGTATGTGTGTGTGTGTGTGTGTGTCTGAAGGACGGGATATGAGGCAACAGGAAGCGGCCCGTCACAATGTGTGAGGACAGCAGCGAGGAAAACTGCAGAGGGACTGCTCAGAATAAACATGGCATGAATAGCACACAGTGGGTGTGCAAACACATCATACACATGCATGTAAAAAACCTCATACAGAATCTCCACACCTGCAGGATTGTCTTTGAATGACTGCGTCTCTGCAACGTAACAACCTATAACAATGTCTTATTTTTAATGTTGGATACGATTTAAAGTTGCTGTCCAAATCAACCTGTTTCCTTTAGAATCAGGCTGTACAACACACAACGTCTTGCTCCTCTTACACCTCTGCTACTACCTCGTGATGGCGTATCAGGGGGGAACAACTTCGCCCCACTATTCGCCCCAATGTCTTACAAATTGAAGACAAGGCGTAACAGTGTTGTTCATATCCCACCTGAACTGGCAATATGTTAAGGCCAAGAAACGACACACATCTTCTCCAGAATTTTGTTTTCTTTCAATTTGTTTTGTAAAAACACTAAAAAGCTTTTAGTTGGTTCTGTTTTTAACGCCTTGTTTGCACTTTATATTTCAGTTAACAGAAATGTGTTTCAATCCTAGTTTTGTTTTTCATTAGTCTTTGTGAACCATGATAACCTTGGTAAGTGCCAATAATTGAATACACTTGTAAATGCAGTGAAATGCAAAACATGTATCAAACATAATGTATCATCACAATGTCCAAGCTTTCAACCACGTCATCCTACACTTAATACAAATAAATGTTTTATACTTCTAGGACATGTGCAACTTTTGTTCATGTCAATGTAGTCAAATTGGCCAAAAGAAATGAAATGACCGTCTACTCTACAGTATATGATGACCCTACTGAGAACAAAACAGAGAAGTACATACAACACAACTAACATTATATAAAATAATACCAAGGTTCATTCTTTTTCTTTATTGTTATTTTTATCATGTAATATACTTCATTCGTGTTGCCTTAATCATCTAAAAACTCACTTGAAGTGGTGATAGAAATCATGTAATGAAGATTCTGTAAGTTTACTCAATGAGGATTTTAATTTATGATCTGCTTGTCCATGGTCAGGAGGAGTGAACTCAATCCATCATGGCCAAGGAAAAAAAAAAAATCAGAATCATCAATGACTACTGAACCGGGCAAACCCCACGTAATGCAGAACAGAACTCAAAGGAAAAGCTTAGAAATCTGACAAAAGCCTCATTTTATTTGCTTGAGGTATTTTTTTTTTAACATTGTATTACCTGGAGAAAAGAAAACCTTGCAAAGATATAGAGAAAAATCCGTCAATATTAAACAACAAAAGCAAGCACCAGCCTTTCAACCAAAGCCGTTTTAGATTTTATTGATCAAGAGACGAAACACAGTGATTATGTGAAGCTCTTTTCTTTTTCTTTTTCCAGCCCTGGGTTCAAAAATAAATTCACCCATCAATTCAGTAAGAAAAGCTCGGATCCATTCTGTTTCTCTTTGAGCACTTTTCAAAGAACCATGAGTCACTTCCTTTGGCCCCATTAACTCGCTGAATGTAGACTTGGGTAGATGTGTGATTGTGATTCCCATTATAGACCGGCTAACTTATTAGACGAATGCTGAGCAATGAATGTTGTTCTCTGCAGGTTTCCTTATTATTCCTATCAGGCCGGCTCGCTCTGATTCTGGCGTGTCACAGAGTTTGTAGGAGATTTTTCTGAATTTTTCTTCCTTTGATCATGCAAAGCAATTACATGACTTTTTTTTTCTGAAGAGCTTTCAGATCTAAGAAGGATTTTACTGATTTGATGAATAAATTCTCTCAACCTTCATATTCAAAATGTTCAAATCATGACTCAAAATTTGGGTGTGTGTACAGCTTTACCTGCAATTTTACCAAGCTCACAAACTAAAAATACATCTTAATTGTGCCCTAGTGTACTTTAATAGCTGCTGGTGTGCATGTTTAAAGTCCAGCTGAAACATAAAATGTCCTTGTGATTCTTTTAGATCACTTATCTAAAGTTGTATTATGCACCTATTTTAGTATTTATGCCAAATAATTAAAAACATCTTCTTCTTAATACTGTTAAATCAACTTTAAATCATATTGGCTTCCAAACTTGATGTACGTTTACTTAGCTTAAACCAACCACTAGGCAGTAAGATCACAATACATTGTGATCGTACTGACATTGTGTGTCCACCTGAGAGCATCAGGGAAACAGTTACCTGCCCTCTAACTGCAAATCATGCTGAGGCCGATGATGTCATACCCAAAAAAGCATTTCCTTCTGAGGTCATATCCCACCATCCTATCCCGTTTCACTTTCAGTCAGATACCCTCAAAAAGCTGCTACAGCTTGACTTCACTGAAGAGAACAGCAGCTTCACTTGTCAGGAACATATTTAGACATCGACTTGTCCTTTGATATACACTGTAGTGACTGAGAGCAGTAATATTAGGCCACCAGAGCCACTTTCCCCGAATAAATGTACTGACTCATTTAATTTCCTGTCAGTGATCCCTGAGACTGAATGGAGGAGAAAAAGGACACTTCCTAGAGCTTAATACGGTTGTTCATTAGCTGACAGGAAACATGACTTGTAGGTGTAACTTGTTATTATTAGAAAATCTTCCTCCAGTTCCCTGCAGCTCCATAGAGCTCAAAACCGGCCGTACAGATGCTATCATACCTGCAGAAGATTGGAAAGCAGACGGATTGGGGAAAATATATAGAGACGGGGAAATCCAAAATGCTTTAGCAGGAAAGTAGGCAGGTTGGAGGTCAGCTGTTACCACATGTGAGCACAGTTTGCTGCTATCAGGACAGAGACATCTATTAAGTCGGTCAAATCTTTAGATAAAAGTTTCTGTTTGAGAAAAGTTGACTCTGTAACCCTGAATGAGTTCAACTGCAAATACATTTTATCCTAAAATGCTGAATGTGACTGCAGGAACAATTTGACTTGACACCATTTGCTATTGTTATTCATGAATACTTTGATTTATTTAACACTTACTTTCTTCTGCTCCAATCTGAGCTCCAGATGTTGATCACAATATAACGACTGTAAACACTTGAAGTAGACTATGGATTTATTGCATTATAGCACGCAAGATCATGCAGTCAAAAGAAGATATAGAACAATATGAACTTAATGAAAAAAAATATTTTAATTTATTTTTAATTTAAAGTGCAAAAAAAAAAAAATCAAAATCGCTCAAATCAAAATGAGAAAATCTGCACAACATCAAAGAATTGAGTTGTTAAAAGGGTTTTTTCTGCGCTATAAAATGTACACCTGTGAATCATTGTTAAATACAATAAGAACTGGTCCAGACTAACTAAATGAGGTTTTTCTATTCTTACAGAGAGGGCACAATAGCCGAACTAAAACACTAAAATCGTCGTCTTTCCCCCCTTTCACCCACTTCACATCAGGCCTGGGAAACCTCAACACATGTTAAACCCGTATCCTCACATTGTTCAGTATGGGAGATTGTTAGCTGCAATCAGCATAAACAATAAACCAAGAGACAAACACAACAAAAAACTGTCATTTCCTAACTCTGAGCAGCAGTTTTTTATTTTAAAAAAGGGAATCAGAGCACCGAGCGAACACTCATCTTTAATCTCAGGTGCTGTTCCTGCATTTGGTTTCAGGCTCAAATCGCAGACAGTGATAGACGTTTGAGTCTATGTTTAGTTGTGTAAAAACAAGAGGCCAAAAATAACCTCCCGAGCAGACACAGCTCGCCAAGGCGATAAAGATCTCCTCTCCATTGTTGGTTCAGGGGTGGTGCAGGGATTCAAAGAGGCAACGTACTCATTAGCAGTGTTTGTGTATTTGTGCATGTAAGCATTTGCCTGTAGTTACAGGATTACTTTGGAACAATGTGTTTGTGTGTGCATGTAGAGGAACATGTGTTTGTACATAATGTGTGCACACTGTAGAGCCTGTGAAGATAGTTAATTATCAAAGCTTACCCTACAATTACACAGCTTCTGTTTCACATAATGTCCGACAATTTAACCACACAAAGCTTCAATCTGTGCCTGGATACAACGACCTGATGTTGAACCCAGCTCTGACTATATACAGACATCTTTATCTCTGAATACAAGTGGAAAGTGGTGTGAGGAACACATGCTTAAGTACCACAGCTTTAAGATTGAAGCTACTGCCTCAGTTTTATTTTCACCATTTGTCAGACATACTTTGAGTCACTTTTGAGAAGAAGATTTTAAATGTAAAGAATATGAAAAAAAGCAAAAGCTTTTTCTGTTGTGGTGGCAACAGGCGAAGCGTTCAATAAGGAGTACGTTCACACTTAAGGTGATTTAAAATGTATTCATCAATTTGTTTTGTATTCATCCACAGCAAACTACGGCACCAAGCCCAGAGTGAGCGCTTTGGATACAGAGAGGTAAAACTGAGGCTTTTTGATTTTTAGTAGACTTTAATGTCTACAAAGAAAATAATTTTTCTTTTGTTTGTATTTGTCCCCCCCTCTAGGTGGTTTTAAAAGGGGATCCAAAAAAGCTGAATCTTCACGGGGTAAGAATGTGATTTATGATGATTTACATTCTGCACCACAAGAAAAACACCTACAATTTTGTCGAATAACATCATCCATTGACTGTCCTCTCTCTCGCTCTCTCTCTGTGTCATGGCTGTCTGTCACACAGCAGACGTGCGCCGTGTGTCTGGAGGACTTCAAAGTGAAAGATGAGCTGGGGGTGTTGCCATGCCAACATGCTTTCCACAGGAAGTGAGTACGAGAGAGCGCGTTTTTCGGTCCTGTTACCGCTGTGCCCCGAGCTTTTGAAAACCAAAGTGTCGGCGTTTGATCTGAAGTTCAGTGATCAGGAGTTAGTTTCGGTCCTCCTGCAGCGCTCCTCTGCTGGAGTTCTTGTCCTACATCACTGTTGATTCATTTATTCAATAATTCTGCAACTTTACTCAGGGTGAGGGAGGAGTAGTCAAGGCAGGGCCATTTCCCAGCATGCACTGGGTAGATGGGATAAATAACAACATTCTGAAGCTGATACACATCCTTATATCTATTGGGTGTTAAAAAAAAAATGTTATGGACGCTACCAGTGGTGGAGGAATTATTCTGAATCCTTAAGGCAGGTACACACTATGAGGACCTAATTACTAATTTAAAGCTCCTGTAAGAAACTTTAGGTTTGTGTCCATTATTGCGCCCCCTATGGAAAGTACTACTTAGTTTTTCTGCTGATCATGTCCTGTACATGTGTAAAAAAATCTTTTAACAGTTCAATTAATTACCATTGAGAATTGTTTTTGCCATGGAACATGCAAACAAAGGCCTTTATATCAGCATGCAATCAATTACCTCATCTGCCTCCTACCCTGCAGCAGCATTTAAAGGAAGTATTATTAAAAAGAAATAAATCCTGTCCCTGATGGTCTTGTTTGCTTTTGTAGGTCATCAGCATTCATACCAGCTCTTGGGTTGCAGCCGTGCAGGTAGCTTAGTGGTTGGTGCACGCTCCCCATGTACTGAGGTCATAGTCCTCCAAGAGGGCGGGCCGGGCTCAAATCCGACCTGTGGCTCCTTTCCCACATGTCACTCCCCACCTCTCTCTCTATCTGATTTCGAGCTCTTTCCACTCTCCTATCTTTACAATAACACAAAAAGCCCAAAAATAAATCTTAAAAACAAACAGAAGTTTTGAATGTTTGTGAGTAGTTTTGAAACAGGAAACAAAACAGCCACATTTTTAATACTGATGCCTTTATATGACGGACAGAAGCCAATGGTGCCTGCCGGAAAACGGTGAATATTTCTGTGTTCTTATTTTAAATGCCTGTCAATGCAGCATTTTTTTTTTTCATTTTCCCGAACAAAGTTTAACAGCTGTCAGTTTCTTAGACAGACACAATGACACAAGTCTACTTTTCAGAGCATACTTTACATCTATGAACAGGATAGGATCTGCATATAGAGCAGTGTTTCTCAACGTGCGTGACAGAGACGCTATTTGAAGTTTAGCTCTAAAGTTGTATTTTAGATTTATGAATTGGACGTGTACTAAATGATTGTTTTACTGAAGAAAGAGTGAAGTGGTCCATTGGACCCATATGCGAACAGGAGACAGGACAGGATGTTGACACTTGTGGTGGTGGAGGAGGAGAAATAAAGAGGCTGGTTGATAGAAATTCTCATTTACTCCCCTGAACATCCTGGAGGTGGTGGGTTGTGCAAAAGCAGGTCTATATGTAGGAATAGCGACGATATTTTAAGACTGCATGAAGGGGCGTGGGCTGCGAAAATCATTAGGAATGTCAGGATCGTGAATGCAGAGACATTGGCAGCGTAGGATAGTAGAAGTACTCGGTAGAAATAAATCAGGAAGGAAAAGCAATAATGGGCCTTATCATAAACTTTCACAGGCGTAGATATTTTTTTACATTGAATATTTCAAATTGAACCATCACAACATATTTTAACCTTATGAAGGGTAATTCACTGGCTCATAAAGGGGTGTAAAGATACAACAGTATGGATCAATATAGGACTTTTATGATCAACAATGATACGAAGTGTACACATTTATTTCTCATGCAAACAGATAATCAGCCAGAGGGATGATAGCTCTCAAAAAACTCATAAATAATAAATAAAATTGCGAAAAAGTATTTTAGTTGTATTTTGATAAAAATTGAATTGATTTTATTAATTAGATATATAATGTCTTGGATTCAGTACAATTAAAATCCCATCGTAGCAGGGATTAAAGCATTCCTCAGGATAAATATCATGTTGTACTGTCATGAAACGTATTTGCAGGCCTTGTTAAATATGTATAAAACTTTAAATGTTCTCATTTAGTGTATTTTCTACATTTAGCAAAGTTAAAGGTTTAAAGTTTCTAAAAGCAGCCCACATTATGGGTCAAAGGTTAAAAATGATCAGGGCGGTGGGCCCAGTGTGACTGGTCTTAATATGTCTGTCTTGTTCTTTAAATCCTGTGCAGGTGTCTGGTTAAGTGGCTGGAAGTGCGCTGCGTCTGTCCCATGTGTAACAAACCCATAGCCGGTCCCCCAGAGCAACACCACAGCATAGGGACTCTACTGGATGAACTGGTGTAACTGGTCAACTTCTCACCAGCCTGGATGCTTTGGACCAAACCAGCTGGTTTAAGTTATCAGCCAACAGGAAGAGGGAAACTGTAACGCTGTTGTAACGCAGCTAAAAAGCCAACATGACGAGAGTGAGTTGGGGTAACCTAGTTACCACCCAAAGGACTATAAAGATGCTGTTGCCTAGCAACCTCCATCTCAGATATGGCAGCACGACACCTTGTAGTGTCTGAGAGATTATCTCCAGCCACCCACACATCACTCCACCACTCTTCTTTCATCATCCCCCCTCTTCACCCGCTCCGTCACATCCTCTCCTGCAGTCTTGAGTGAGGTAAATGGCACCGCCCGCTGAAGTGCAGGAGATGCTGATGTCAAGGCGATGTGTTAAAGTAAGTGTTGGAGGAGAACAGGAGGAGGCACTGGGCATGAATGAATGTCATTTGTTGTGTTGGTCACTGAAAGTTTTAGTGGCCTCGGCTGTCAAAACTCTTGTTAAAAAAAAAAGAAGAAATAAAGCCATACAGGCAAACTGATGTTTTAATGCTCATCAGACATGCTGATAGGGAGAAAGTACCCAGATTACAAAAGAGAGAATTCATGTTTTCTTTTTAATGTTTTTTTTTTTAAAGAACAGATAATAAAAATATGTGTGGAACTGTCTGGAGACGAATGCAGGTAGAGTGAAGAAATAAAATGTGAAGGACAAAGACAGGGATTAATAAACTGCTTTCAAGGACACTAAACTTTTTATTTTTTACAATTTAGCCCAAATTAAATTAAATAAATGTCGCACTGATTTAATAAAAGGAGGATTCCAGCCTTATCAGTCTGGCCTTAATAATGTATAACTCTAGTTGATTTGTAGCTAATTAATCCGTGTTTCTATCCAGTCTGTTTCTCACAAAGCAGTGGATTTTCTTGCTGATATCTTTAACTGATAGTGTAAAATTTCTACAGTGATATCATGTGTGACTTTTCCACAGGGATGTTTTATTGTTCAGTCATGTTTTTATTGTGTTGATATAGGTGTAAGGGATAGACGCCTCCTGCATCTCGCTGTAACTGTTTGGTTCTCTGTTGAAATATGTTGAAGATATTTTTTAAAGATATTGCACTTTTGATTGAACAAAGAAAGGGTCCCTCGTTTTCAGTTATAGTGAATCTTTATAAGAGTCTGTGAAGTATCAGAGATGCTGCATCATCAGAAGATAAGGGACGCAGCAGTACAGAGTCATTGTTGTTCTGTGAATTCATCCGGGAAGCAACCAAACCTCACTTTCTTACACAGCATTCATTTGTGGCATTATTGATGGTTGATTCTGTGTTACAGTCCTCAGTAGTTAAAAAGCAAAACACTGCCTAAATTGAGCACACAACTCATAAAGCACATTGTCCATATAACAGAGGGCACCTGCACTGTAATTAAAAGCCAACACACTTACACACACACACAGAGGTGACACTGTCATGGCCACGTGACTTAATGTGCCAAATGAAGGGAAAAAAAAACTCTCCTGAGTTGCATTTTTAACACACACACGCCCAAGTTCACTCTGATTCTGGCCACATTCCACATTTTGTAATCCAACAGATGTAAATAACTTGAAACAATAATAAATACATTTGTCTGTTTTGCTCAGCTTCTCCTGTTTGTTTCTTTTTTTGTTGTATATCTGGCGCCATCACCAGGTGATATGTTGTATAAGAAATTGTCAAATTCTGGCAGCGTGACACCTTTTTGACAATGTACAAGACCTTTCAAGAGACACGACATTCACCCTAGATTAGAAGGTTGACAGAGTTATGCATTGAAGAATATATGTATACAGTATAAAGATATAAAATGTGAAAAAAGCCATGACATGTTAGCAGAGTCAGGAGGTCAGTGTTGATTTTTAAGCCTTATATTCAGAGTCAGTGTGTCATTACAATATCAACGTGTTTGATTTGACTTAGTTAGCTCAGCGAATAAAAAAACACAATAGGCAAAAACATGGTTCAAAATATTACTGTGCATCAGTATAAAGTAGTCACAGCTACAGATAATCAGGAATATTTGGGATTTTTTTAATAGGAAATGGAGTTTAGGTGAAAGAAAGAGAAGAAAGTTATTTATTTCAAAGGACAATGTGTACTTTACAAACAAATATTTTTGTATATTTTGTATTGACCAAAAACACACAAATCACAATGCTTCAAAATAAAACCACAAAAAAGTCAACAAAACAAAGATCGAGTAGAGTTAGAGACAGGACGCATAAAAGTTTGAAAAATCTGTTCTATCCTTGGAAAAATATGAATTTATGAATTAATATTTTTAAACAAACTTCAGACATATTTTTGTCTTAGTTAGGACATAAACAACATTTGCAAATTTAGGAGATGCTTTTTAATTGCAGTAACATTTATTGGCCTTTTCATATTTTATTTGCACAATATGAAAAGTAAAGGATGCCCAGACGTGCTCAGATTTCTTTGGGTATTCTTCCAGAAATAGCTTGTTTTCCTTTTTTCTTTAAATCTACTTATAAAATGTGAGCAACGGGAGAAAAAATCTTTCTAACTTCATCATTTTGAGGACTGAGGACTCAGGATTTGACATGTGAAGGAAAACAAGGACCATCTGTACACTGCCTCATTAAATGTGCAAGACCCCGTCCTATTGGAGGGATCCATTGGGTACCTAGCTATTTCCCCACAGCAGATTGCAGGTGGCTGAGCGTCGGAAAAAAAGAAAAAGTCTAAAGCGCGGTCCTTACTCCTGCTGCCTTCTAATTAGACTTAAGGGCAGGACGGAGCCTCTGAGGATCTGAAAGGGAATTCCGGATGAAGGCAGATGGTGAGTAGTCTCAGAGGGACGGTGGAAGTGAACACTGCATGGTCTGATAGAAAGTGAGAGATGGAAAAAGAGAGGAGAGGCGAGGGAGGTGCTGGGAAAAGGTGGAGACTGAGAGGAGAGAGGAGGTGCTCAGGACTCACCAGGGCAGCATGCAGTTTACTCCTGTAAGGCCACTTTAACCCTCAATGTTTTACAAGGGAGAGCCATGTTTGAATCTTTCAAGCAAAAGAGAAACAAAGACGAGATGGGCACTACAGGATGATGGATGATGGATTCCTTTGACTTCCACACAGTGGTCGGTAGGCTAATTAAACATTTCTTTAAAATATAAAAAAGCCAGTCAATAAAGAAATTGTGTAGAGTTTAAAGTTTGTATTTGGAGACTGGTATTTGAATGTTTCATGGTTATGATCTTTGTGTTTTACAGTTTCTCAATCTGATGATGACCTTTCCGGTTATACTAACAGTCTGAAATTTATACTAACACCTCTTCTTGACCTACAAATGCAACTAGACCATCAGTGACAACAAATAACTACATAACATGTAGTTATTTTTAATGACTGAAATCACTGCTTCCAGGTAGGTGGTTATCCCTGCAGAAACACCCCTTTTTGTCAAAAACATGACTTACTCATGTACAGGAAAAGATCTGCAAAGATAAAATGTACAGCTTACCAAAACTGACACAAAGTTTATTAGTGTGCGGGACTTTAAAAGGCTAATTTTTTTTTGTCAAAATCTGCTTTTTGAATGATGGAGGAGTGTTTCAAGAGGGTCCACATGGTATGAACAGATGTATGCCATCACACACACACACACACACACACACACACACAGCCTGGGTGGACCTGGAAACATAAGCAAGTCTTTCATGAGATCAGCCTCTACCTGAGCAATAAAGAGCCATCTGTGCTGTGAATAAACTGATGATGGCAACACACACACACACACACACACACACACACACACACACACACACACACACACACACACACACACACACACTAAACACAAACATACAAACTCAGGGTGGAGAGACTCAGAGAAATGCTTGTTTCTGTCACTTCCCACCTCGAGCGTCGTGGCACTCAGAGTGAACGTAAGGTCAGGTCATTTCTCTTTCTGTGCATTTCATCGCAGCCAACCCAAACCTGAGCTCAGTCCAGCAGCAGCGAGACCACAGCGCAAAACACCAAGGCACATCAGGACACGGCTGAATAGGTTTGTTTGTTGAATTGATTTGTAACAGGTAGAGAGCTTTTCTCAAAATAAGTGTCTGCTATTGCTTTTTATTTCTTTGAGGCTTTGTGGAGGTACAAAGCTTTCAAAGATTAACCTGATGCTGTACTCTGCTGCTCTGATGCTTTTATATTCACAATAGTTGTAAAATGAACAACATCTGATTCCTCTCTGTAAATTATTTAACATTTTACTTATCAATAATTATTTGTAGTTACCAACCTAATAGTCAGAAACCTCTAAATGAATTTGAGGGTTCACTTAATTCTAAAGCAAACTATGTTTATTTTATCCCATTTTTGAAATTATTTTTGCCTCATAGCCAAGCTGTGAGCACACAGCCAAGTCAACCAGTCTCTTGGTGAACCATTGTGACCCAGATTGAAAAAAAACAACAACTATCAGATGAAATTTTGAACATTCATCGTCCCCAGAGGATAAATAACAATACATTTTGATTAATTTTTGTAGCACCACATTTATCTTTTTCTGTAATTTGTTTTGTGTTAAACCAAAATTTTACGGAAATGAAGGACAACCTTAACTATACACTGTTTGTGTTAACTGAAAAATGATCACATGCTAACTTGCCAAACTACAATGGTGAAAAAGCCTGCTAGGCATCAGCATGTTAGCATTTCGAATACAGTAATATTTTACTGGCTGTTAACATGGCTTTACACTTGTTTTACCTCAGTCGTCAGGCCTTTAGAAATCCTGATAATAAACAATAATATATAAAAGAAAAAATCCCTTATGAGCTAATCTGCTCACAGTACACATTTTTTTGAGAAACAATGATTTAAAATAAATATTGTCTTCTTAGGGGAGTTTCAGCACTCTGGTGATGGTCACGAGACATACATGTAAAAAAAAAAAAAAACTCTTTGGACCATTTCTTTTAAAGAGAGTTTGGACACCCTGCGAAGATGCTATATGTGAGGTTGTGACGGATGAGATGTCATGAGGACACAGAAGGCTGTCTCCAAGGAGTATGGGATACTCATCTTTTTGTGGATTTTGTGGATGCCAAAGGATCGACATGATTCTATCAGTCTCAAGTGTTTGAGGACTTTTTAAGACAGTCCACCATGTTTAAACGGTGGCTTTTAGCACTGTTGGCCCGTGTTGGCCTCATTGTGTTGGGCCTCTGCAGCTGTCTGTTCCTGTTCTACTTGCTGGCCTGTAAACCAAAGTCTCATAGCAGTGAGCAGCCTCTGCTGTGGACTGGAGGGACCACCAGTAAGGAGGGATACCTGACCTTGTTACAGGAGAGAGAGGACTCTCACAGACATTACATCAACAGCCTGACAAAGCAGATAGCCCAGCTGAAAGAGGCGCTCCAGGAGAGGACGCTGCAGCTTCAGGAGTCCCTGGATAAAGCAAAAACTAAAGGGATTCTGCCTCAAGGTCTGGAGAGTCTGCACAAAACTCCAACGCAGTCTGACCTCAAGGTAGGAAGTCATGATACAGAATGATGCAAATAGAAAGTTTCAATTGTTTAATATTGCGATAACAATATGAAGTGAAATAAATTAAGAGAAACGTTAAGAGTTCATATTAGCTCTAACTCACAGTTTCTTTGTCTGTCTGCTGTATTGCTTCATATTTTACACAATACCTGTAACATGATGTTTCTCCTGAATCCAAAATAAATCCAAACATCTATTTTGATTCTCGCCAAATTGGCATTGATTAATCTGAGGGTAGCCTGATTTTCACATGACTGCACCAAAACGGCGTGAAATCATTTGCAATTGTATCCAGGCCTCCATGCAGTAGGAACAATGTACATGTGCTGAGTGAGAAAGCATTGCTTGGTTACATAAAATAGTGTTTTGTATTCATTGTAATTAATTCAGACTTTTGCAATATGTTTATTGCCAATTTTCATATCCCAATAATGTCGAAATTGCGATAATGGTGCTTGCCATTCTATTAAAAACAGGAAGCGCATTTATTTGTGATTGTAGGATCTCTTCTAGGATTCATTAGTTAAAGCATGAGCCTCGTATATATGGCATAAAATACACATTTTTTGAAAGGTTGACTTTCCTTTTAGTTGAGGTCATGGCAACAAAAGACTGTCTGTTTTTAAGTCATAATGTGCCCACATTATGTAGGTGTAACCTACTGAGGGGTTCTTTGTTGGTAAGGCACAAAAACTCACTCGTACTTGAATACCTTTCTCCTCAAATATGTAAATTATTGTCCATAGTGAGAAAGAAAAAATGAAAGAAGGGGAGACCTGATTTGACCACTTTTAGACCACTTAATTAATTAATAAAATGTACAACATGTATTAATTGTAAAAAAAAGTATAACTGAACTTACTTGACCTCATACAAAAATCATTATGGTAAAAATTAAATTAACAAACGATCTGTTGGTGGTGGTGTGTTTTTTTAGGGGTACACACGGGCTCAGTATCTATAAAACTCTGGCTACAGCCCTGGGTATAGATGTAGTAATAAATGTTTTATCGTGTTTTCCAGGAGTTCTTTCGCTCCCAGCTGAACCAGGCGGAGGTGAACTCAGGTGTTAAGCTGCCCAGTGAATATGCAGTGATTCCTTATGACACTTTCACCGTGCACAGGTGGGTGAGATAATCCCTGATCTCTGTAGCTCTTCAGAAGTAACTGCATGACCTGCCTCTGATATCGAGTCTTACCTCATGTCTCTTCATAGAGTGGGTTTTTGTTGTGTCACTTAGAGTGTACCAGCTGGAGACGGGTCTGACCAGGCACCCAGAGGAGAGGCCTGTTAGAAGAGACCGCAGGGATGAGCTCATTGGCACGGTGGAAACTGCTCTGCATGCCCTGAATGGACCTCAGCAGCACACAGACAGCAACAGGAGGAAGCGCACATACTCCCCTTCAGATTTCATACAGGGTGAGAGTTGTCTCATATCCTGTCTTTCACCATTTCCTCAGGTCTCCCCTGGGTGGATCGCTAGAAATCCATTGCCACAGTCACAGTAAAAACAAAACATTTAGTTTGGGTTGAGTTGAGTTTAAGAGCAGCACTTTTCAAGTCAAACAAAAAATCATTCATTCATTTTTTTATGAGAGATAATAAGTGAGTGAATTAAAAAAAAAATTGCTCTCCAATACCAATGTGTGAACAGACTGTAATTTCAAAATCTGATATCTTTTAACATCAAATACATTGGACAGTTTTGCCTGGAAAAATTGAAAGTGTTTCCTCTTGAGTACCTTAGCACCCAAACAGAGCAAACAGTTTGCAACACAGAAAGTCAAAGAAAGTCTGCTAACTTCAACTTAGTGAAGCCATTCTGGACAAAAAAAAAAGTGAAGCATGAAGGGGGTGAACTAAGGTCACCGCACGGCATTAAATTCATGGGTCCTTGTTTTGTACTTTAGTTCGTCTAATCTTGCTTGCTACACTGGCTAACATCACAAAGTTTATCTGTCTAGCAAGCAAAATACTTTCTGATAGGAAATGTCAGTTGGTTAGCTTATAAAATTATTTTAATTGTGTAGCTCACATTAAAGAGCAATGGTGTAAAAATAAGCTAGCTTATAAGCTAGCTTGCATAGCAGTTTGCCTTCTAGCTTAAAGTAACATTAACACCAGCAAAACATTTTCAAATTGAATATGTGGTTGTCTAGCTTCCTAAATGACTGTAAACGAACATGTGTAGCACACATTCTGGTTGTGCAAATGTCTGTTTATCGTGTTCAGTGACATGTAAACAATGTCAATGTGTTTGCAAAGCTAACAAGATACTTGATCGCAAAAGTGTTAAAGTTGACCGCAATTGATTTAACAGAAATAACAAATAATACATGGTTTACTGTCTAATTCTTATCTTCACATCATGTTGCATGGCTTCAATGATCTGTTTTTCCCTGTTTTTAATGTTGACATTGTGTTCTATGTCTTCAATTATGGACATTTATAGGTTTGATTCAGGGAGTGCCACTGCAGTTTAGTTGTGTTGTTGTTTTGAAGCTTTGTTTTGATATTCATAATACTTTGACTCAATAGAGACTTGTTTAGTCACACAAAGTTTACAGCATAATTCAGGAAATGGGGTAAAAGACGAAATTGATTGGAAATTACGGTTGATGTAGTAATGAAATGCTGACTCTGGTTTTCCCATAATTATTACCAAATGACCAAGTCATTTCCAAGAAGCTTCCTTCCTTTCATTTATCCATATTGTTCTGCAAAGATTACAGGAAAAACATTTGGAATTATAAAGTTGAGTAATTCCTGATTGTGTCCTCCTGTTCCCTGTCACAGGGTTGACTCGCACAGAGCGGGACAGAGGAAGTGTTTACGAGCTGATGTTTAAAGGCGATGGGCCGCAGGACTTCACACAGCTCGTGCTCTTCAGGCCGTTCGGTCCAGTGGTGAAAGTGAAGAGCCACAGTGTGGATACAAGCCACATGCTCATCAACATAATCGTACCTCTTTCAAAGAGGTCTGAAGCATTCAGGCAGTTCATTCACAATTTCAGGTATATTTTCTAAGTGAAGTAACACATTCATGTCCCCTTATTGTGGTTGTATCGTGACATTATTGATCTCACAACACGTGGAAATGCTGAGTAAAAAAACATTCTGACAATCTGAATTTTACAGCTGTGAATCTACTTTCCCTTTATTCATACAACCGCCTTTAATCCTCTGATGGTGGAAAGTTCAAACGCCATTTTAATAATGTACTGCTGCTGTGTTCCAGGTACAAATCATACTGGAGTAAGAAGAATCTTAATTTGTCCTCATTCCAATACGTCCTTATTGTTAAGCAACTTAAAAGATAACGAATTGTTAAAATCTGAAGGCATGTTTCAAGTTTAAACAAAATGATAACTCATCAGAAAACCAGCAACCAATCACCTCCTAGATTACTTGACCGTTAGTTCATTAGCTTCATAGTAAGGGATAATGTGCAGTAAGCGGCACTGACAAGGAGAGCAGCCTCGCTGTGTTGGAACTGTCCTGTTCATTGACCAGTCTTTAAACACCACAGTATCCTATCCCATGATCTGTTTAATGTTTAGTGTATGTGCCACCTTCAGTTTGGGAGAGAGTTTATTGTGTGGTGCACAGTTTTTGCACATTTCGACCTCTATTTCGTTTTCTTCACAGTTTTTAGTGGATTTTATATTTTTTGTAATCAGTATCAAATATTTAACACAGCTGTTCGATAAGGTAAAATTAAATACTTCCTTTAGTTTAGAACCATCATTTTATACGAGTGTATAAATCGGTGAGATGGGACGACAGCTAATTACAACATTACAGTTTTAATGGTGTAACACAGTATGAGAAGAGGACAATGACCTCCGTGTGAATATGAGCCATTGTCCTTATCACGTAGAGGTGGGGCTATTGTTTTTTACTCAGACAATGCTATTTGCTTAATGCTTCCTTTAACGTCTTCTGTCCAGGGAAGTGTGCATCAAGCAGGATGGCAGGGTTCATCTCACCGTGGTCTACTTTGGTCGAGATCAGATAGATCAGGTGAAAGCCATGCTGGACCAAACCCACAGGTAATGTGACGCACACGTTGAGTTGCAAGCATTGAACGTCTTGTCAGGTAAAAAGTTACCTGATTCATGACCTGAGTTAAAGTATGTGACTAAAGGCCACTGGTAAGATGACAATATGCAATGACACTGAGTACTTAGGGGATGTACATCAAGTGAGAGAGCTGGTATGTTTATCTGCAGGACTACGTCAAATATCAGATGCTTTTATTTTCCCCATCACTTTATGGAGATGTGTCTGTGCTGCACTGCAGATATTTTGGATTAGAAAATCCCCCCCCCTTATCGTGTACAGGCTGGGATGCTCAAATCGTTCTGTGCTTAAGGCTGTTAGGAGAAAAACAAAGTCAGTCCCTTTAAATTATTGTTAATCATGTAATGCAGCACCTCTGCAATTAATATTTTTTGGGAAAAGACCCAGAAGCACAAGAGTACCTTTCTAACCTTTCTAATGGAACAGACTTTCCCATGACGACCCCTCTGTCTTCCTCTTCATCCTTTTCTACCTCAGAGAGACTCGTTTCAGAGGCTTCACTTTGATCCAGCTGAATGAGGAGTTTTCTCGTGGCCGTGGCTTAGACGTGGGCACCAGGGCTTGGAGGCGAAGCCAGAATGTTCTGCTCTTCTTCTGTGATGTCGACATCCACTTCACCGCTGACTTTTTAACTTCTTGTCGTCTCAATGCAGAGCCTGGTGAGAGACAGAATCACCTCAGGCTGTATGACACATTTACTCAGGCGATGTGTGGTCAAATCCTGCCATAGTTCATACTATCACCTAGGTTCTAGAATTGAACAAATGATGCCCTAACAATTAAAATAACAGTAACTTTTTTAACTGAGACAGTTTATGATCGTACCATCTGTTTCACTGAATTAATTAAAGGCTGTTAAATAATGGTCCTCGCCAATTAAATCTCTGAGCTGAGAGTTATGTTAGGTCACTGTATTCTATGAGATCCATAATTCATCTAAGGCGCTGATTTCAGTCTTTGATTTGCGTGCCAAATTGAAGTTAGGTGGTTTTGGTTTCATTTTAATCTGGACACAAAGCTGTTCATGCTGCTTATGCTGATACAGATCATCTCACATGATTTATTGCCACTTTCATCATGATGTAAGAAAAGTAAATTATTGTTCAACATTGAATCTCTGACAAATCCTGATGTTGTAATATCTGCTGGTTTAACATTACCACGGCTGATGTCTGAGGCTTGAAATGATTCCATCACTGAAGAACCTATTACAACAGTTTCTTGTAATCTTGTAAAAAACCCAGATTTGGTAATCCACTGGTGAACTACTAAGGATCACATGATCCAGCTCACTGTTTTTATATGGGAAAAAACTTGATTGGATCAACCATGATGAAGAGACAGACTTTTGGGGACAAAATCCTTCTTTTTTTTACAACTCTTACCTTAAATGTCACTGAAGCAGAGCAGAAATGTAGTACAAAATATTTTTTTAAATGGCTAATAATAAAATGTTTAATGTCAAAATGTTTTATTGTTTGACTTATGTGATCCAGCCTGAATCCAGCCCTCTGCTGGGATCAGGATAAAAAATAATTTTTTTTTAAAGTCAAAGTAATCCTAATTCTACTTAAAAGTTTTAAACAACAAAACTGGGATGTAATCCAGATAAGAATCCGGACATGATTACCTGATCATGTCCGGGTGTCTTACCTGATTATGTAATCCTTTTTTTTTCTTCTGCGGAACAACCCAATTAAAAGATTTGATCCTATCCTATTGCTTTAATCCTTCAAATGGCTTGTGAGTGTCACATTTGAGTCACAGCGTTATCCCATTTGATTTCTTTTTTCACACAGTTTTAGTATTTTTACAACTTGAATTGTTTGAGCATCATCTGTTTTTTTTCTCTCTAGGTAAGAGAGTGTACTATCCGGTGCTCTTCAGCCAGTATAATCCAGCCATCATCTACAGTAATCACACACTCTTACCTTCTGTTCAACAACAACTGGTAGGTATAAAAAGTCACTTTTTTTGGCTGAATGATCTTGAATGAATTACTGTGAATATCATCTGACTCGTTCATGACCTGGTTCTGTTGTCTCAGGTGATAAGGAAGGAAAGTGGATTCTGGAGAGATTTTGGGTTTGGCATGACATGCCAGTACAGGTCTGACTTCATGAACATAGGTATTGGGAAATCTTATTTTGTCACTTAATCACATGGTTTTACATTTTAAAGACATAATGCAATCAAATCATAGTGGAAACCATCCATTTTATAACATAGAGCTATTGCACCAAACTCATATGCACTGCTGGAGTCTGTGTTTGTATAATAAAGAAATGCACTATTTACAGTATTTTAGTGATCATGTAATCCTGTGTTGGTCATTTTAAATGAGCAGTAAGATTATTAATGATATTGCTGTTTTGTAACGACTGTGACCCTAAATGTGAAAAAAGCTCCTTCAACCTCTGTAATTGTGTTGGTTTAGAGATTAACCCTTTTCTTATCCAAATAAATTAGATTAGGGAACACAATTATTTTTGAATATGATTTCAAAGCAGCAATAAAGCTTCAAAGAGTACAGTAATGTTCAGTGAGTTCTCCATCCTTATCCTATTTCCTGACAGGCGGTTTTGACCGTAACATCAAAGGTTGGGGCTTGGAGGACGTGCACCTGTACAGGAAGTACCTTCACAGTAAACTGATGGTGATCCGCGCTCCGTCTCGAGGCCTCTTCCACCTGTGGCACGAGAAGAACTGTGCAGACGAGCTTCCTCCAGACAAGTACAAAATGTGTATGCAGACCAAAGCCATGAGCGAGGCCTCGCACGGCCAGCTGGGGGAGCTGTTCTTCAGACGAGAGATTGAGCAACATTTGAACTATCAGAAGCAGACAAACACGTTGAAGAAAAGATAGTTTAGTTATTGTGATGTTATGAGTCATTGTTTTGTTTACTCTCGCTCTAGTGGCTGTGATTATTTATGTTGACTGACCATAACCTTCTTCAGGTTCAAACAAAAGCTGATCTACGATGATTAATGTTCTCCATTTGGACACATCAAACTTATGATGACAATGAAAGAAGGAAGTGAATGATCTTTGGTCCTCTCATTGTTTCCTCTCCATAAAGGGAATATGTTAGGTTTTTGTTTGCAGAAAGAAATGATGACCCTGGACGTAACACAAAATCTCATGGCCTTTTTTTCCATCATCAAGTTACTACGGTAACAGTGCTTGGAACACTAGGAACTATACTGAAAAATATGAACAACAACTTGAAACGGAGGTCTTTTCTGTCAGTGAACTCAGTCTTCATAGGAAGAGGAGAGGAGCACCACAGGGTTTTCTTCTCTGTCGTTCCCAAGTAAATCTGATTCAAAGATTTCTCCAGAAAAGACATTTGTAGGCTACTGGTAAAGCAGAAATGTTCAGGTGTAACTAAAGTGAATTGTAAAGCAGAGGATTAATCATGATGTCACTTCTAACACCAGTCAGGAAGTCTGATGTTTACAACGTCCCTTTTTTTTAACAGGACTAAAAGAGAAAACATTTCCCTCCACCTTCCTGCCTAGTTCCTGCTTGATTGCCAAGAGAAACCTAAACCACTTTAATCACACACCGGGGTGCTCGGCCTCTTAATCCTCATCAGATTTGTCTAGACATTGTGTCCGGTGTGGATCACAGTTTTCCACTTGAGACTATCAATTTAATTTGGAAGAGAAGATTAACATAATTTGCACATTAGGCTATTTGAATTTATACAAAATTGGTTTTCAACAGTGTGTGAAGTTAATCTAAAGTAAATGAAGTCCATCACTTAGGCTCAGTCAAATTTGCAGCAGCAAAATGTCAAAATATTACAAGTAAAATGTTCCGCAACATTAATGTTTACTAAGTAAAGTTAGGTTTTTGTCGGCAAATATACAAAAGAAAGGGGTACATTATTTGATATGGAAATCAAATCGGATGAATGAATTAATAAACTGATGCATGAGAGTGTAAGCAATATTTCATTAATTGTCGTTTTGTTTGAGCTAGTTTCAGTTGTTTCATATACTCTTGGTCTGTAAACTCAACAGATGTTTTGGGATATGTAAGATATTAATCTGTACAGTAACTTAAGAGGATGAAGTGTATCAGAGCAACAACATTTCTCTCTGAAATTACAAAGGAGATGAAGTGTTGAGTAGCCTCAATCAAATGTAGCCTACATTTTTTGGTTTACCACAACAACCATACACCCACATTTCATTGCACCTTCGTTCCATTTTTTATTAAGGACATTTTACTACACTACACCTTTTTCCACAGAAGTCTATACTTTTCTAATTATGTTTTTTCTTTTAATTAGCCTTCAAATCTCATAATTAACCTACCTACCTTATAAAATAGTCTATTTACGCTTGAAGAACATGACAGTATAAAACATATAATGCTGCTATACACTCACTAAAAAAACAGAAAGGATAATATAAACAACAATTTGAAGGGGAAAAAAACTCAGAATAATGAGTATATATAATATGCTGCTTCTGTCAATACTTTTGTGCTTTTATGGAGGTACACTTTGTAATCCGAGAGTTGTTTGCCTCATTGAAAGAAGTATTTTTTTAATTGGGGTGTTACTGGGTTTCCTTTTAGTAAAGGGTCTTACTACTCTTCTTGCATCTATAGGCCAACTTCAATCTGGAAAGTTATTTTTTGTATATTATTTTGTATTAAAATGCCAAAGCTAACACCAGGTGCCATAAACATGACAAACAGCTTTTTGGGCTTTAACGATACAGAAATATTTGTTTAATTACTACCAAATCGTATCAGTGGTGCACCGAGTAGTAGCTGTATTAAGCCTTCTTCTATAAATAGTGATACAGATTTAACCTCATTACCTCTGCAGGGGCATGCAGCGGAGGGAGGAGCAGATCTCCATCAGCAGACGGCTGGCGTAGCGTCAACACTGGCACGCTATAGGCCCCGACTTCTATTACCACGTCCCGACCTGTGCTGCATTCAAGCACGCCTCGGAAATATCACCAGCATTTCCAAGGACATTGTCACATGGCAGAAAAGGTTACACAGACACTAACATGGTTTAAAATGATCTCTTTATAAAACGGAAACCCAGAGAGTTCCTTCAAATAATTTAGACCAGGTAAATGATAAATGTTTCATGAAGAAAGTAAAGCGCCTCTGTCCACCCCCCTTTGCTCCCTCTGAAGTGTCTCAACCTAACTTTTTGGTCAACAAATGGGGCAAAGAAGTTAAGCTGAGGTGGAGAAAAGCTAACGCACAGTCATATCAGTCTATATGCTATATCAGTAATATGAACTATTCAGACTAAATGTGTTTTTGGACCCGCCTTTAAACATGTTTATTTCTGTTTTCCAAAGTATGATATATGGCTTTTGGGCGTTTGGCAGTCTCAAGAGGACACTTGAAAAAACTGCAGTTTTGTGCACTTCCACATTGGCTTCAATTGTCCAACATATGGACAACCTGACTGTGCCATATCGACCATGTTAAATTGCGTTTTTAAAGCTGGATTTGATCGCTTCTGGAGCCAGCCTCTAGCGACCACTAGAGGAACTGCTGCTTTTTATTTATTTATTTAATTTTTTTGGGGGGCACTTCCGCGTCGGCTTCTCAGGAGGTTGCAGCTTGATATCACTCAGTGTGACTTAATCTCTCTCTCTCTTCACATTTTTCCCCAGCTGTACTTAAAGGCAGCATTGCTCACACCGGGAGAGGAGCTCTTGGTTGCCCATTTGTCAACCGGCTTACGTCTCTCCTCTTGTGATGTGAGGACAGGACGGTATTATGAGCTGAGGATTTCCTGCAGTGTTATGATGGTTTGTGAGCTGTTTAAAGGGTGAGCGGCTCCTTACGTGTGTGGTGCTGGTGTTAGAATAGATTTAGCTTTTAGTTTTGTGTTGTTTTTTTTTTTTTTTGTTATATAGGTCATATATATATTTTTTTATTTTTTTTTCCTAAATTCCCGTCTTCAGTTTTATCTTCTCGGATAGACTACTCGTTGTTTAGCGGAAGCTCAATGACGCTGGTGTATTTGAATTTTGTGCCGGAATAGCGACACATGTTCGGCAGATAGGCTGCTTCCCGTGTCACCTAGAAGCAGTCGGGACCGGACATTTTTTACAAAGTCAGAGAGCAGAAGAAGGAGACGCAACATGTTTGACGCTTCAGGGATCCCTCTCGTCGTGCTGGACGTTACCTGCCTTATCCTCGGTACGTTAATCTCATCCTCCACCTCCTTGCATGTCAAACCAACCTTTTTAATCCGCTTGGTTTATTTACCACTGGAGTTGCAGCTTATTAAGCTTTCAAACTCAAATCAAAGCATGGCCTCTCCTGGAGTTTACACTATGCCACAGTCTTAAGCAAATCATTTCCGAATTCATTTACCTGAACGTCATTTTGGAAAGCTTCAGGTTTAGACAACCAGGCAGGAAGATGGAAAAAGAAAAGAAAAAAGGGGGGGGCAACAAGTCCCACCCTGTGTGTGTGTGTGTGTGTGTGTGTGTGTGTGTGTGTGTGTGTGTGAGACTTTTTTTTCCAAGCAAAGCTGTATTTTTAGCTCAGTGTTTGGAGTGTAATCACATCACAGAGACACACTGCAGTGAATCTAAAGTGCTGCAGGGATGCAGCAGTGAACACGAACTAAAGAAACCTTTGAGCAGAGAGTTCAGTTTAATCACTGCCACGTTTGATAAGGATTGAAAGGCTGATAGACACAATGAGCTGCTTCAACAATCTTAATGCGTCAACAATCCGCACTCTTTGCTTAGTCAGACTTGTCTTGTGGTCTGTGCTGTAACGCTGACTGTGCACCTATCCTCTCATTTAGTGAGTGAGTTGGCAGAAGAAAAACCCCCACTGGAAAATCCAAGTCGTTATTTTATGTTTTGTAAACTTTTTTTGTTTGTGCAGAATGTCACATGTAGGCAAAACAGATCCTAACTAAAGTAAACAGTAAATAAGTGTTCACATCTTATTCCTGAGTAAAGAGAAATACATGCTGTCAGATTGAAGTTGTGCATTGAAAGCTGCACTTTATTTGGACGTAGAAGTGCCAAAAACAAATCCTACTCCTTATCAGCAATGCATTAGTGTGTAACTACTCAAGGTTTACTACTTTATAAACTATTCTGTTTTCCTTTTTTATATTTTTATAACAAAGCATTGTAAGTCAAATCTTACCAAACATCACATTCAGTATCTTCTAAAGCTCTTGTGTTATACACAGTAAATGCAAAACTTGCTCTGAAATGTAAATTAGAGCTTTAAATGTTGGTGATATGCAAATAGAAGAGTTTCTGATGATGCTGAACCAGAGTGCATGCACTTTATTTAATTCCACCTCTGTCTGAGCAGAAATGTAATCTGCTTTAAAGTTATGTGAAAGATATATCTTCATGTCGTAGAAGGAGAGTATTAGACGGTCCTGATAAATGTTATGTTCATGTTGATTGACTGATCAAATCTGATATGTTGAACTTCAAAATTAAAACTTAAAATATGTGGAATGATATTGAGCACACAAATCCTTAATAATGGTTCAAGTACTTTACAGTTTCTTATGTGCCTCTATTGGTTGTCATCACATTAGTGGTCAGTTTTACATCGTTATTTAATCGAATTCATTCGATGTTACCTTGTCCTTGAGTTGGAAAACAGAAATCACTCATTCTAATATTTGTGTAATATCTGCTGTTCTCTTTGTTCCTGCTTTCACAAGATACTGCTTTGAAATTTCGCAAAATGTCTTCAACTTTCTGGGGAACAGTCATTGTTTTTTTTTTTTCTTTCAAAAACACAGCCCAAGGCGAGACATGAATAATAACATTTCACAAGACCTGGAATGAAATAGGACTCGTATGGAGCAAGCAGCACTCTCAGTAATGAAATAACTGCATGAAATCAAGTCCAAAAGACAGACTTAATGTGCACAATCCAGAAAATCTTCACAATATCATAAGTTCCAAGCCAATAACTGCAGCAAATAATCAACTAAAATACAGCAGGATATAACACATAACTGCAGAGAAGTAAATGTGAAGG